TAAAATGTGTTAAGAAACTGCCTCACTCAGAAGTCGGCCGCATCTGTGGGCTGCAAAGGTGTTTCTGATGAACAGAGTGAGACCTTGTAGCTGAGTTTGGGGGCTCTGCAGACCATCCTGAGAGTAGAGACCTTGTAGCTGAGTTTGGGGGCGCTGCAGACCATCCTGAGAGAGGAGTGGGGCTACAGGACAGGTGTGACGTGTGAGGAAGTCACGCCAAAGCACAAGCTAATGAGATGAGTACTCACTTTGAGGTCGTGAGGTCAGGGTTCACCTTCAGCTCTGCCACTCATTCATTTAGTGGCTTGTGCCCAATTACCTAAATGCTTGGGGCCTGATTTCCTAATCACCCTCAGAGGATTGCATTTTGCAGATTAAATCAGACAACATATGGGAGAGCACCTAGCACTGTGCCTGAAATGTAGGCACTTAGCCAAATTGAAATCTTTATGCAAATTTCCATGGATTTTAGTGTTATAAAATAATGTCTATTTACGATAAAATGTCTCCCAATGTATTCCATGAGAAATATGTTCTGTGAGCTATTCCAGGGTGGGGTGGTGGTGGTTCTACAGTCAAATCAAGCAGAGATACGCTACACACTGTATCCCTGTCTCACAGACTCCCCCTCATAAAAGCTTCTCCATAATTCTGGGTTGTGACGCAGTTAAACAGCATACAAACTAGCTAGCTAGTAACAACTTGATTAAGTCAAGATTTCCTAATGCCTTTTTAAATTGCATTTTCACTTTATTTTATTTAAGTTTATTTATTTATTTTGAGAGAGAGAGTGAGCATGTGAGCAGGGGAGGGGCAGAGAGAGAGGAAGGAAAGAATTCCAAGCAGGCTCCACGCTATCAGTTCAGAGTCCGATGCAGGGCTCAGTGCGGGGCTTGATCCCAAAAACCACGGAGATCATGACCTGAGCTGAAACCAAGAGTTGGACGCTTAACTGACTGAGCTACCCAGGCACCCCATCCTAACACCTTTTCTAATGGAATATCTAATGACCCTTCAGAATTGATATTCTACAGAAATGTCACAATAGCAAAAAACTTACTAGCAATCAAGATCCTGAGCAATCCCACTGAACATGGGTCCTTCTTGCTTTTTTTAAAAGAGCCTCCTTTCTGCTCCAGATTGCACCCCGTGGTCCCTTGAGCTTTATTACAGAAGGTTTTCACCCCCTCCAAATGCATGGAATATTAATCTATTAGTCCTGTCTCAGCCAAACAAGAACACAAGATTATACAAGACTTCGCTTATTGATTAATAAGCATATTGATTATTTACTTTGTGAGTCATCCCAGAATTAATGTCTAATTAGAGATGGGCTTTAGCTGGCCACCAAATGTCCCCGGGATACTTCTTCAAGCAATCAATCTTGTACTCATATGAATGAACAACAGCAATCCCCACTGCAAGTCACATTTGTCAAGGACTTTAAATATACAAGATGCTCTCACATGCTTTATCTCGTTTCTTTCTCTAAACAGATTGTAGTATTGACCGTCATTTGACAGATGAGATAACTAAGGCTTGCACAATCACCTAGGTCAATGGCATACCCAAAGCTCCAGCCCTGTTCTTTTGTTCCTTGACTCTAAGTCTGCTGGCTTATGATTTGTTATCTATATCATAATTCCCAGTGGGTTTGATGGGGAGTGCACATTAATATTAATAGCTGTAATTTATTTTTAAAAAACAACCTAAAACTTAAAGTCCTTAAAGAGTAAATATTCCTTCTTTTTTGTTGTCTGGGTGGCCAATGACTGGAAAGAAAGAAGAGAGAGATATCTGTCACTCCTTTTCCCACAGGCCACTTTAGCAGACTTGTTAAGAGTGTGCAAGAAGCTGGGCGCCCTGGGCGGCTCAGTGGTTAAGCTTCCAACTTCGTCTCATGATCTTGGGGTTTGTGAGTTTGAGCCCCACATCAGGCTCTGTGCTGACAGCTCAGAGCCTAGAGCTTGCTTCGGATTCTGTGTCCCCCCTCTCTCTCTGCGCCACCCCTGCCTGAGCTCTGTCTTTCAAAAATGAATAAATGTTAAAAAACATTAAAGAGTGGGCAAGAAGTTCATTAGTGCAATGAGGGAGACCATGGACACTAGAACCATCCTTCCTGGGCCTGAATCCCAGCTCCTTCCCTAATTAGTTGCATGAGCTTTGAAAAGTCACCTCTCATCTCCATTCTTCAGTTTTCACACCTACAGATTCTGGATTATGAGGGTACCTAACTCATAGGTGGTTGTGATGTTAAAATGAAGAGTAAGGGAACAGAGCTGTGGACAATTGTACTGCAAATGTCTGTAGTAAACACTGTATTTGTAACTAGGTTCTTGTGGGCTGTTTTGGAAAGATAGATGACTACTTACAAAATTGTTTCTTATTGGAATGATATGCATCTTGAACCAAAAACATCTACTTACAAATGAGGTGAGGGACAGCTATACCATTAACAAATTATGAACAGAAATTCTGAGTAATTTCTCTCTCCCCCTACCACTCTAAAGAAAGCAATGTAATATGTGTCGGAATCAAATCAAAATTACTTCCGCGTTCACCGTTGGTAGGCACATTTTGTGTCATCTTGTTCTACTGGTTCCCACTATTTCTTTTTTTTTTTTTAATTTTTTTTTATTTATTTCTAGGAGAGAGAGAGAGAGAGAGAGACAGCGTGAGCAGGGGAGGGTCAGAGAGAGAGGGAGACACAGACTCTGAAACAGGCTCCAGGCTCTGAGCTGGCAGTCAGCACAGAGCCCGACGCGGGGCTCGAACCCACGAACCGCGAGATCATGACCCAAGCGAAAGTCGGACGCTTAACCGACTAAGCCACCCAGGCGCCCCTGGTTCCCACTATTTCAAGCTGAAATAGAAATATCTTCAGCAAGGTACATGAACACAGATACCACAGAAGTGGAAGTCTATTTAAAATAGCCTTGGTTAAGATTATAAATTGTTCTGTGATTCTCCTATGAATTTGAGAATTCTTTTAAAACACAAATCATCTTCAAAAGCAATGTCCTTTGTAACAATGAGGAATGAAAGGGTGTGTAATTGAAACAGTACCAATCTAGCACCAGTGCAGGAGAAAAAAAATTCCGTCAGCCATGCTATGTTAACAGGTGGAGGAGGAGTAGTTAGCATTTGGTCAACAGCAATCTGATCAATACTCCTGTTCTTTAGTCGAACTATTAAAAAGCAGGCAGGGGGCTGGGGTGGCTTAGCCGGTCAAGTGTCAGACTTCAGCTCAGGTCATCATGATCTCGGGGTTCGTGAGTTCGAGCCCCGCTTCAGGCTCTGTGCTGACAGTTCAGAGCCTGGAGCCTGCTTCAGATTCTGGGTCTCCTTCTCTCTCTGCCCCTCCCCCCCTTCTATCTCTCAAAATAAATAAACATTAAAAATAAAAATAATAAATAAAAATAAAAAAAGCAAGTGCTTTAAAAAAAATAAAGAAAAATTTTAAAAAAAGCAAACGTAGGGGCCCCTGGCTGGCTCAGTCAGAAGAGCATGTGACTCTGGATCTCAGGGTCTTGAGCGGAAACTCCATGTTGGGTGTAGAGAGTACTTAAGTTAGTAAATATTTTTTAAAACATAAAATAAAAAGCAAATGTAATCAATTTATTAATGATTTTTGGAGCAGGATTTTTGTTTCATTTTCTTGAGAATTGGAAGACATTTGCCTGAAATTGCACTGAGGTAATATATTTTCTCTAAGGATGGTAATGCCAAGGAATTATTTCTCTCGGACAAGATCAGTTTAATGGGTGGTGGTCATCCATTTGAGTTTTATAACCTCATGATTATATGTTAATGTCAGGGCCCAGGTTTTCCTTGTTCATGCCTATTTCCCAGCTTCTAGTACTGTGAACCTGGCATATAATAGCCACTCAATAAAAATCTGGGGAGGTTATGAATCTGGACAGGTACTTTATACCAGGGCATGGAGGTGGGACTCGGAATGAATTTTGTTAAGCAAACACATTTTTCTAACAATGACTATAGAGACCTCTGCTGGCAAATATTGGAACTACAATTTAGGGTCAGAAAAAGTAAGAATGGAAACAAGAGAGGCGAATTTGTTTTCTTCCTCTGTCTATATTCTGACATAAAAAATCCATAAGGGTGCTGTCCTAGCTTATGACATGTAGCTTGACTAGGTGACAGCGAATACAGAAACTAGGATAAATGAGCGACTTTTCTATGAGGTGACTGGAAAGGGTGTCCAAATTCAAAAGAAAAACATAGCACAAGCAGAATTGATCTATAATTAATCTTTCTGTGAGTATCTGCTACCTGGTAAGTTATTCAAGGTTATACACTCAAGAGAAATTTAGAACAGGGGCCAGTCAGAAATATTACGATAGTCTGTTCATCTTCTTAATTGAGAGGATTTGTTACTCTGTTGGTTGTACATTCTATACGTTTCTAAGTGTCACTTAATACTTGCCTATTTTCCCCTTTACACTGTCTTCATCTCACCTGCGATAGGTTTATTAGCTTAGAGATGTGGTCACAAGTAGTCAATTGGGTTTTTGGTTTCTTTGGAAGGGAAGAGATGTTTTCTAACACTTCGTAACTACACTGTTTTTCCTGCTGTAGGTATTTTAGAAGACTCTGGTTACTAACACAGTCCTAGAGGGACCTCTTGCTCTGAGTTGTACATGAGCCTGCAAACTCAGTCCTGGATGTTAGCGAATTGTCCAGACAGAAACTTCTGGGTGTCTGCGTGTGGAAGTGTAAGCATTTACATGAGTAACATGATCGAGCCAGCACTATATAACTTAACTTTCTAATATTCTCATATTCGGTATGACTACTGACTTTCCTATTATCACACATGAGAAAGAACATTTCTTTCTCAAAAATAAATTCTATGAGCTTCTAAAATGGCCTACCAACAGATCTTCATATTTTGTTGGAAAATGAATATTTCACCTTCATAATCAGATACATTCTGGAGAGTATATATACAGGACCATTGAATAAGCAAAATAATTTACGTTTGAGCAGCAGCCGAGTTCCCTGTCGGGTCCATGATTTGAAATTCCAGGATATCTGAATTAACTTCCAAAGATGCGTTTATGATGTAAAGAATGGTCTTGCTGTTTAAGTCCTTTTGGATAAATTTCTCACGGATAAGTTCACCTGTAAAAAAGAAATGAATAAATTTCACAAGGAACCAAGCAAAATACTAAATAAAAGTTGATAAATTGTATGCCTATTTTAAGCACAGCTTTCAAAACAGCCAAAGTATACATTTTTAAAGAAATGAACATTATTGCAAGTATCTTAAAACTCGTATGTAATAAAATTAAATTAGCTTTAGAATTTACTTTGGCTCAGAAACATTGGACCTTAAAGAAAATATAAAAATAGAGGGGAAGTAGGAAGATACAGTCATAAAATCTCTAATTCTGTGCCATTCTTTTTAGTGACATATTTTAATCATTGTCTTCATGAAGCAAAATAATTAGAATCCAGAGAAACCATTCTACCCCTCCCAGTTTTTGTCATTGTTGTTTCATGAACAGATATCATTTAGAATTCCTGATTTAAAAAAAATTACTCACAAATATGAATTTTGTCCTGACACTGACTATATTACAATCTGGCTGAGAAAAAGAATTATAAGCAATAAACAGCAGCATATCAGTGTTTGGTTCTCCCACTCAAGATGAATTTAGGGAAGTTCGGTCTCAAACCCTCCTTAGCACCAGCATTGATTTATAAACTGCATCTATCAGTAAGCCCTGGGGCTGTTTACCAACTGGGCCTACACTTAATTAAATTACTCTCTAGCATTGCCAGTGACTGGGTATTTTAAGATGAGCAATTACAAGGATTAAGGAAGGCCATACCTGTTGTTGTGTTCTCCAGACGTCCATGTCGGGGGCCTCGTAAAATTTTAAAGATGATCAGGTCGTCATCAGTGTCAGGGTCTGATGCCTTCAACACATGGGAAGTGAGGTAAATCCCGTAACATCCATTTGTCAGGAGCCCCACTTGAGAAGGGGAATGCAGGAGTGTGATATGGGGGGCTGTTTTGTCCAACTGGTCAACCTGGGTGATCAATGATTACATACAATTTCATACAAAGGCTTCTCATCTCCAAGCAACATAGGATCTTAAGAGTTAACAAAGATAATCTATCCCAAATCTCAGATTATTTATTTTCCTCATTTGTTAATTTCTGCTAAAGACCGGCTTGTTCACAATATCCTCAGTAAATATCACAGTGCCTGGAAGAGAGGCTAACTTGCCTTTGTAAATTTTGACTCAGCTTTGTGAATTGTCCATTGTCTGACTCTCCAATTAGGACATAAGCTCTCTGACGGCCGACATTATGTCTCCACACCTACCTTCCTCCTCACCCCGTTCCCTGCACCCAGCACATTACCTGAACCATGACAGCAGCTCAAGGAATATTTGTTGACTGAATACATTAAAATTGATCCAAGAATTGTATTGCAAACTTCAAGTTAGCTCCACAGGAGGAATTTTCAATTTTCCCAGTGTTTGGTGATATACAGAAATAAGGTTATAAAGATATACATGAGGATATGCATCACAAATGCATTGAATATTTTTTGGCACATCTTTGTTCAAATGACAAAAATGTGGTGTAAAAATTAGAAATCGTAATAAAAAATGAAAGGTGATTATTATTATTAATGTTTATTTATTTTTGAGAGAGACACACAGAGTGTGAGTGGGGGAGGGTCAGAGAGACGGAGACACAGAATCTGAAGTAGGCTCCAGGCTCTGAGCCGTCAGCACAGAGCCTGACGCAGGACTCAGACTTACCAACTGTGACACCATGACCTGAGCGGAAGTCAGACACTTAACTGACTGAGCCACCCAGGGTCCCTGAAAGGTGATTATTTGTAAGCGTTTGCGTATTTGTTCCACTAAGGATGAGAACCAGGTAACTAAACAGGTAGGCTCAATTTGCGAAGACAGTGGAGGAGCAATTACTCATCAGTGAAAGAGGCATATAGGTTCAAACACTGCAAAGGGCCACATTCAGGTCTGGTATGAAGCTTCATCCATCTTGCACATGACCGTTGTAGGTTAGGGAAGGAGCAAATTTGAAGGAATTAGCACAGTTCACTGAGACTAGACATCAAGTACGGGAACACAATCTCCATTCCTCTTACTCCTAGCCATTCAATTCTCAACTTCACTTACCCAAAAAGGATACTGTTGGAAATCTTGGTTCACCCTAGCAAAGTAAAGAATAAATGCCATGACAAGACTATATAAATATTTTTTGGATAGTATGATACAATAAGCTATTATTCAGCTATTTTAAAAAACAGAGGTAGAAGGAACTGATAATATATAATTTCCACAACTTAGTGTTAACTGGTAAAGAAAAAAACAGTAACTTGCAGAATAAGAGATGACTATAATACCATTTCTGTTCACATATATGTTCATACAGACACAGACAAAATTCTGTAAGCATTTACTTGTACAAACCTGTTTTAAACAATTTTTTAATTGGGTGGGGGAAATATTATGCTTCATTCATGGAAATATCCACGCATCATGGAATTTTGTAACAATCAAGTATTTTTTTCCCTCTCAAGTTGGCAAGTTTTTGTTTTTTTTTTTAATTAACAAAAATAATCAGGGCACTTGGGTAGCTCAGTCGGTTAAGCCTCCGACTTTGGCTCAGGTCATGATCTCATGGTTCGTGGGTTTGAACCCTGCGTCGGGCTCTGTGCTGACAGCTCAGAGCCTGGAGTCTGCTTCAGATCCTGTGTCTTCGTCTCTCTCTGCCCCTCCTCTGCTTGAGCTCTGTCTGTCTGTCTCTCTCTCTCTCAAAAATAAATAAGCATTAAAAAAACCCAATCATACATTATGTTGGTAACTATTTGGAGAAACAGAGGTTTTTACATTTCGCTGGTAGTGGTGAAAATTTTCTGCAGACAAGTTTTGTATATATATATTTAAAACGTCGGGGCTCCTAGGTGGCTCAGTCAGTTAAGTATCCGACTTCAACTCAGGTCATGATCTCATAGGTCATAGGTTCAAGCCCCATGGTGGGCTCCATGCTGACAGCTCAGGGCCTGGAGCCTGCTTCAGATTCTTTGTCTCCCTCTCTCTCTGCTCTTCCCCCACTCACACTCTGTCTCTCTCTCTCTCAAAAATAAATAAACATTAAAAATTTTTTAATGTATATAAACTTTGATCCAAAACTTTCACTTTTTTATGTATGTCCTGCAGAAATGATTAGATGTGTATAAAAATGTGTGTCTATATATTCACAAAAATATAATTTTTAATAACAATTTTAAAAATCCATAAAATAGAAGTCCAAGAGATTTATAAACCATCTCTACCTGACACTGAATGCTATTTAACCTTTAAAAATTATATTTTTGAGAAAGATCTAGTGACATTAGGAAATTTTTATAATATAATGAAGAGTGGAAACAGGCAATATGCTTGACAGGACATAAGTATCCTCCGGAGAGAAAGTGCACAAGCAGGGGAGGGGCAGAGAGAGACAGAGTCCTAAGCAGACTCCATGCCCAGCACGGAGCCCTATGCAGGGCTCAATCCCATGACCCAGGGATCATGACCTGAGCTGAAATCAAGAGCCAAACACTCAACACACTGAGCCACCCAGGTGCCTGATAAAATTAGTTATCTTTGAGTGGTATGATTGGGAAGGATTTTTTCTTGTCCTTTTCTGTAGCTTATGAATTCTTTACAATAAATAATTACTTTATAAAGGAAAAAAGCAACACCAATTTTCAAAAGTTACAGTCATTCTCTTCTCCTAAAAGGTATGGACAACAACCTCAGAGCTATGCACTTGGGTGGGAGATGGGGACTCAAATCATGATCATGGCCTTTTGGCGGAGAAACTCCTATCCAGGATGGCCAGTTGGAGTATGCCAGACATGGAAAAAATAAAAATGCTTAAAACCATGTAAGAAATCCTCAACATTATAACCAGCTGAGTGTAGGTGTGGGTTTTTTTTAACACATATTTTCTGTAAAAACAAGTATTGCAAAAGGAATAAATGCTGGTAGTAATCATTTGTTTTTAAAAAATATTAATATTTGAGGAGCCTGGGTGGCTCAGTTGGTTAAGTCCCATTCTAAATTTTGGCCAGGTCATGATCTCATGGTTTGTGAGTTTGAGCCCCACACTGAGAGTGTGGCAGTGTGGAACCTGCTTGGGATTCTCTCTCCCTCTCTCTGTCCTCCCCGCTGCTCTCTCTCTCTCTCTCTCTCTCTCTCTCTCTTTCTCTCTGTCTCTTTCATAGTAAATAAGTAAACTTTAAAATACATATATTAACATTTAAGTTTAGCGGGGAGGGTGCACCTCAGTGATTCATTCAGTTGAGTGTCCAACTCTTGATTTTGATTCATGTCATGATCTCACAGTTGTGAGATTGAGCCTCACGTCAGGCTTCGAGCTGAGCGTGGAACCTGCTTGGGATTATCTCTCTCCTTCTGCCCCCTCTTCCCCACTCACCCTTTCTCCCTCTCCAAACAAGCAAACAAACAAACAAACAAACAAACAAAAGTAAACTCTGATTACATGGTCCACTATTGTGTCTTTGGTCCTAATTGCCTTCATCTCATTCAACTTCTGGTTTCTTCAAAAACAGGTCTTTTGGCTTAGCATTTTAAAATACTGGAGTCCAAGACATTTTTTTTTTAAAGAAAAGAAGGCTACATCCTTTGATAATTTGTCTTGGACTCACTAAAAATCATCTCAGACAGGCATAAACCATAAAAAGCAGCAACACTGGTCCTTTCTCCCTCGCCGCCAGGTGCGTCCCCGTTGAGGGGAGAGTACAGGAATCACTGGGGCAAGACTTCAGTATCTTGCTTAGACCGACATGATTTCCTACAGTGTGAAGTTCAGGTTGTGCACCCTGATATCAGGGAAACATGCCTGTTTTGCACTTGTGAAGCCCACTGGCTTTGCCCTCAGTTACCTGGGTTGGGACCCTATGGGTAGTACACCCCCACTTGGGGAACTGATCTGGACCAACTCATGAGTTAGTGGTAGTTGACATCATATTGTCTTACCAAAAAACCTCTTGAAGGCAAGAGACTGAGGGATATCAGTCTCTTACTTCCTAAACTGCTTGTCCTCTCTGCTCAGAAAGACAAGACAATTCAGGGAAATTACGGGAGAAAGTCTGAGGCTTTCCTCGTCTATACACAATTGTATTTTCTGGCAAAGAAAACCTTGTACTTTGGATGAAAAAGGACTTTCCCAGTGTATATACAACATTTTCCTATCACTAATTCTGCAACTTTAAAGAGATCACTCTCTTATAATAACCATGTTCTGTAAGAAGAGTGTTGTAACTGTTGGGACAGCACTGATTTAAGTTCCGATACTTCTTCTAAATTCTACTCCCTTTTCCTTCTCTTCTCTGAGGGTAGAAAGAACTCTTACACCTGTACTTAGAATGTATAACTCCTACAGATTTGCAGCCAAATAGACCCAGAAAAGTATTACTGATTGGACAGCACAATGACATTTCTCTACCTAGGGGGGCGAGTCAGGAGTCAGGAAAAAACATATTAATAGACTGGAGAGTGGAATGAGACAAATAACAATTAAAACATATAATTAAAAGAACATAATTTTACTACATACAAAATACTTCTTTCATGCTGTGTCAATGATATCAGTCCATCATAAGTTCATGACATTTTCTGGACCTTCCTAGAGACCAAGACTCATCCAGCATCCACTCCATGTTAACATGACTCACCACCTTTCTATTCAAATCCCTCCTCAGATAAGAGACTGTGATGGTTAATTTTATGTGTCAAAGTTCCTGGCTAGGATGCTCGTTTGGTCAACCAGCAGGCTACATGTTGCTGTGAAGGTATTTTCTGGTTGTGATTAACATTTCAGTCTGTTGACTTTGAGTAAAGCAAATTCCCCTCCACAGTGTGGGTGGGACTTATCCAATCTGGTGAAGACCTTCAGAGACAAGAAGACTGGTGTCCCCTGGCAAGGAAGCGATTCTGCCTCCAGACTGCCTTTGGGATCGAGACCTCAACATCACTTCCTGCTGGAATTTCCATCCTCCTGGCCTGCCTTGCAGATTTTGGCCATGTCAGACCCCACAACTGTGAGCCAACTTCCAAAAATAAATATTTTTCTCTTTCTCTTTTCTCTCCTCTTCTCTTATATATACATCTTGTCTGTGCTGTTTCTCTGGAAAACCCTGACCAACAGAGAGACTAAAGAGCAAGGGAAAATTATGATTATTTTACATAATCCTGAAGTAACACACAGGTTTATCTTTCTCACTGTTGGTGGAAGGCTGTAGAACAGGATAAACTATATCCCAGGAGAGTGGATTGAAGGATTTAAGAAACAGAACATGCTTGATGTGTTTTGACTAAAAACAGAAAAACACACAATGGCCTCCAAATATCATGCTACTAGGCAACACAAATGTGGCAGAGAAAGGACACAGAATTTGGGGTCAGAAAGACTGGAGGTCTTTATTTGGTTTTGATCAAGTTATTTAACTTGTGAATTTCTGAACACCTATTAAGTGGAGACCACAACACTTCCCTTTTCATGAGAAGGAAATGAGATTTACGTAAAGTGGGTCTGCCCTGAAGTTAACATTACAAAACTTGTAACTGCTGCAACTATTTCTCTCATCATTAGTTCACGTATCATATCGATGCTGCCTCGTAAGTTTTCATGTTTAACCGAAAACCATTAAAATGCCGACAGATGATGTGGACCACTAAGTACCATCGTAATGGTAGTTAGATATTACAACAGTAGTTACAAGATATTGAGTATCTATCTAATATATTTCAGGCAATATACTAGCACCTTGGATATGTAACCTGATCTCATTCCCATGATGCTGTACGGGATGGTTTTCAAAGGAAGAAAGGTTGAGTTAGAAGAGTTAAAGGACTCTCGTAAGGTCACACAGCTAACAAATGGCAAATAGAAATTCCAACCCAGTCAAGTCTGACCCCAGAGCTCATGTTTCCTGTTCCTTTCTGTCCTATCGCAGACTCTTGGTCATTAGCCTGCATGCAGGGACCACATGTATTAACATGCCTGGTGCCTTGCTTAGTGCCTGGCATGCTACAGACACACCACACGGTGCATAGGTGAATAAAAGAAGGAAGGAAAGGAGGAAATCATTCTCCCTGAAGTCGTTTACTCTACATCTGTGGCAATGAACTGTGGATTTGTCATACTTGCCTGGATGGTGAATGTAACAGGTTCTTGTCCCACTCTCCCGTCCACAATAAAGCCTTGGTTTGTCCTATCTGTGGCCACAAAAGTAAAGCAGTCAACCTGGGAGTCCCCTCCCAAGTGCCTGTAGGCCACATTCCTGCTGTCCACATCCTGCTGAGTGAAGTTGTGCTGAAGCAACACTGTCCCCCGCAGGTAAAGCTGGCCGTGTCGTGGGAGCTGGGCCAACACAAAGGTGAGGTTCTCCACTGGGGTGTCGGGGTCAGTCAGCTGGAGGAGGTCAGGGGAAAGCAGGCCCATGCCCCCCTCGTCCAGTCTCAGCCCCCTGTTCCTGGTCACCACGGGTAAGGCTCTGTCCACGGTCTCCAGTGTGATCTTAAACACCCCATGTTTGGTCTGCAGCCCATTGCTGACGATGAATCTGGCAAAGAGAGGCAAGGCAGCCTTCAGCATGGGATCTTGTGTCACCATCTACCGAAATGAAATGATAACAATACACACCTTTATTCAACAACATGTCCTGTTGGGGCTCAAATGAAGACTGAAGGGCAGATTTTCAGAAGGATGCTGTTTTAGCCATTAAACCAGTCGCTAAGTAACACACAAACTACGTACAACATTCTAGACCCAAAAGTACTCTCTCAACAACGTCGGTGGTAGAGGCACCTAGGTGGCTCGATTAGTTAAGCATCTGACTCTTGATTTTGGCTCAGGTCATGATCTCACAGTTTCTGAGGGTCAGGCTCTATGCTATCCCTCCCCTAGGGGCACACGTGTTCTTTTTTCCCTCTCTCTCTCAAAAACAAACAAACAAACAAACAAAAAAATACCACCACACTGGTGGCAGACTCATGTGATAGAGTAGGCTAATTCTGCCAACGGTATTCTTCAGACTCATCAGAATTTAGTATAGTCAATGTTTAGTAGAATTCCTTGCCCCACATAGGAATTTCACATACAAGTAGACTCACTGCATGAGTTTGAAGAGTATGCCCTTTTTATATATTCATAATCTTGCAACTATATTATCCTTGTAGGCACTTAATAAGCCAAGCTTTTAAGACTGATAATTGGGGGCCAATCCAGTGGCTGATTTTGGCTATTTCATTTTATTCATGTATTTTCACAGTAAATTTTTCACAGGCAAATCACATTACTCAGCCATGAGCCTAACTCATCTCACCTTTTTGGGCCTCATTTTCACTCTTCTGTAAAGTAAAAGATGGACCACGTGATTGCTAAGGACCATCCAACTTTAAAATATCATGTGATGCTCTAATCCCTTACATTTTTCTTGTGCTTCTATATTTTCCCTTTACAGTATATATGAGACTTATGCTAGACAAAAATTACCTTCCTGACTTAAAGAGAAAAAAGTACAGCAGAAAGTAAGGAATGTGGTGGGAGATTATAAGGCAGGCAGGAGACAGAGCTGTGATTAGAACCAGGTTGTTTGACCCCACATTTTCTGCTTTTGCAGAGTTGTGGTTTTTTTTTTTATGTTTTTTATTTATTTCTAGGAGAGAGAGAGAGAGAGAGAGAGAGAGAGAGCATGAGCAGGGGAGGGTCAGAGAGAGAGGGAGACACAGAATCTGAAACAGGCTCCAGGCTCTGAGCTGGCAGTCAGCACAGAGCCCGACGCGGGGCTCGAACCACGAACTGCGAGATCATGACCTAAGCGAAAGTCGGACACTTAACCGATTAAGCCTCCCAGGCGCCCTCCTTTTTTTTTTTTTTTTTTTTTTTTTTATTTCTAGGAGAGAGAGAGAGAGAAAGAGGCAGAGTTTTTAATACAGGACTGTTTAGCAGACCACAAAGACAGACCTGTGTACCTGAGCGCCCCTGCAGAATGGTGAAGAGAAAGCTTAAATGATATCAATTCAAAGTAAGCAAAATCTCTCACACGACCTTGGATGTATGATACTCTAATGCGCTTTTGATTTTATTGATCACTAAACCACATGCCACCCACCACTGCCAAAGTCAAAATAAAAGTAATTGAAGGGCTCTTTAGAATGTATCGATGCGTACGTTTGGTTTGAAGGGCAATTAAGAGTATCATGAAATTAAGCAAATCAAATACACTGTGGCAACTCCAAACAGTTAGGAAATCACTACTTTCAAATGTAATTCACAAATTCACCACACACCAAGGAAATATACTCTGAAATAATCATGGCGTTGTATCTATCAGTTTTTCTCCATGTACTGTTGTTGCCAGAAATATTCATGGAGGAGATACTCTTATATTCCCCGGATGTAAAAATCTCTAAAAAGAATGTTTTAGCAGAATATAACCTTAAATTATGTGAGAATTTTCTTTGGCAGTTTCTTTTTATTCAGAGAAGATATGAGGTTTCTATTTATTTTCCTAATCTGATAAATTTGACTAATGAGTTCTTTATTCTTTGTAAAATGTGTCTTGTACTTCAGGGCTTGTGGGTTGGTGCTTTGCTTTTGAACAGGAAAGAACCCGAAACCAGGTTGTAGGAGCACAACCTCAGCCTGCCTGAGGCAAAGGGCTCAGCTAAAGAGACAGCTGGATAAAAAGGAAAAGATGAGTTTGGCTGAGCACAGATTTTTACTTTGAAGACTAAGCTCACATCTTTGAGCTTTCTAATTATCTAGTTGATAAGAACACCTGCAAGGAAAATACAATGTGATGCATAAAACAAGGAATCTATTTTGCTAAGTGAAATTGTTAAGTGGAATATTACAAATCAAGCAAACTTTTGACGTTTCATACACCTTGACCTGCAAAGAATATAACCTGGTTTCTTCTCCACAGCATGTTTACAGTCTCAATAAATATAATAACTTTAGAATGGCAGATTGAGCAAATTCACATAGTTTCCTTAAAATAAAACAGTCAATTTTTCTTTTGCAAAGCTAAACATGTGCTAAATGTGTTCTAAGCCAATAGGGCAATGTCGTTGATGGATCACGAGTGTTTGCAAAATTAGTTATTTTCAAAAAAGCAAACAGAAACGCACCCAGAAAACTATCTGTGTGCTTTTCAGCTTTGTACTGTGTAGTCACCTTGACAGTTTCAGATGTCAAGTGATATGCATTTTTTAAGATAAAAATCATAATCTGTTTCCCAGGGAAAGCCTTTCATGGAATTGTACTTTTATCTCATTGTTTTCCTGTTACTATTTTTAGTTTTCCTCCCTGGAATCTATCATCTGACCCCAAGTCAAATAGGGTGGAGATATTCCCTCTATGCCTCCATTTTGTCTTTCTTCCACTCTCCCCCTCCAGAAACATGTTAATGTCTCCCATTTCAAATAAAGTGGTTCTCTCATCCTTATCAGATCCCTATCTCAAAACTACACTCTTTTGGAAAATTTTAAATGAGCGGTTTATGGTTTAGCACAAATTTAAGCCAAAGGATGTGCATTTTTAGTATAAATAGCAGAATTAAAGAATTTGCGCCCCATTAAAAGCACCCTGTCGGATGTGAGTAGAGAAGAAAGGGGAAAGGAGGGGAGAGATGGGAACGATAGTAAGGAAGTTCAAAGGGGACTCGAGTGAGTCATAGGGGCCATTCTGACTTTCCTCTCTGGCGAGTGAATTCTGAAAACACCTCGAAGCTCAGTCTCAGGAGGGCTGCCATTAATCTACAAATGCATGACCTGCGTGAGGACAACTGAAGTTGTCTTCTGATTCGGGCTGCCCATCTCAGACTCCTCCCTGCCTGATGATGGGGATCTGACCACGTCGGAAATCGGCAGCCTGCCATCAGACAGATGGGAATCAGGGCAAGCAAGCCAGGGACCAGATAAGAGTAAGAAATATGTTTACTGAGGCCATTGTTCCCAGCTGGGACACAGAGGCAGCTGTCTGTGCTGACCGAACGCTAATAAGCCAGTGGCGAGAAGGATGACATTTCTAACCATGACTGGATCACACACACCATTCCACTTTCACGAGTAACAATGCAAACGAGTCACGGGCAGAAAAATGCTCTCAGGCGGAGACAGGGTGAACGGTCATGGTTGGCTTCCCAGTCAAAATAAGCCTAGCAGAACAAGGTCAGCGCTGTTCATGTCTGCCAAGGTTGACCAGATGACCTTCCAAATGCTCTCCCCCCCACCCCCAAAGAAACCTCCCAAATATGTCTTCAAGTTTGAAAACAACCGTGTCATGGCTGTGACGGTGTCCATCCCAAGGTTAAGAAGCTGGTGGTATCAAGGCAGCAGGTCCCTCTGCGGATCTGTTTTGTTGAATTTCCTTTATTAAGGCCCCCCATGAGAAGAGACACAGCCAGGATGACCACGGTTCTCGTGAAATTTGGGGAATGACTCGCAGATCTGTTTGGGGTGCCTGCCTGGTCTGATTTCACCATTACCAGGGTGCTTTCAGGCTCTCTGCATTTCTTGGCAATAGAGTTGGCTGAAGAATCTGCCATCTGTCATGGCATTTAAAAGATAAAAATGGAATCATAAATAGAGCCAGTTCCGAAGGAAAGAGAGAGAGGAAAAAAAAAAAAAAAAAGTCCAGCCAGCATGTCAAAATGGAGGACATTAGCATGTTCTTTTAGTACCCGACTGCCAGCAGCTGAAGTCAGCTTGCTAATCACTTGGTGTCATCTGTCCTAGAATGTGCTGCCAAATCTTTCTTCCAGGCCAGCAGCACCAAACAATGCAGGAGAAATTTATGATTCACAAAATATTTTTGCAGAAGGTAAAATCTGACCGTTAAACTCCCCCGTTTAATTAATTCTGCCGTATCTTACATTAAAAAGAGAAGGGGGTGGAATCCTCTGCCACAGAATTTATCTCTCCTACCCAGCCAAATTCCTTGCCAGATTTAACAGCAAGCAACATAAATTTAGGTGATTAGGTTGGTCGCACAGATTTCATTTTTAAAAAGCACCACGATCACACGTTCATTACAACAGACTTTCGGCTTTGGTTGAGCTCCACTTGACAAGCACCACAGCAGCCCATGACTGGGTTAGTGAAATGACAAGATTAAAACAAGGGTCTTGGGCAGATGCTAGGCTCTTCCATCATAAATATGTAAAACTGTTTGCCAGACATCAGAATGATGCATAGAGGACACGTCTTCCCACAAGTGCATATTTTCCATGAAGTTTTGGTACAATGGAGAAATCTCCTCAAAATGAGATCTTAGCCCAAATTCAGCTCTGATACTCAGTTATGTCGGCTTAGATGCCTTCCTGCGCCTCTTGGAACCTTGGTTTTCTCATGTGTAAAATGGGAACAAATCATCTCGCTTGAGGTGGTGGCGTAAGGCGTAAGGGAAAGGATGGACACAAAAGAGTCTAGTACACTGCCAGATGTATTACACGTATTCAAGCGATACTAGCTTTCCCACACATCAGTGTTTTCCAACCCTTCTCTCCTAGTCTTAGAGTCATCCAAACAACACCTTTCTGCCATATTCGTGTACTACCCGTACTCTTATTATTTAACTACTTTGCTTTATGTCAATCCACTCTTGTATTTAAATAAATGTGTTTAAAAGCACACCTTTTAACCAGCACTGTCTGCTACAAAGGAAAGCAGTTAGTATTGAAGAACTGTTAAAAACATATGAGCCCAGAGAAAGAATGAAATCTGGCCATGTGTAGCAACATGGATGGACCTTGAGGGTGTTATGCTGAGCGAAATAAGTCAGGCAGAGAAGGACAGATAACATATGTTTGCACGTGTAGGAGGATTAGGAGGAACTTAACGGAGGACCATAGGGGAGAAGAAGGGGGAAACAGTGGGGGAGGGGGAGGGAGGCAAACCATGAGAGACTCTTGAATGCTGAGAACAAACTGAGGACTGATGGGTATGGGGTTTTTACTATTTGTAAAAAAAAACCAACCAAACAAACAAAAAACCAACATATGGGCCCCAGCCTGAGACTTCTTTCTTGAAACCACCAGGGAGATTGACAGAATGACAAGGGAATGGCTTCTCACTCTGGATTCCCCGTCATGTATTGCCCTCTCTCTAGACGGACCCTCATCAGTTTGCATCTTTGGGTCACTGGTAGTGCAACATTACTGTTTTTGGGAAATAGAGCCACAGCGTTTGTACTAAAGGAAAACCCTGCCCAGGAACCCGTGTGCAAAACAATAAAAACAAAACAAAACAAAGTTCCATCGGTAAATTGGGGTGAGGGTCCCAGAGCCTCACCAATTTAGCCCCTTCACTTTCTGTCTCCAGGAGGCCCCACGAGGGATTCTGGAAATCGCCAAAGCTCCCTAGAATGTTCTTGGGACAATGGACTGGACCAGACCAGTGCCTGCTGGTCATGGCGGCATCACAGCCTCCTGGAGAGCTTTTGTTTCGTTGTTGTGGTTTAAATTTTATTTCTTTATTTTGAGAGTGAGAGAGAGCACAAGCAGGGGAGGGGCAGAGAGACAGGGAGAGAGAGAGAATCCCAAGCAGGCTCCACGCAGTTAGCATGGAGCAGTCACGGGGTTCAAACCCACAAACTGCAAGTTCATGACCTGAGCCAAAATCAAGAGCGGGACACTTAACCGCTTAACAGGCTGAGCCATCCAGGCACACCCCGCCCCCCTCTCCCCACTCCAAGAGCTTTTAAAATTACAGATTCCTGGCCCAAGACTGAACTTAGAAAAGCCACCTCTCTGGAATGATGGAATGAGAACTAAGAATGTGTTTTTATCAGTCTTCTTGGTAAATCTCTTGAAGATCTAGATATTTTTAAAAATCCCTAGGACAAATTATTTCTAAAAAGCCATCTAGTATGACTTTCTATGGCTGTGAATTAGGAAAATTTTAGAGTATCATCAATCCTCACATACAGACATTTTGCTTTTCATTCTCAGCTCATCACCACCATCTGATGAATACTTCAACTTGATTTCTGGAGATCTAGATGCATTTATTCACTAGCTTCTCCAGAAGGGATGCTTGTTTCTCCAAAGAGTCATTAATGTCTTCAGCGAACTGTCCCATGACCATTGACTGGGGAAAGTGGGAATGGAAAGGAGCAAGCAGTTCCAGAAATGGGTGTAAAATTATAGGCCCTGAGACTGATATACATGCATTAAGCCAAGAAGCACCCAGTTTCCATAAGTAACCAGTAAAAAAAGAACAATCATCACTCTTCTTTGTAATTTCTTTCCCCTTCAAGAATAATCTTGGTATTGTGAAGACTGGCAAAGAAAAAGAGCCAAGGAAAGAATATAGTAAACCATGATAACAATTGCAATAACAACAATAATAGTAGCTGTCAGAGTGGCTAATACTTATTTAATTCCTCCTGGGTGTCACATATATTTAGAAGTACTTTACATGCATAAACTCATTTAAAGCTTCTGTCACTCCTATGAAACAGGTACTATGAGCATCGTTTCTTTTCACAAAAAGGACACAAGAGCAGAGAAGGGTGTGTGACTTGGCCACAGAGTGGTCTTAACAACTCTTCTCTACCACTTCTGGGACAAAATAACTGGCATAAAAAGGAATCCACACATCTGATGCTTTGCTAACGCCTAGCAACACTCAAACACTAACCTGTTATTTAGAAATTGATCAGCCAAATGACTATCTGCTTGTTAAGGACATTTGTCGAAAGAGAAAAACAGAAACTATTAGTTCGGACTTCCCCAATTTTTTAACAGCTGACTATCCCAATCCTCTTCCCAAATTGTCATTCCAAAAAGGCAAGCAAAACCATCTTTCGTGACATTTAAACAATGTTTATCATTGCAGACATGAATTTAGAGAGACAAAATGTATGACAGAGGAGAGCAGTGTTTGAGCACGGGTGTATCAGTGCCCTTGATAACTTATGGGGACCCAATTAATAACATGAGAGTATGCTACACTTACATGAGTGATAGTGCTGTTTTGAAGGTTGTATCCTTTTTTTTTTTTTTTATAAATAGTTTATTGTCAAGTTGGTTTCCATATAACACCCATTGCTCATCCCCACAAGTGCCCTCCTCCACTCCCATCGGTTGTATCCTTTTGTTTAAAGATTTTATTTTTAAGTAATCTCTACATGCAATGTAGGGCTCGGACTCACGACCCTGAGATCAAGAGTCACATGTTCTTCTGACCAAGCCAGCCAGGCATCCCACTGAAGGCTGTTATCTGACATGGTGAAAACTGTACTGGGTGTCAGAAGCTTTTCATGTGTGGCAAATCCCCTCGGGGTCTCCATGTTAGCTTATAAACCCCAGGGATGCATATGTAGCATGGTTCCCCCAAAGGCTAGTCCAAGATTTCTAGATTCTCATCCCAGCCCTAGGCATCTGGATTTCTATCACGAACCTTGAGTTCAGCCAGCTTTGAGAACTGCTAAATGATAGATTCTCTAGAATTTGTCTTGCTTTATGTGACTGGAAACAGATCTCAATATTTTAAATGAGGGCAGACTTTCATTAACGTTGGATCTTTGTCTTTGCACCAGATTGTTATTCATTCCAATGATGTGTTTGATACAGAATTCCTGAACGGATACACAGCCCCCGCCCCATTATAACACTGTTTCTATGGGGAAACGTCATCCACTCTATGACAACAGAACTTATGATAGAGTTTCTATAAACTCATCATGTCAAAAGTCAGTGTCTGCTTATGCCAAATGTTTACTAACTACATTTCCTCAGATAGAAAAAGATACTCAAAGAAAGCAGTAAATTAGTTTTCTATGTCTCTCCTTAGCTGGGACTCTCAGGCCTTCACATTCCTCCTAGAAGAGCTGGCATTTAGATGTGCTCTATTTTTTTAAAAAAAATTTAACATTTATTCAGTTTTGAGAGACAGAAAGAGTGCGAGCAGGGGAGGGGCAGAGAGAGAGGGAGACACAGAACCTGAAGCAGTCTCCAGGCTCTGAGCTGTCAGCACAGAGCCCAGTGAAGGGCTCAAACTCACAAACCATGACATCATGACCTGAGCCGAAGTCAGACGCTTAACCGATTGAGCCACCCAGGAGCCCATAGATTGCTTTATTGTTAAACAACAACCCTAATGTCTGACTTTGCTGTTGTCCTTTAAATTGTACACCTTCCCCTGTCATGCATCACAGCAGCAGAAGACCAGTGAAGTATCAGAGTTGGAAGAGAACTTATTTTCTGCCTCCTGTTGTCTTTCTAAGCGTTAACTCAGGGAAGGGGTTCTGAAGAGTTTTCTGAGGGCTCACCTGAAGGTGTCATGGGAGGCAGCTGCCTTGCTCTTATGTACATAACAGACGGTCTGTCCTGCTATGTCCATCTGGCTGAAGCTTGTAATGGGGAGTCCAGGATAGCGGACATATTCGACCTGGCCGTACCGCGGAGCGGAAGTGATGACATAGAGCAGTTCCTCGGGTTTGTCTGTTCCATCCACAGCAAAGAGAGCAGCGGTTGTCAAGAAACCTCGGTCACCTTTAGACACCACAAGCGGTTTTGCGAGGATGACAATATCGCCTGCAGAGCAGAAGAGCTTGTGGTCAAAACCCAAATTAAACAAAACAAAACAAAAAATGTCCAAGGGAAAGGTAAAAAGCAGAGGCCAAGCGGCAGAAAACAAAGCTAATATGGTATAGAAAGGTTTATATAATCATGATTAATAAAAGAATTAGGCAAAAGATACCAGATATGACACAGCAGGGGAAACACATGTATGGCCAAATAAAGATACAAAAAGAAGGTCAGACTCATAAACAATTGTGGAAATGGAAATCAAGGTCACAATAAGTTACAACCTCGTAACTCCCTGGTTTGCAAACATTTAGAATCCTGATGATACCAAGTGTTGAAGAGAGTGTAGAATCTCTCACATGACTCTGGCAGGAATGTAAATTGGCACACGTTTGGTATTATTTTGTAAAGAGTGGAATATTCACAGATGTCTTGACCCAGCAATTCCACTCCAGCTGTGTGCTAGAGAGCTCCGGCACCCAGGAGACGTGGACCAGGATGACCAGGGCAGCCTTGAAAGTGCTGGAAACAACCAGATGCCTTTGCAAAAGGTAAATATGTAAACAAACCATGGTCTAATCAGACAACTGAATTGTGTACAGTAGCAAAGTGAAGGAAGTACCCCTACAAGCAACAACAGACATAGCTTGCTAATGCTGGTTAGTGGCATGAGCATGTCCCAGAAAACCATGAACAAAAGTAAAAATACTGACACAAAATTCAGGAGGACGGTTCTCTCTAGAGGATGGGAAGAACACACAGGTAGATGTTTGCTACTGTTAATGTTCCGGTCCTTGAATTGGATGGCAGTTGCACAGGTGTGTCATATGTATTTAAAAGAGACTAAATGAATGAATGAACGAATTCTATAAATGAGTGAAGTAGAAGTGGGTCACGTGTGAACTAATGGTGCAGTTTTACAAACTAAGGATTATAATTCAATGTTGGTCACCTCATTCATTTAAAAAACGATCACAATGCAGATATTGAGCTTTTTACTTTGTGCCAGGCACAGTGGTAAGCCTCTTCCACCTTCACACCAACGGAGACATAGCGTATTATAGTATTTCTCAGGTTATACATGAGGAAACTAAGGTATAGAAATGTTAACCAACTTGCGAATAATTATACATGTAATAAAAGGTAGAGATAGAATTTATACTCAAGCCATCTGACTCAAGAACACAAACTTGAACACTAGATTATTTTGCTGCTTCTTTGCAATATATCGAAGCTCTTAAATATCAACCCTAAAAGAATGAATGTCCAAAAGGAACATTACTTCACACATTAGTATGTGTATGTTTGTCAAGCCATTCATAAATTTAAAAATATAAATTATCAATAAAATATGAAAAGATGTTCAGTCCCATGAGGATAGATAGATGATAGATAGATAGATAGATAGATAGATAGATAGATAGATAGATAGAATATCAAGGAGGTATAACTAGAGCAGTGGTTCTCAATGAGTGGCAGTTTGAGTCCCCAGGGGACATCTGGCAATGTCTAGAGACAGCTGTGGTGGTCATAACTGAGGTTTCTATGGGCTTCTAATAGGTAGAGGCCAGAGATGCTTGTACACTTCCTAGAATGCACAAGGAGGTCCATTATAACAAAGCATTACCTACCCCCACATGTCAATAATGTTAAGATTGAGAAACTCTGTATCAGATAATTAAATTGGTCTTTTTGGTATATTATCTTGCTTTTAACTCAAAATGCTATCCAAATGTTAAGTACAATGGAGAATCAAAAATCATTCTAACTTTACATCAAAACCTAAGTCCCAGATGAGGTTTGCTCCATGCAAGTCAAGACGAATGCATCAAGGGAGCAGAAGACTGAACAAAGCTGAGGACACAAAAACTACCCATGGAAGGTTTCACCAGGAGCAGAAGATGGGCCTGAAGGGAGGAGTGGCATCTGGGCTTACCCTCATGACAGTTGTTCAGCACTGTGATGGCAGAGTATGGTTTGGGGTCCACTACAGACTATGTCCCTCTAAGCTTCTCTCAAAGATTTCCACATCACTTTTGCCAGTGTGCAAAACGCAAGAAACAGAACAAATGGAAGAGGCCTGATGTTATTTAGAATCACTCTCCAATGGAGATGACCTGAATGCTCAATATTAGGTTTAGGGCTTAGTGTAATTATTCAGTGTAGTTTTATTTAGAGATGAACAATTCCAGTCATAAAGTTATGTTACAATTTGAGAAAACTCACACTAAGTAAAAATAAACAAATAAATATAAATAAAAATACAACACTGTGATGTAAAAACAAAAAAAGAGAAGACATTTGGAACTTCCGGCAGATGCTAATAGGTTACTGTATCTGTTTGATAGAAGTGTTCACGAATCCTTTCAGAAAACAATCCCACATTGGCACCTGGGAGGAGGCGGATCAGTTGGTTAAGCATCCAACTCCTGATCTAGGCTCAGGCTGTGATCTCATGGGATTGAGCCCCGCCTCGGGCTCTGCACCGAGCGTGGAGACTGCTTGAGATTCTCTCTCTCTGCCCCTCCCCTCTCAAAATATATAAAATAAACTTAAAAAAGAAAAAAGGAGCGAATCCCATGTTAGTCACAGCAGAGATTGGCCAGGTGCTCACCAACCTCATTTCCTTTTCATCCTGGGCACAGCGCTAGAGTTTCTACCACCCAGCCTCCCTTAATGTGGTGTATGACTCTGATTCAGCCACTGGGATGTGGAGAAGACAGGTACTTCCATGCCTAGGATAGGCCACCTCTCGTTTTCTTCCACGTTTCACTTCCAGAGTGATTCCAAGGCCTTCAGAGATAAAGAAAGCTCTACCTGGAAAAAAAAAATCCCTAGATGGGTGGTGTGTAGGACAGAGTCCTCCTCCACCCTGGGGAATGCGTTGTGCTTAGCCAAGGGCAGTTGGTCCAAATGCATTAGCCATCTGCACTGACATAGTACTTGCCTTACATTTTGCCTGGACATCTATTTATGATGACCATTTCCAGAAAGAGAGAAATGTGTACAGTAATATCTAGCTTATCTGAAGGTCACTTCTTGGACATCTTCAAGGAACATATTTTATGACCAAGAAACTAGCAGATGAAATGTTATTTCATATCTGGGATATATGTATACATATATAAATATGTATAGATTCCCCAATACCATCTCAAAATCAATCAAACTGACTTAAATGAAAAAGAGGAGAGATTCAGGACAATCGTAATTCTATCACACACATGATGTAAGGTTTATACCGCACTCAGAGCTTCCTGGCAGCAAGGCAAAAAAGGAAGCATTCAGTCAATCAAGAACACACTGAAGATTCAAGAATATGCTTGGTCCTAGGAATATAGAGATTCTGGGACTATACAGAGGAACAAGAAATGAACTAAACTTCCTCACGTAAACTCTGAGCAGAATTATGGGGTGGTGACAGCTGGGCATTGAGGGCTTATACTTTGCCTTGGTGAGCTTCCTTTCCAGTATTTTTTTCACCCTCATCCCGCTACCATTTATACACTGCTGAACCCTATTATACAAACGGTCTGCTTAATTCAAGAGAAGCTTAGTATCTCATCGTGCCCTCCCTTGTCCCTAAAAGAGTTTGTGTTACCACTTTCAAAGTGAAGGGAGCAACAGCCTAACTTTTTAAGTGACCAAGTTCCTTTTGATGATTTTTCAATTTTAAAATATATTTTTGTTTCCTTTTTTTATTACCATATTGGAAATGTTTTTCCTGTGAAACTTCATTTTCAAGTAATAATTCACTTCCAGAAGATTAAAAATTAGAGTTATCACACTGAGTTGGTAAAATTTATACTGATAGCAGAAAACCCTGTTGTAAGTAGCCTGTGTAGCCATATTGTGGGCAAGGTTGGGTTTCCAATAGGCTTTTTAAATACTAAAAATAACAAATAGAAGGACCTCTGCCATGAAGCCCATAGCTCCCAGGCAAAGCAGGTGAGGAGTCAAAGAAGTGAATCATAAATGATGGAATTTCAGGTACGAAGGACAGAAGGAGAAAAGGAAGGAAGAAAGGAAAGAAAAGAGAAGGAGGGAGAAGGAAGGAAAGAAGGAAGTTAGTTGAAAACCTTTCAGTGCTTCTAGAAGCTCACTTCTGGTTATAAAACTTAGTACAAATAACCCTTGACACAGATGCTTTTACCTTTTCCCATATCCTTGATGGTGATGTGACAGTCAAATGCCGGTGACCTGTTGTCACCATCCCAGAGGTAGAAGGTAAAGCTGTCTTTGTTCTGGGAATCCATTGCCCGGGTGTGTGTGTATCTCAGCAAGTTCAGATCCACGTCCTCCTGGGTGCACTTCATACCAGGGTAGAGAGGGACCCAGTCACTCCCTATCTGAAAGGCGCCAGAGTTAGTTAGCCGTCCATGGTTTTTTCCTTCCAAGCTGTGTTAATGGACATTTCCCATATCCCCTGTAAACCTCCAGTATAAATATTTCAGGGAATCTCCAATATGCATTTTATTTTTGCCATTTTACCTTATTTTTTTTTCCTTTCAAAGAAATATATTAAAACAAGTTACGACCTTGGGAAAAGAACTACCTTTAACCAAAGGATTTTTGACAGCCGTGTGGCAATTCAACAGCAGTGCTACATCCAAGGTATTTATCATAAGCAATCCTAGCTGATTAAATATTCCAATGAATGAGAGCAGGTGGGTAATCGAGCTGCTGAAATTGATTCTTTAAAAATTAAATATGTTTCATTTGAGGTTTCCTTTTTTTTTCTTAGTTCCTATCATTGTACAATTAATCAAACCTGTTTTTTTCAAACTGGTTTCTCTCTGGACTAATCTGAAATAGATAAAACAAAAATAGAATGGATGTATTTACTCCCAGTTAGCTTTCCCTAACAATAGCTCAAAAAAGCCACTTGACATATCACATTATCTTCTGTTTTTCCTTGTCCGGTTTAAGAGACTAAAATAGAAGTGTGAAACCATTGTGTTTCTTTTCTTTCCTTTGACACATTATTCCACAGACTCTCAATTCCTGGCAAAAAATGCTTTGTCCTGCCCTCCCCTCCTTATCCCCTCCTTTTATGTCCTATTTGATAAAGTTTCCTCCTCTTTAAACTTCTGTTCATCTGATGCTGTACAGAGATACGTTCTGTCCCTGTGCTCACTGAGTGAAAGTTAGTTACATTGTAACAGTCAAGCTCATTGTTTCCATCATAAGATCTCCATGCAAATTTCATTTTTAAAACAGTCTCCTTCCAGTTTTAAACTGGACAGGCTGCAATTCTAGCTAACTTTTTTTGTTTTGTAATCTTCTCTGAGAAAGTAAATACAGAAGAAGATACCTTTTGCTACCTCCCATCTCCATACAATTCCCCATTCCCAAGTGCCAGCTTTGATTTTACAAAATTATTTGCAAGCTCCCAAAGAGGAAGAAAGTCAGACTCAAGATGGGGCAAACTAAGGAAAGTCGATAAGAACAGAAGAACCCTTGAGGAAGGCCAGCAGCCCCAGAGTCCTGGTCCCTGCTCGTGGAGAGACTTGGAAACCCCCAAGGGAGCTGGGAGAGAGCTACATGGTGTCATACCAGTAGCCTGGACCCATCTGGATTTTCACATACCCGTAGCCCTTCAGTGCCCATGCTACCCAAATGTGTGCACTCTCACTGCATTTCTGCTTCATTACTCTTCGAAATGAAATAAGGACACAGCTGTACCTCAATTTAAATCAGTGATGGCTCTTCATTCTGATTCTCTATGGTGCCTCCAGTCTAAGACAATCAGGCTGTTCCACGAAGAATGAATCCTCACTGCTCTTTTAGGACTTTGTCTACATTATATTATAAGTTAAGCACTCAGTCAAATAATCACACTGGGAGTGGCTGGTGGTTACTGTTGCTAGCTTTAATCCATCATGCAAATAAACGTGTAGATGGATTACTCAAGTGACCTTTTCAAGTGACTGATGTATAATTTGTGCTGGGTTACTCCGTGGTTGTCATGCACATGCTCTGAATCAGACTGGTGAGCACCGTTTGTTAAAAGACTGTCTTGTCTCTATTGTATTGCTTCTGCTCCTTTGCCAAAGATCCACTGACTATATTTCTTTGAGGGTGGACTTCTGGACTCTCCATTCTGTTCCACTGATTTATTTTTCTGTTCTTCCACCAAACCCATACTAACGGAACTAATGCAGCTTTATAGTAAGTCATTTTTTTTTAATCTTTTAATGTTTTATTTCTGAGAGAGAGAGACAGCATGAAAAGAGGAGGGTCAGAGAGAGAGGGAGACACAGAATCTGAAATAGGCTCCAGGCTCTAGGCTAGCTGTCAGCACAGAGCCCGATGCGGGGCTCGAACCCACAAACCGTGAGATCATGACCTGATCCAAAGAGAGCCACTTAACCGACTGAGCCACCCAGGCACCCCAGTAAGTCTTGAAGTCAGGTAGTGTCATTACTTTAACTTTGTACTCCTTTGTGCTCACTGTTTTGGGTATTTTGCCTCTCCATGTGAACTTTAGAAACAGATTGTTAATATCCACAACTGCTCTTCAGAGTAAAGTCTATTAAAAATGGTTTTAATGTGGTGGGAATTAAGATATCTCAAAAGACGCCTGGTTCTCACCAGAAATTAGACAACTTGGTTTACCCCAGTAACCCCCTCTCTCCCAAATTTAGGTGCAAACCCAAGGCAGAAGGAACAATAAAGAACCTTATTATTTGGTTGAACATACCTTGAGTTGAGTAAAGAAAATTTTGTATAGTGTGAGTTCACCCCAAACTAAGAAAATTAAATTTTCTACCTCTGGGTAAACTATGGCTATGAGAGAATAAATTCAGTTGTAGAAATCTGTGGATTAAGAAAATTTATACCTGCCACATTCATTTTGAAAAATCAAAGTAAAAAGGCCACTAACCTTAAGTTGAAGTTGCCCATTTTGGGGAAGCCTTTCAAATAAATAGTAAATCTTCTCCCTGGGCGAATCTCCATCTATGGCTGAGAGAATGGCACTAGAAATAACTCGAGCTTCACCCATTTTCACTGTAATTTCAGCCTTCCTGTAAAAAGGAAGATGTCTAGGTTGATAGGAAAATAGAAGGCACTGCTTTTACAGGGGTCATTCCGAATGACAATTACACTTCTCAGTCTTCAACAACTAAGGGATGATATTCCACATCCAAAGTACTGAAAATGATGAGTTGGACTTGTGACACAGGCTCTCATTTCACTTTACACATGAAAGTCCTAAAAAGACAATTAGTCAGCAACAACGAATATGGTATGAGGTCATTAAATCCTTCTCACGGTTAACCTGCATTGAACTTCACAATTCCATGTTGTAACTTCTTTCATAAAATGGGCTGCTTTCCAATGTTTCATCTGCTACAACAACAGCTGCATGACCTAAGTGGCCAAGGTGTAATCATTCAAATTTCACAAAAACTTACATAAAGAGAGTAAACGGCTTATCCACAGGCGTTCTGGTACCCTTTATGAAATACCATTATGAGTGGGGCCATACCTGGGCCATCCACGGCCCTCGACATTACTCCCCCTTCCCCTGGTGATGTTCTGGGCAGCAAGCTTTCTCTTCACAGTGACTGATCGTTTCCAAGTGTTCCAGTGGCCAGGTTAGCCCCTGGTGTCCTGAAGAGAGGGCTGGGACAAGCGGCTGCTGCGTCCACCATAAATGTCACTACTGTGGTTCTCAGGTCCTCTCTGGGGCTATTCCTTTCACAGTCGACATAGCCATTTGCCCCGTCTCACCAAAGTGAGGAAGGGATTTCTTTCCATCCGTGTTTCTAGCTTTTGGCCAAACTCTGTCCAATGTTACAGCTTGGTTTCTAATAAAAATGGGGACGTTTCCTTGGGATGCAGATAAAGGACCGACTGGCATTCCAACAGCCTTCCACACCCCTGCTGAGAAGCCAGAGCCCAGACACCTCAGTTGTAACCTCTTGTACTTGGCGGCTTTCTCACCCTCTAGGACTGACGTCTTCCCTGGCAGTAGGAGGGGGTTTCTGTCTACCTCCTTCCTAGAGAATATGAATCCCATCACTCTAGAAGCTCACGAATCAGTTGGCCAGTTGCTTACGGAGATTAGTGGCACCACTGACGGAAACAGATTAATCAACGCAGGAAGGAGGCCGATGTGACAAAGAAGATAAGGAGTTGGGCGGGAAGAAAGCATCAGAATTAAATGTCAGAGGGGCCCAAGGAGAAGAAATTATGTCATAGTCTGAATTACCCCGAAAGGGACCATGGGACAAAGACTGCAGTGCAGGTAATTTATTTGGGAAGGGATCCCAGGAAACAAGAGAAAGAGGCGAGGAGTGAGACATGGCAGGAGGGAAAGGCAACAAAACTGTTTCTCCAGCAATGGGGCTCCGTGGTCCTGAGGATCCTTTGAAGAGTCATATAGAATATGCTTCATATTCTACTTCTGAAGGATGGGCGTGTGGGACATTTATTTTATCCACTAGCTCCCACAGGGTAAGAGCTGCCATCAGAGTGCTTTCCGCTGTGTCTGGACACCGACAGAAAAAGCTGATGTTGCTTCAGAGAATCCCTGAGCGACACAGCAAGTGAGGCAACGCGCTGAGGCCCTTGTAAAGCGGCCCTGACACTGTGTGTGCTCTTTTCCACCACAAGAGCAACTATAATCAGAGGGGTGGTGGGGATCAGGAGACTAAGAGAGCGTGACCCAGAGAACCAAAACTATCTACTGCAGCATCTCAAAGGAACTATCAAAGGAGTGGTGTCAAATGCTCTAACGAGGTCCAGCAAGGTAAGACTCATTTCACTGGGAAAGCCAAGGGTAACTTTTAAGGGAGAAGCTCTCATAAAGTCGGGGAGGTTGGGCAGAAAAAGCCGAAGCAAGTACAAGCGAATACCTCCAAATAGTTTGGCACTGAAATGAGTGAGGCACTGGGTTATCTTTGTAGTTGTAGCTTTAGAATGAGACTACATGCTTGTAATAATGGTAATAATTAACACTCAGGAGCACTCACTAGGTACTGGTCAGTCTTTCAAGTGCTTCTATATCTTTTAATTCATTTAATCCTTGCAACAACCTTGTGAAGAGGATACTGTTACTATCCCAACTTACAAAGAGGTTGACAAAGAGGTCAGGAGAGATTAAGTGACAAGTTCAAGGCCACACAACCGGTTAATGGTTGAACCAAGGCAGTCTGGCCCCAGAATTTGCTCTCTTAACCACTAACTATATCCCTGTGTCTTGTTAGCAGAAGGAATGAAAAGGGAGAGACTGAAGATGTAAGAGAAAAAAATAACAGAGCACATTCTGGGAGGAGGCAACAGGTGATCCACCCAAGGACACACATGGAAGGGAAAGAAGGGGGACTATAACTACCATTCACAGGAGAGAAGGAAAAAAAAAGAAAGAAAGAAAAAGAGGGGACTTGGAAGAGAGTTGAAGGAGATTTGGCAATTCTATAGATGAACAATCCCTGGCAGTTTATTGGCAAGAACACAGCAAGAAATAGTAAGTCAGATAGAGTTGAGTGAGTGCCCTGTTACTATCTGGTCTCAGTTTTCTCAGTAAAGATAACGATGCCTACTTCCCATAATTCTGGTGAGGATTTAAGGAAATACTTTCTGTAACAGGATCCAATACAGTGTCTGTCACATACTAAGCACTTAATAAACACCAGTTTTTATCTCTTTCTTCCTCTCAGATGCAGTGAAGTCATCAGAAAGAAGTTTCATATTACTGCAATACCCTTCATATTTTCATTTTTATAAATCAAGGTCATACCAGTTCAACATGAAATTTTCTTCTGAATACTTTCAGTGAAACTGATGTCTGAGGTGCAACCCTCCAAAAAACTGTCAGTATTTCCCATAATAATTTTCACGGGCCAGAGGGAATGGCAGGATAAAGAAGGGAATTGTTTGAGGTCCTCTTTTCTGCAAAGTGGAGGAGATTTTGGGGGTTTACACAGTTTTCAGGAAGTTGTTCGCCTCCTGCAAAAAACTAGGACTGCCTACTGAATGCCTCTCACTGCTGCACCATTGGATACAGAGGTGAAGCGGTTAAAGAAGCAGACACTTCTCTGCACCCAGCACTGGAGAAAGTTGAGCCTCCTAAAGTTTTACCCTCATACAGTTGTGTACAGTTGCTGGTAATAAGAGAAATGGATGGACTGTAGAAATACAATTGATGAAGACTCTGTACCCTATTATTGAACGAATCAACCGCAGAGGGAAATACTGAGTCTGCAATTAATATCAGTGCAAGATTTTTAAATGATCACTTAAGTGATCACTTCATATTGGGTTGTAGGGGACGTTTGATCCATTTGGAACACAGGGGACTGGTGGCTAATGAAATACCAAGATGATGAAAGAAATGGCATTTACATATTTCCCTCAACCACTCTTAGTTAAAAATCTGATCGATTTCACAGGGAGGACTGCCTGCGGTTAATATTATCACATTTTAGTTACGTCTACACCTCCATTGCACTTTGGTATGTGTATGTGCATGCAGGAGCATGTATATATACATGTGTTTAAATACTTGCTACACTGTTCATTCCATATTGTAGGTTCAGTCATTATTAATTATTTACAACTAGCTAGAACTTTTAGAGGAAAATCAAATAGCTAAAGTGTGAATCTAAGAATTGTTAGGGAGATGATACATTAACTAACATTTGCACTAAAGGTTGTAGGTTCTTGAGTAGGCGGGACAAGTTGTGAAAGACAGGAGCTATCAAAGACTTATTTCTCTCTGGAAGATGTACATTACATTTGCACCTAATCTTCCAGACTTTGGAATTTTCTAGAGCATCAGAAAAGAACTCTTTGGGTAGCTTACTTTCTCAGCATTGGTTTCTCATCATTAACTGGGGTGATTTCTACTGAAATCGTTTTTAATATCTTATGTTTCCCATCTGACAACTGGATTGTGAAGTCATCAGCAAGGCTCTCTGAGTCATCATGCACATACATCAATTTCATTCCTGGAAGAAGGAAAAGAAGAGAGAAAGTAAATCGTTCCTATGATTAAGCCATTCCAAAACACATATAATATCTTTTAATTTCCAAGGTATTGGTATCAGCAAGAGTTCATTAATCAGTACATAGGGTGAAGTTAAACTGTTTTATAAAGTAAGATTGCCCTCTTAGTTCATTAAAAATTCATATTTAAATACTTTAGTATTTGATAAGGATCTTATTTAGAAATCAGTGAGGAAAGGATACATTATTCAATAAACTGTCTGAAAACAGTGGTTCATTACTTGGGGGAAATTATAGTTAGATACCTACCTCAAGCTAATAAACAAAATGAATTCTAGATGAATCACAACTTAAGTATAAAACTATTTTTTGAAAACCTACAGAAATTCATATGAAAACGCAAGAGACCCGGAATAGCCAAATTTTGAAAAAGACCAAAATTGGAGACTCACATTTCTTATTTTCAAAACTTACTACAAAACCACAGTAATGAAGACAGTGTAGAACTGACATAGAATAGACATAAAGTTTAATTTAATAAAGGAGAGTCCAGAAATAAGTTCATACATTTACAACCAACTGAATCTCATCAGGAGAACAAAACCTATTCAATGGGGAAAGAATAGTTTTTTCAATAAATATTGCTCAGACAACTGAACAGCCACAGGCAATAGAATGAAGTAGGATCCCTACCTCACACTATATACAAAAATTAGCTCAAAATGGATAATAGACCTAAATATAAGAGCTAACCTAAAAAAACTGTTAGAAGAAAACAGAACAATAAATCTTTGTGACTTTGAGTTAGAAAATGGTTCCTTAGATAAGATACCAAAAGCACAAGTGACCAAAACAAAACAAAAATGGTGGATAATTTCAATCTTAACAAAATAAACAATTCAGGGCTAAAAATGATACTACTAAGGAAGCAAAAAAACAGAAAAACAGCCCACAACACTCGAGAAAATATTTATAAGTCATATATCTGATAAGGGAGGGTCTAGTATTCCAAATATAATAAGAACTTTTACAACTCAATAATAAAAGACAACCCAGTTACAAAATTGGCAAAGGATTTGGGTAGATATTTTTCCAAATAAGATGTAAGAATATAGACAGATGGCCAATAAACTAATGAAAAGATGTTCAATGCTATCAGCAATTAGGGAAACTAAATCAAAATTACAATGAGACACTATTTCACACCCATTAGGATGGCTATAAGAAAAAGACAGATAATAACGAACATTGGTGAGGATGCAGAGAAAATGCAACTCTCACATTACTGGTAGGAATGTAAAATGATTCCTACTTTGGGAAACAGTTTGGCGGTTCCTCAGCATGTTAATAACAGAGTTATCACATGACCCAGCAATTCCACTCTTAAATATATACCCAAGAGAAACGATAGTATATATCCATACAAAAACTTATACATGAATGTTCACAATCAAAAGTGAAAGTGACTCAAATATCCATCAACTGATGAATGGATTAAGTAAATGCGGTATGTCCGTACCACTGTATGGACATTATTATTATATATATATAAGGAATATATGAATATATATAACAAATTGAATATTATTTGGTAATAAAAAGAAATGGAGTAGTTTTGACTCATGCTACAATATGGGTGAATCTTACAAACATTATGTTAAAGAAAAGAAACCAGTTACAAAAGATCATATATTCCATTTATATGATCCTGAAATGTCAGAATAGACAAATTTATAGAGACAAAAAATAGAGACAAAAAAAGAGACAAAAAATGTATAGAGACAAACCAGCTTACTGGTTGCCAAAGGATGAGGAAGAAGGGGTGAGAATGAGTGCTAATGAGTAGGGTATTTCTTTCAGGAGATGATGAAAACGTTCTAAAGTTGATCATGATGATGAATATACTAAGAACCTCTGAATTCAAGGCTTTAAATGGATAAATATTATGGCATGTGGATTATATCTCAAAAAAAGTTGTTTTAAAATATTTGGAAGACTTCTCATAGATGGCTATGAGAAGCCCTCAGCTAACATCATCCTCAATGGGGAAAAACCGAGAGCTTTCCCCCTGAGATCAGGAACACGACAGGGATGTCCACTCTCACCACTCCACTGTTGTTTACCATAGTGCTGGAAGTCCTAGCATTAGCCATCAGACAACAAAAAGAAATCAAAGGCATCAGAATTGGCAAAGAGGAAGTCAAACTTTCACTCTTCGCAGACGACATGATACTCTACATAGAAAACCAGAAAGACTCCACAAGAAGCCTACCTGAACTGATCCATGAATTCAGCAATGTTGCAGGATACAAAATCAATGTACAGAAATCAGTTGCATTTTTATACACCAATAATAAAGCAACAGAAAGAGAAATCAAGAAACTGATCCCATTCACAATTACACAAAAAAAAAAAAAACCATAAAATACTTAGGAATAAACCTAACCAAAGATATAGGAGATCTGTATGATGAAAACAATAGAAAACTTATGAAGGAAATTGAAGAAGACACAAAGAAATGGAAAAACATTCCATGCTCATAGGTCAGAAGAATAAATATTGTTAAAATGTCATTACTACCCAAAGTAATCTACACATTCAATGCAATGCCAATCAAAATTGCACCAGCATTCTTCTCAAAACTAGAACAAACCATCCTAAAATTTGTATGGAACCACAAAAGACCTCTTCTTGATCCACATAGACCAATGGAATAGAATACAGAACTCAGAATTGGACCCACAAATGTATGCCCAACTAATCTTTGACAAAGCAGGGAAGAGCATCAAATGGAAAAAAGACAGCTTCTTTAACAGATGGTGTTGGGAGAACTGGACAGCAACATGCAGAAGAATGAAACTAGATCACTTTCTCACACCATACACAAAAATAAACTCAAAATGGATAAAGGACCTGAATGTGAGACAGGAAACCATCAAAACCCTAGAAGAGAAAGCAGGAAACAACCTCCTTGACCTCAACTGCAGCAATTTCTTACTTGACACATCCCCATCCCCAAAGGCAAGGGAATCAAGAGCAAAAATAAACTATTGGGACCTCATCAAGATTAAAAGCTTCTCCACGGCAAAGGAAACAATCCATAAAACTAATAGGCAACTGATGGAATGGGAAAAGATATTTGCAAATGACACATCAAATAAAGGGCTAGTAGCCAAAATCTATAAGGAATTCATCAAACTCCACACCCGAAAAACAAATAATCCAGTGAAGAAATGGGCAGAAGACATGAACAGACACGTCTCCAAAGAGGACATCCAGATGGCCAACAGACACATGAAATGATGAATGGATCAAGAAGATGTGGTTTATCTATACAATGGAATTCTGCATGGCAATGAGAAAGAATGAAATCTGGCCATTTGTAGCAACATGGATAGAGCTAGAGGGTGTTATGCTGAGCAAAATAAGTCAGGCAGAGAAGGAAAAATACCATATGTTTGCACATGGATTAGGAGGAACTTAACGGAGGACAATGTGGGAGAAGGGGGAAAATAGTTGGGGAGAGGGAGGGAGGCAAACCATGAGAGACTCTTGAATGCTGAGAACAAACTGAGGGCCGATGGGAGTGGGGTAGAGGGGAAGGGAGGTGATGGACATGGGGGAGGACACAGTTGGGATGAGCACTGGGTTTTATATGGAAACCAACTTGACAATAAACTATCTAAGAAAGAAAAATAAATAAAATTAAAGTGATATTTTTTAAAAGTAGAATATAAAATATTTGGAAGACAATGGGGCACCTGGGTGGCTCAGTCGGATAAGCATCCAACTTCGGCTCAGGTCATGATCTTACGGTTCGTGAGTTCGAGCCCTGCATTGGGTTCTGTGCTGACAGCTCAGAGCCTGGAGCCTGCTTCAGATTCTATTTCCCTCTCTCTCTGTTCCTCCCCCACTCATGCTCTGTCTCTCTCTGTCTCTCTCTGTCTTAAATAAATGTTAAAAAAATTTTTGGAAGACAATACAAGTAAATAGCTTTTTCAGACATTTTTTAAGGTTTTTTTTTTTTTTGAGAGACAGAGAAAGTGAGAGAGAGAGAGAGAGAGCAGGGGAGGGGCAAAGAGAGGGAGAGAGAGAGAATCCTAAGCAGGCTCTGCACTGCCAGCATGGAGCCCGCTGTGGGGCTTGAACTCATGAACCCATGAGATCATGACCCAAGCCCAAATCACGAGTCAGATGCTTAGCTGACTGAGCCACCCAAGAACCCCTACAAGTAAATATCTTATTTCTGAATGCAGAAGGTCTTCCTAATACAAAAACAAAAGAAAGAAAATGTAAAGAAAAACAATGATAAATTTTGCTACTTACAATTTGTGGTTCTGTACTTTAGAAACATGAATTAAAATTCAAATAAAATCTAGAAAAACTTATCTGTAAGATGTGACAAAAGTATGAAACATCAAATATTTAATGATCTTTTATAAGTTAATATAAGTCAATGGAAAAATGGGCAAAGGACATTATCAAGCAGTTTTCCAAAGGTGAAACATATATGTCAACAAACATGAAACTATGGCAAATCTTACTTATAATCTGAGAATATCAAATAAAGATGACAATAAGAGACTGTTATCAACTACCAAATTCGCACAAGTTTTTAAAACTATTCATTCTTGATTCGGAAAATAGGCATGCTCATGTGCATCATGCAATAGCAATTTTTTCCCTGAAAGTATTATAAATGCTCACTTCTTTTTACCAAATAATCTCATTATAAAAATTTATGCAAAAAAATTCTAAGAGATGTGGACTAAGATTAATGTTATAAAATATACATAAGATATGTTTATGTGTAATTTGTAAAGTCAAGAAATGAAAAGCTCTGTGAACATTTAGAAACAGAAGATAGTTGTATAAAATTAGAGTACAGTACATCCATACAGTGAAAAGCTGAGTTATCACAACTATGTTTTTCAATTAACATTTGAAAAGTAAGAAATTTAGGAGCACCTGGATGGCTCATCCAGTTAAGTGTCCAACTCTTTTTTTCTGCTCAGGTCATGATGTGACAGTTGGTGAGCTAGAACTCCACATGGGGCTCTGAACTCAAGTACCAAGTCTGTTTGGGATTTTCTCTCACCCTCTCCATCTCTACCTCACCCCTGCTCACACTGTTTCTCTCTCCTCCCCTCTCTCTCTCAAAATAAACATTATTTTTTTAATTTTAATTAAAGAAAATAAAAAGCCAAAGGGCTTTAAAAATAATAAGTAAAAACTAAGAAACTTCTTATAATTGATAAGAAAAAACCCAAATTACATAATGCGGTAGCAGTTTTATAAATTCTGTATGTTTGGGGTAGGGATGTCTGTGAGAATATACTAAAGTTTAGACAAAATGTAGCCCTGAATGAATCAGAAATAAAATAAAGATGAAAATCTAATCTCTGAGGTCACCAGACTTTTAACCGAAGTATTAATTCATGTAAACCATTTTTATTTTTGCTTCACACTCATTGTGTTAAGTGCCAACTTTCCACAACTTGCCTACTTATTTAACCTAAGAATAGAATAAATAATAACATTGGCCCTAATTAGAAAACAGACTTCCTTGAGAGCAAAATTTGAATTAACACTTCTTTTCCTTTGTCTTAAATTTGAAAAAAAAATGTTGTCATAACATATTGTATTATGGTATTAACACATGGTTATTGACTAGGTCCTATGATCTACTTAAGCACCATGAGTTCTTTGCAATTGATAGAAACTAAGAAATAGAGGAATTAGCTTTTCAAATTAAAACGTGGTATGATATTGAAAAACTATTGCAAAATAAACCTGGGGGCCGAGCACCTATCCTGGTTAGGAAAGGAAAAATTCAGAGAGAATAGACTGTTGAACCTGCCCGGAGATGAAACCAGCAGAGGGAGGGACTGGTTAGGAATCCTGGAGGGGGTTCCCCACGGGGAGGTCGGAGGTAACCCAGTTCTGAAGGCCCAGCAAAGGGCGTTCAGGTTGGGGAAGCAATATGTGAAGCAGGAAGCAGAGTGAGAATGGGCAGTGATTCTAGAACCATCCTTACTCCAATATTCAGAAGTGTGTTTATATTCAGAAAATGGGATAAAATTGATTTTTTAGAAAGAGCAATTAAAAAATAATTCAGGCTGCTATTCCAAAGTGTCATTTCCTTACAGAACAAATTATCTCCACGGAGAATAATGAGTTATTATATGTGGTTCTATATTCGTTTCAAACAGAAATTTTGGCAGACACATCTCTTCAAATTTAGGTCCATGATCTCAGTAGTTTTAAAAAGGAATTTTTTATTACGACATGAAAAAGTTGGAGCTAAAATACCCAAAATCACAAGTATCATTTTTATTGATGCTCCCAAAGTGAAAGGAGACATATTATTTCCTTTTCAACTACCCACTATCTCTAGCCGAGGCTTCCTGCCCTACATTATCCAGAGCCCAGAGAAAACCCTTGAGGGATAAATGAATTCGGTTGAATACCATTTCTTCACTTCCTATTTCTGTGAGTGATTATTATCTTTTCTGGGCTAAATTATTAAATCATCAAGAACAAATGAAAAGAAATGGAACGTGATATACCGTTCTCGAGAAGTTCCAAGGAAAAGCTGTGAATAAGTTCATGCCTCTGGCTGGGGTTGACAGGCTGCTTATTTTGAGGAAAGTCTTTGCTAAGCACCCCGTTGATGAGGAGGCCATGGCGTGGTTTATGGGTGACACTGAGCAGCAAGGGGTCCTTGGGAACGTCTAGATCGGCAGCATTGATGACAGAGGTATCCAGCTCTTTCCTCTGACCCTCACACACCTAAACGAAAACAAGTCAGACAGTCAGCTGTGTAGAAATAAAATTTGTCTTTTAGCAAATTGCTCAAAAGAACTAATTTTTACCCTATTGCACATTTTCTATGAAATTGTTGTGTAATGAGTCCTAAAAAGAAATGGCTGGTTTAACATGACTTGAGAAGAAAAGAATACATTTATTAATCCTTCTCTGGTTTTCACTGAAAGCTTCAAAGCATTTTATTCATATCCTTAAAGGACAGAGGATACACACACACACACACACACACACACACACACACTTTTTCTCCCATAATTCAAAGGTCAGGGAAAAAGCAATCAAAGGAATGTTTGCTTTTTGGAATTTACAGAGTTCAGTTGTAAAAGTAAGTGTAGACCCTTCACCTTCAGATCATAATCTGTTATTTTAGCTTCCTAGACCTCGTTGCTTTCACAATTCTTATGTTTCCGCTTGAGAAATGGTACAAATATCAGCTATTCACACTGGGGGGTGTTTTGTGTTTCTAATTTTTGTCATTGCAGGAAGACCTATTGTATTTCAACTGCAATCAACAACAATCGAAAAGAATGCTTCTGGAAGCATAAGGGTATTGATTTTATTTCCGGGCCCTCGCTCTCCCCAGTCCTCACGTCTCCAATTTTCTTGAACTCCCTCCCCTACCCCCATCCCCCAATTCAGGTTTAATAATTCTTTAAGCACAAAGAGAACTGAATGTTTTTCATTTCAGGTAGGATCCAGCCATTTAGAACCTGGCCTGGTACTTAGCTGTCTTGATCTTTTTCCCACAGTGAGAATAAAGAGAACAAAGAAATATTTATTTCCTATTTTGAAATAAAGCAAGAAATAAATAATAAGAATGTATACATTTAACAGGTGCTTATTGAGAATTTGCAATGCACTGGGCCTCATGCTGTGGGAAATATGAATATTCTAAAGAATCAAAGGCAGATGAGACTGTGAAGGTCTGTCCATCACTAATTATATTGCAAGGAAGAAAATATCTGGTGCCACTAAATATGGATAAACAAGAAGTGTAAAAAAATGGAGGAGGCTAGGAATGTCTTCATGGCTGGCTGGACATGTTAGCCATGAAGGATACTTGTGGTTTAGATTTGTAAAAATGTCCTTTCTCTTCAGCCTCTCTTACCGAGAGAGCTTTCCTGTCACAAGTCCCTACTGTACTTGTATGAAGAAGAATCACTTGCCATTCTGATACTTGGACTAAAATGATGCTTATTTTCTTGCATCTGGCTTTACATTTTTTATTTTATTTTGTTTTATTATTTTAGAGAAAGAGCAGGGGAGAGGGGCAGAAAGAGAGAGAAAAAGAGAGAGGGAGAATCTCAAGCAGGCTCCATGCTCAGTGTGGAGCCCAATGTGGGGCTTGATCCCATGATCCTGGGATTATGCCCTGAGCCAAAATCAAGAGTTGGACACTAAACTGACTGAGCCACCTGGGCACCCTGGACTTACCTATTAAGGACTCAGATGGCATTATAATTTAATGTGCAATGATATACTTATGAAATTATCCTTGATGGTAACTTGTGTTTTTCTCCAAGAATTTTAATAAAACAACCTAAAATATGTTCTTTCACCCTTCTTTATAAAGCTTAAGAGTGTTAGACTTACTATATGGCAACCCTTCTTATTTATAAAATGGTAAATTATGACATGACCTAAAAATTCCATTGAAGACATCTGGGATTCTTTTTTGTACATTTCATTTACTGAGATTATAAATAAAAGTTTTAGATTAACATACGCAAAGTGCAGAAGCTTCTAGTAGAGCAGTTTGAAATGGACTATAATATCTTAAACTAAAACCTCATTTTTTTGCAAGTTGCATCCCAACTTGATGATGCCTGACTGTCTACAAGATAAATACCTTTCTACAAGGAAGCAAAATAAATATGACTATTTTTAAAAATCACTTGAAGCTGAAAGCCAGCTTTGCCAATACCTTGTGGAGCTCCATATTTGTAACTCTTCACCGTTGAAGAGTAACAAATACTCTAAGGAGTGCACAGGTAAGAAGCATGATTATTTTTGTAGAAGAGCAAGGGACGATTTCCCAGTGGCTTAATTATTTCAGAAACTCTAACCCTAGATAGGTATAAAACAACAGAGGTAAGTACAGAAGGAATCATTTACAGAATTTTTCCTATCTCTCATAATTACTGAAGTACTTTCCAGAGAAATCTATGTGCCAACAGAAGAGAAAGGGCAGGAGCTGATTCTTAAATCTCATTGTCAGGTGGCTCTCATATACCATTAAGAGTCAGTAGAAAGTTCTTATCAAATAAAGACTTTATTATTCAGAATTTGATAATTTGTAATGACAAAAAAGGCTAGATAATGGTTTCAAAATAGATCATATTGCTTTGGGAAATTTCTGAAAAAAAGATGACAAATATAACAACAATAATACAAATGGCACCTGTTTACTAAGGGTCTAGTATGTGCCTGACCACCTTAATTATCATGGCTACCCCTTAAGTATTTGATGTACATTTTGCAAATAAGGAAACAGAAGAATAAAGAGAAATAACTTATCAGGGACCCTACAACTAGTAAACAGCAACACTCAAGTTCCTCTTATTTCAAAGCCTGTGCTCATCCATTTAATCAAGATTTGCTATATGTATATCTGAATTAAATAATCATATGTAAGCAATAGAATTGTTCTAAAAGATTATATGCTGATATGAAAAGATTTCCAACATACATAAGTAGGTCTTTTTTAAAAAAGTAGAGACTTGTAAGTATAGTATGATCCCTGATTTATAAGCAAAATATAATTAAAAATTGCACATATATTATATACACATACATATACACATACACACACATCACTGGCACGTGCACAGATTATTTTTGAGGGATTACTAAAAATGCGGTTAATGGGGAATGGCTTTGGGTAGGGGCTGTTGAAGAGAGAGACTGTCATATTTCATTGTGTACATTTATCAATATTCTAACTTGTATAACTACATAGTTTTATTATTATGTTTTTAAAGAAAACAGGAGTGATATCATGGCTACTTTAACTACATATCTGAATTTTTAAATAAAACTAATAAATATTATCACATAAAATATTTTTTAAACTGCATAAAAAGCATACTTCAAATTTCATTTTTTAAATTTCATGTGTCTTTATAAATAGTTCTATAAAAAGATGGCTTAATATATGTAAATTAAAAGTTCTTGTCATTATAGCATTAGTTAAGAGGACATATGCTATGGAATCAAATTGTCTGGGTGCAAATTTCCTGTGTACCAATCCCTATGTGCCACTTAATTCCAAGTCCTGGGATCTCGGGGCAGTAAGCTAACCACTCTATGCCTCATTTTTTCAGTTACTCAATAGCAATAACAATATTATCACCCTAAAGCCTATTGTGAGTATCCAAAATGAACATATGTAAAGGACTTGAAGTAGTACCTACAACCTAGTAAGAACTCCATCCTATATACATGCAACTATAATCGCATCCATGCAGTTCTACATGTTAGCAATTATTATTATCATTACCATCATTATTATTAGAACAATATTTTTCAAGTAATTGCATTATATGATATAGGTTAGTGTTGTCCCCATTTCTAATCAACTTAATGGAGTAAGTACACCTGGACCAATGGAAATGAGCTGGGGAAAATAAAATCAGAAAATGATAAAAAAAGAAATGGAAAATTCTGGTATCTTTCTTACAGTAATATTCTGCACTACAAAGTCAGGAGCTTCGTCATTTGTGGGGTTGATTGTAATGTAAAATGGTATCTCCAAGGAGCGGTGCTTCCCATCGGTGACGTACACCATGAACTGGTCAGCTGTCGGTTCCATCCTCAGGTGCCTGGATTGCACATAGTTAATGTGCGAAGCCTTCATGTCTTTCCACTGGAACGAAGCTAGAGCACATCAACATGGAGCAGATAAATTAGAAAAGCTTTTTTTTCAAGCTACTGATCCTTAATCCTTAACACAACAGCTTATTTCAAAGAGAAGCAAGTAAGAAATCATTGCAGTTGACCTAAGAATCAGCTATCAGGGGCTGCTTTAATGTCTGTCAGCCATCAAAATAACAATAGATAGCATTAATCATAAGGAAGAATTAAAATTTGCATGGAGAACAGACGGATGATAACTGCCAACCAGGATATGTAGGGACATCATGACTATTCTTCATATGGTTAGAATGAATGCAAGAGAGACCTTCCCCTGATTAAAACCACTGCCCCTGGGAGCACCTGGGTGGCTCAGTTGGTTAAGCATCCGACTTCAGCTCATGATCTTGTGGTCTGTGGGTTCAAGCCCCTCATCGGGCTCTGTGCTGACAGCTCAGAGCCTGGAGCCTGCTTCAGGTTCTATGTCGCCCACTCTCTCTCTGTTCCTTCTCTGATCGTGCTCTCTCAAAAATAAATGAATAAATAAATTTTAAAAAATTTTAATAAAAGAAAACACTGCTCCTATAAACAGTTCTTACTATGCTTGGATAAGAAAGAGACTTATCTTGGTCTTAGTTGATTAAGCCTCTGACCTTAGCTCAGGTCATGGTCTCATGGTTCATGAGCTTGATCCCCACTTTGGGTGAGCTCGAGCCCCACTTCAGGATTCTTTCTTTTCTTCTCTCTCTGTTCCTTGTGAGATTCTCTCTCTTTCTCTCTCTCTCTCTGTCTCCCCTTGCTCACTCACACACTCTCTCTCTTTCAAAAAAATTAATAAATTTAAAAAAAAGAGGAGGATAGTCCAAAAAAAGAGACTATCTCTTTCATATAAAAGCAAAACAAGAGTTAATCAATCATCTGCCTACTTGACATACATATTAAGCAACAAGTTAGACTGAGTGGAATTACTTGACTTGTTCTTTGGGTATTTTGACACCGCCTTAAAACAAAAGATAAAATGCTTAATGCTCTATGTTAAGCATTAAGTCACAGGCCAAATGCATACCTTTAGTGCAATAAACCTTTCCCCCCCCAACTTTATTGAGATACAATTGACATATAACACTATAAGTTTGCTTTACCATGTGATGATCTGATGCACACATATATTGTAAAATGTTACCACAATAATGTCTGTTAACACATCATTCACTTCATGTGATTACCATTTCATTGTTGTAGCGAGAACATTAAGCTTTACTTTTAAATCAGCGTTCAAGTGTACGATACAGTATTAACTATAGTCACCATGCTGCACCTTAGAACCCTAGAAATTATTCATTTTATACCTGAAAGTTTGTACCCTTCAACCAACATCTCTCCTCGTGTCCCACCCCTCAGCCCCTATTCTACTCTGTTTCTATGAGTACAACTGTTTCGGATTACACATGCAAGTGAGATCATATGGTATTTGTCTTTCTCTAGTGTATTTCACTCAGCAGAATGCTCTCAGAGTCCATATATTTTTTTAAACGGCAGGATTTCCTTCTTGTCATGGTTGAATAATATTCTATTATGTATTTGTATCACATTTGCTTTATCCATTTATCTATCAACAAACATGTAAGTTGTTTCCATCTTGGCTATTGAGAATAATGGTGCAATGAACATCAGAATATAGATATCTCTTTGATATCCTGTTTTCATTTCCTCTGCATATATACCTAGAAGTGGAATTGCTGTATCGTATAGCACTTCAATTTTTAATTTTGTGAAGAATTTCCACAGTAGCTATACAATTTGCATCCGCACTAACTGTGCCCAAGGGTTACCTTTTCTCCACATCCTCACCAGCATTTGTTACCTCTAGCTATTCTTACAGGTGGGAAGTGACAGCTCATTGTGGTTTAGACTGGAATTTCCCTAGTGATGGGTGATGTCAAGCACCTTTCATGTACCTGTTGGCCATTTTCATGGTCTTCTTTGGAGAAAGGTCTGTTCAAGTCTTCTGTCCATTCTTTCTTCTTTCATAGTTTATTGTCAAGTTGGATTCCATATAACACCCAGTGCTCATCCCAACAAGTGCCGTCCTCCATGCCCTTCACCCCCCTTCCCCTCTCCCCCACCCCCATCAGACCTCAGTTTGTTCTCAGCATTCAAGAGTCTCTCATGGTTTGCCTCCCTCCCTCTCCCCAACTATTTTACCCCTTCTCCTCCCCCATGGTCCTCCATTAAGTTTCTCCTAATCCTCCTATAAGTGAAAGCATATGGTATCTGTCTTTCTCTGCCTGACTTACTTCGCTCAGCATAACACCCTCAAGTTCCATCCATGCTACAAATGGCCAGATTTCATTCTTTCTCATTGCCATGTAGAATTCCATTGTATAGATGAACCATATCTTCTTGATCCATTTGTCAGTTGTTGGACACTTAGGCTTTTTCCACGATTTGGCTATTGTTGAAAGTGCTGCTATGAACATTGGGGTCCATGTGCCCCTATGCATCAGCACTCCTGTATCCCTTGGGTAAATTCTGAGCAGTGCTATTCCTAGATCATAGGGGAGTTCTGTTGTTAATTTTTTGAGGAACCTCCACACTGTTTTACAGAGGGGCTGCACCAGTTTACATTCCCACCAATAGTGTAGGAGGGTGCCCGTTTCTTCACATCCTTGCCAGTGTCTATAGTCTCCTGATTTGTTCATTTTAGCCACTCTGACTGGTGTGAGGTGGTATCTCAGTGTGGTTTTGATCTGCATTTCCCTGATGATGAGGGATGCTGAGCATCTTTTCATGTGTCTGTTGGCTATCTGGATGTCCTCTTTGTAGAAGTGTCTGTTCATGTCTTCTGCCCATTTCTTCACTGGACTATTTGTTTTTCAGATGTGGAGGGTGGTGAGTTCCTTATAGATTTTGGCTACTAGCCCTTTATTTGATATGTCATTTGCAACTATCTTTTCCCATTCTGTCTGTTGCCTATTAGTTTTATTTTTGTTTCCCTTGCCGTGCAGAAGCTTTTTATCTTGATGAGGTCCCAATAGTTCATTTTTGCTCTTGATTCCCTTGCCTTTGGGGATGTGTCAAGTAAGAAATTGCTGCAGTTGAGGCCAAGGAGGTTGTTTCCTGCTTTCTCCTCTAGGGTTTTGATGGTTTCCTGTCTCACATTCAGGTCTTTTATCCATTTTGAGTTTGTTTTTGTGTATGGTGTGAGAAAGTGATCTAGTTTCATTCTTCTGCATGTTGCTGTCCAGTTCTCCCAGCACCATCTGTTAAAGTGGCTGTCTGTTTTCCATTGGATACCCTTTCACACTTTTCAAAGATTAGTTGGCCATACATTTGTGGGTCCAATTCTGAGCTCTCTATTTTGTTCCATTGGTCTCTGTGTCTGTTTTTGTGCCACCTTCTGTCCATTTTTAAATCAGATTGTTTGGACTTCTTTGCTGCTAAGTTGTATCACTGAGTACTTTACACATTTTAGATATTAATCTCTTATCAGATATATGGTTCAAAAATATTTCCTCCCATCCTGCAGGTTGCCTTTCCATTGTGTTGGTTATTTCTTCTGCAGAAGCTTTTTAGTTTGATGTAGTCTTACTTTTTGATTTTTGCATTTGTGTCAAATGCAAAAAAACACTGCCAAGACCAAAGTCAAGAGCTTACCACTTATGTTTCCTACTAGGAGTTTTATGATTTGAAATGTTACATCCAAGTCTTTAATGTATTTGGAGTTCTTTTTTTCACCCATTTTCATTCTTTTGCATGAGGCTGCCTAGTGTTCTCAACACCTTTTATTGTCCTTTTCCCAATGTATATTCTTGGTTCCTTTGTTATAAATTAAATGATCATATATGTATGGACATACTTCTGAGCTCTTTTGTTCTATTTTATTGATCTATGTGTCTGTTTTCATGCCATACTGTTTTGACACAATACTGTTTTGATCGCTATAGCTTTGCAATATACTTTGAAATTCAAAAACATGATGCCTCCAACTTTGTTCTTTCTCAAGACTGCTTTGGCAATTCAAGGTCTTTTGTGCTTCCAGAGAAATTTTAGGACTGTTTGTTCTATTTCTGTGAAAAATGCTACTTAAATTTTGATGGTGATCGCCTTAAATCTATAGATGGCTTTGGGTAGTAATGGACATTTTAACAACATTAACACTTTTGATCCTTGTATATATCTTTCTATTTGCTTATGTCTTCTTCAGTTTCTTCTTTCAAGACATCAATTCTATGTCTTATAGTTTGGGCATATAAATTTTTCACTTCCTTGGTTAATTTTATTCTTAAGTATTTCACTCTTTTCAGTGCTATTGTAAATGAAATTGTTTTCTTTTTCAGATAGTTCATCATTGGTATATAGATATACAACTGATTTTTTAATGTTGATTTTGTATCCTAAAACTTTACTTATTTTGTTGACTTGTTCTAATAGTGTTTTGGTGAAATTTTAAAAAAATTTTAAATTTTATTCATTTTTGAGAAAGTCAGACAGATAGCACACATGCAAGAGAATGGGAGAGACAGAAACAGAGAGAAAGAGAGAGAGAGAGAGAGAGAGAGAGAGAGAGAGAGAGACAATATCAAGCAGGCTCTGCACTGTCAGTGCAGAGCCCGACGTGGGGCTCTAACCCACTAACTGCAAGATCATGACCTGAGCCTAAGTCAAGAGTCAGACGCTTAACTGACTGAGTCACCCAAGCACCCCTTGGAAAAATCTTTAGTAATTTCTACATATAATATCATGTAGTCTGCAAAAGAAGACAATTTACTTCTTATGTGGATAAGTTTTATTTCTGTTTTCTTGCCTAATTACTCTAAGACTTTAAGTACTATGTTGCATAGGAATGGTAAAAGTGGGCATACTTACTTTTGTCCTCATCTTTTTGTAAAGAAAGCTTTAACCTTTTACTGTTGAGTATGATGCTACTTGTGAGTTCATCATATATGACCTCTACTACAGGGGGGGATACACCTATACTAAATTTGTTGATAGTTTTTAATCATAAACATTATTGAATTTTGTCAAATGCTTTTTCTGTATCTATAGAGATGATCATAGAATTTTAGTCTTTCTATCAATTTGGTGTATCACATTTATTGATTTGCATATGTTGACCATCCTTGCATCCCAGGTATATTCCCACTTGATCATGGTATATGATCCTTTTAATGTACTATTGAATTCAGTTTGTTAATATTTTCTGGTGAATTTCTGCATCTACATTCTTCAGGGATATTGGTCTATGGTTTTCTTATAGTATCCTTACCTGGCTTTGGTATCAGGGCAATGCTCATCTTATAAAATGAGTTTGGGAGTTTTTCTTCCTATTCAATTTTTTGCAAGAGTTTGGGAAGATATAATGCTAATTCTTCTTTAAAAGTTTGATAGAACCTGTAAAGACATCTGTTCCTGGACTTTTCTTTCTTAGGAGGGTTTGGATTACTGATAAATCTCCTTACCTGTTATAGGCCTATTTAGGGTTTCTAGTTCTTCATGACTGAGATTTGGTAAGTTGCATGTTTCTAGGAATTTATCCATTTCTTTCAGATTGTCTAATTTGTTGATGTATGGTTATTCATAGTAGTCTTTTCTGATCCTCTGTATAACTGTGGTATCCATTGTAATATCTCTTCTTTCATTTCAGATTTTGAGTCTTCTCTTTTTCATGGCAAGTCTAGGTAAAGGTTTGCCAATTTTATCTTTTTAAAAGACAATATCCTAGTTTTATTAACCTATTGTTTCTATGGTTTTTCTAGTCTCTATTTCGTTTATTTCTACTGTTATCTTTGCTATCTCCATTTTGCTAATTGGGATTCTTTTGTTCTTGTTTTTCTAGTTCCTTGATTTATAAGGTTACATAGTTTATTTGAGATAATTTTTTTAATGTAGGCACTTATCACTATAAATTTTCCTCTTTGCACTGCTTTTGCTGCCTCGTATATTTAGGTATGTTGTGTTTCCACAAATTTTTAAAATTTCTTTATTTCCAGTTTTATTGAAAATAATTGACATACATCTCTGTAAATTTAAGATGTAAATTTAATGATGGTTTGATTTGCATATATTGTGAAATGATTACCTCAATAGGTTCAGCTAACATTCATCTCTTCATATAGATACAGTTTTAAAAGAAAGGAGGGGTGCCTGGGTGGCTCAGTCGGTTAAGTGTCCAACTTTGGCTCAGGTCATGATCTCATGGTTCGTGGGTTTGAGTCCTGTGTCGGGCTCTGTGCTGACAGCTAGCTCAGAGCCTGGAGCCTGCTTCAGATTCTGTGTCTCCCTCTCCTTTCTCATGCTGCCTCTATCTCTCTCTCAAAAATAAATAAAAAACATGAAAGAAAGAAAGGAAGAAAGGAAGGAAGGAAGAAAGGAAGGAAGGAAGGAAGGAAGGAAGGAAGGAAGGAAGGAAGGAAGAAAGAAAGAAAGAAAGAAAGAAAGAAAGAAAGAAAGAAAGAAAGAAAGAAAGAAAAAGAAAGAAAGAAAGACAGCCTGTCTCAGTTGGTAGAGCATGAGCCTCTTGATCCTGGGATTGTAAGTTTGAGCCCCACTTGGGGTGTACAGATTACTTAAAAATAAAAAAGAAAGAAAAAAAGGAAAAAATTTTCCTTGTGATGAGAAATCCTAAGATTTTCTATTTTTACTTTTTCTTCTATTTATTTATTTATTTATTTATTTATTTATTTATTTAGAGACAGAAACAGCACAAGTCGGGGAGGGGCAGAGAGAAAGAATCCCAAGCAGGTTCTGCACAGTCAGTGCTCAGAATTTGTTGTGGGACTTGACAACATGAACTTGAGTTCATGAAACCATGAGATCACAAGCTGAGCTAAAATCAAGAGTCAGATGGTTAACTGACTGAGCCACCCATTCACCCCAGGATTTTTAAAAAATTTTATACTTGAACCATTGGTTGTTTGGAGTGTCTTAATTTACATATATTTGTGAATTTTCTAGTTTTACTTCTGTTACTGATTTTAATTTCCTACCATTATGGTCAGAAAAGATACTTTGTAGAACTTTAATCTTTTAAAATTTTCTAAGACTTGTTTTATGACACATCAGATGATCTATTCTGGAAAATGTTCCATGTGTGTTTGAGATTAGAATGTTCCATTGCTGCTTTGGTTGGATGGAATACACTGACTATGTCTATTGGCTTCATTTGGTCTAATGTACAGTTTAAGGCCATTGGGTCCTTGTTGATTTTTCAGTCAGATGATCTATCCATTGTTGCAAGTGGGGTACTGAAGTCCCTTATTATTATTGTATTGTTGTCATTACTTCCTTCAGATTTATTAGTATTTGCTTAATATATTTAGGTGCTCCAATGTTGTATGCATATAAATTTGTAATTGTTATATTCTCCTGATGAATTTACCCCTTTATCATTTTACGGTGACCTTCTTTGTCTCTTGCCACAGTTTGGATTTAAAGTCTATTATATCTGTTATAAGTACTCCTACTGTTTTTGGTTTCCATTTGCATGCCATATCTCTTTCCATCCCTTAATTTTGAGCCTATGTCTGTCTTTGAAGCTGAACTTAGTCTCTTGCAAACAGCATATAGTTGTCTTGTTTTTTTTCTATCCATTTAGTCACTCTATTAATGTTTCTGTTTTAGTTGTTATTGTCTGAAATACAAGAGCTATTTAAATATCTGAGATACATTCTGGTTTCAAAATTAAAGTCCTCACCTTCAACATCCCAGGCTCTTTCTCTCTCTCTGTTACACCCATGATACATGTCTTAATCTTTTCTGCCAATGTCTTTTAAAAGTACTAAAAGGTTGAGAGAATGAGACCTGTGAGCTCCCACCAGATTTATTATATCACAGTATTCTGGGTTGCTATGAAGTTCTTTTTAAACATTCTTTCTTCAATATGTATTTTTATAGCTTTCCTAAGTGACATTTCCACTTATTTTGAAGTAAACTCCCATACATAAGGAAATTCAAAATAGAAAATTAAAATGAAAAACAACAATATTCAAAAGTATCAGCTATAATAATAATTCCCTGAATGTATACAGTGCTCTAAGCAATTTTGAAGTCCTTACACAGCCATTAAGCATGATTTGGCCAGTCAGATACATGACATAGGCAAGAGACTGCTGGTCACGAAGCCATGACTTACCTATGCTTATGCCCATATTGCTTTTTTCAAAACCTGCAGAAGGAAGGGTGTTTTCAAGGTAGCCAAACTGGGGAGGAGAAACCAAAACAAATTCCAAGTCATCTGCTGCAGTGTCAGGGTCAGTGGCAGACAAATGGTTAATGGTAATGGCTGCTGAGAAACCCTCATCTACAACGAACATGGTACCTGCATACAAATAATAAGACAATTATGACTTAGCGTGAAATCCTCTAATCAGAATAGTGAAGACAAAAGGGAGTGATTGCAATTCCAATTCAGAGAAGCCTCCCATATGCAAATATACTTCCATGGGAGATGTTCATTTCCTCTGGCATAATTTCTCCTTACAGTGAAAATATTCAGGGGTAATGGGTGGAATTTAATTTGACTTATGGAATGATATTTTTTTCCTTGTACAAGCAAGCCAGACAATAATGGAGAGACAGCAGAAATACTAAATGCTCTACTACAGCCCTTTTGTCATTCTCAAGGAACTCTGATTTCCCTTGTGTCTCTATAGAAGTGACAAATGAAAATAAGAATTGCCAAACTGTTTTAATGATAAGCCACTAAATGTAGTTTATGTACTCTTCAAGATCAGTTGTTACCTCTGTTTGTCAGAGCGTTAATTGCCTGCGAGCTATTATGAATTACTCATAACGAACATTTTTTTCATGCCTTGGTGCTTAATTATTCTGCAGGGATAATGCTTCCTTTCCAGAACATTGCTTGGGAGATAGTTTGCAAATTACAATAACATCCATACATATGCTCATATTTTTTTTCTAAGAGACAGAACATATACATAATGTCTATGAAGCGATGACTTTCTAAAAAGCAAATAAGGTTAAATGTATATAAATGGTCTCTTTGGTATTTTCATTCTGTTCTAATAGAAATTATTATGGATAAAATAAATTACTCTCTCTCCAGCAGGCAAATTAGATTTCCCCATGTGAAATAAAGCCGGAATATTTGAGGATTCCAATGTTGTCCTCATCCCAAAACACACACACACACACACACACACACACACACACAAACATACTTGCATTCTCTCTCCTTACAGAATTACCTACACTTTTAAACAGACAAATTCTTTTGCCCTGCAACATTTTAGAGACTTGGAGTTTTCCACAAAGGTGTGTGGAGGCAATTATCATCAGCAATTCTGTAGTTTATTTTAACTATGATTCAAATGCATATCATTTCACTAAACCACAGGCATGACACCAGATGAGATGATAGAGCTTTCATAGGAGAAAATGCTGTCACCTATTGCAATCGAAGGTGACTGGTTGTCCACTGGCTGTACTGTGACGTTGAGGTCATATACTGGAAAGGACTCATGAAGAGGAACAGATGGACGGGGCCCACTGTAGCAACAGCCATTCACATAAGGACCAGCTTCTCCATCCGAAACCACCAATGTAATGGTATCGAAACAAGGCACCAAGCCAATCTCACCACCTGGAAGATACACCATAGCTGAAACCTGACTTTTTAAAAATATAGAATACTCAGATGAAATCTATCTGCCCCTCTTCTCCAAGCATAGAATGGTGAAGAGAGGAACTTATGTGTCTACAATATAAAACTCAATTTTATCACTATGAAATTAAATAGTCATGAAAATAATGAAAAAATGCTTGCCCATCTGTTGCCTCTGGTGAAGGCTCTGCCAACTATCTATCACCATATGGAGGGGTAAAAAGGGGCTAACAAGGGTCTGACAGTTCACAAATGAACATGGGAGAGGCACAAAGCTTCACTGGCGATGGTTTCATTCTTCCTTCATAATTGTTTCATGATAGGACCAACTATAGGGAGAGTAGAAGGCCCCTTGTCTTTCCAATTGCATTGTCTTCCCATTTACATTAACTACCTTAAGTGAACAACCATCAACCACACCACAGTTATGAGAAACAGAAGCTGGGAAGGTGAAATAGAAAGATAATCCACATTGTTGTCATTTGTTTCAGTATTTTCCTCACTGTCTAATAGCCAAGGTGCTAACGAAATAGCAACAGGACATCGCAAAGAAGTGGCATTTGTTTTTGTTTTCCTTTTACTCTTTAGGGCTTATGCTTATGGGATTTAAAACGGACCCAACTTGGAGTTCCTGGGTGTCTCAGTTGATTAAGTGTCTGATTCTTGATTTTGGCTCAGGTCATGATCTCATGGATGTGGTCGCTGAGTATGGAACCTACTTGAGATTCTCTCTCTCCCTCTCCTTCCGCCCCTCCCCCACTCAGGTGTGTGTGTACTCTCTCTCTCCCTCAATAAAAAATTAATAAAAATTTAAAAATAAATAAAATGGCCCTAAGTTAAGTAGTGGGAGAAAGAAGGGGGAAAAATGTCAGGATTCGATAGCTGATCAGCAAACCAGCCAATCTGCTCTTGGTTACTAACTAACAGCACAGAGAGAGAAGCGCTCACCCTCCAGGGAACAGAAAAGCTCTGCAGATGTGTTTTTCATAATTCTCATGCTTCACATTGAAAGTGCCAAGAGGAAAGCAAACATTGGGAAGTTTTGATCAGACTAGTGCACAAAAGATCAGGGACGTCATATATTTTCACAAGACACATTGATCAAATCTATACTGCAGTGTGCTTGGCATTATTCTACCTGCTTAAAATAATGACAAGGAAAATCAAGAGATGATATTATTGAGCAACCAAATGATTAAAGAATGAGAAAACTGGGCTTAGAGGGAAAAACAGAGTTGAAGTTGAGAGAATTAGAATTGAATAATCCAGCTTTAACTTTAGAAGAAGTAAAATTTAAGATGCCTCTTATCTAGTCATATTTATAAGAACATAAATTGGAATAAAGCTTATTTATTCTTCATTCACCTGATAAATATATATTTAATGGCTCATATCTGGTAATTACTATGCTGGGCGCTCCAACAGAGAATTAGGCAGACATTTTGAAAATGTCAGACAGTTCAAAAGAATGTCAAATGTCAAAAGACCTATTATATGTCAGGCACTGACACAAAATAATGGTAGAGAAGGAAATGTAGTTGGGTTAGAATATAACTGATGTGTATATGCATTAAGAGGAACCACATGAAATTGCCACTATTATGTCATTTTTTTAACCAATTAAATTGAAAATTCATGTACCTCAGCCTGAATATGTACAGGGGGCTGAGGGTGAAGAAAGATGAAAGTACTGGCTGACAGTGGCATGGTGGCCAGGAACACATGGCTGGGAAAGTCAGGGAAGTTTTTTTCCAGATGGGTCTGCTGGCTTTATACTATGCATTAAATGATAATTAGTTTACCAGGCAGATGAGGCAGAGAATTGAGATGGGGGAATGAGGACATGCAGGAAGAGAAGTGGAAAAATCATTCTAGGAAGAGTAGAGAGTGTGTTTTTTTTTTTTTTTTTAAGGCAAACAGGGGTGCCTGGGTGGCTCAGTTGGTTAAGCGTCCAATTTCAGCTCAGGTAATGATCTCACAGCTCATGAGTTTGAGCTCCACGTCAGGCTTTGTGCTGACAGCCTGGAGCCTGCTTCAGATTCTATGTCCCTGTCTTGCTCTGCCTCACCTCTGCTGGTGCTCTGTCTCTCTCTTGCGCTCTCTCTCTCTCTCAAAAAAAAAAAAAAACATTAAAAAATGTTTTTAAAAAACAAACATAGTTCCTTCCATAACTGTAATTTCGACCTAGTGGAAGCATAGGTACATTTACAGAAAAACAGAAAAACCAGGCTGAGCATCTGGTCACAAAAAAGGCTACAATATGGATGGGCAAGTCTCTACTTTGAATGGAGTATAGTCTAAGGATATGATTTATACTTAAAACTGTTAACTGTGGCATTATTAGAAAAATTTTTTAAGTTTATTTATTTATTTTGAGAGAGAGAGAGCATACACAATTGGGGAAGGGGCAGAGATAAGGAGAGACAGAATCCCAAGCAGGCTCTGTACCATCAGCACAGAGCCCAATACGGGGCTTGAACTCACAAACCATCAGATTGTGACCTGAGCAGAGATCAAGAGTTGGATGCTTGCTTAACTGCACCACCCAGGCAGCCTTAAAAAATTTTTTTCTGATAACTTTATGTTTAATGTTGGGAGAATAGCAAATTAATCATGTAACTTTACATCATAAGATATTATTCAATTACTAAAACTTACATTTACAATAACTTTATATAACTTTAAAATATTAATAAATATTTTAATAAACGTTTTAGCTGATAATCTCAATGAAAAAAGTAATCAATAAAACTACACAGACATGATTGCAACTGTGTTAAAAATTATGATTAGAAAAAAAGAAAACAAAGTACTGAAATGTTAACAGTGATAATCTCTGAGAGATAAACAGGCGATTTTTCAAAATTTCAGAATGCGTTTCCATACTTCCCAAGTTTTTTGAAATGAGCATGTAGTGTTATTTTTATCCTCACAGAAAGCAAATAATAATGGTGACAAAATTATCCTCAGGTTGCCTTTATAATCAACACAGAGAGGCAAGTGCAGAGCCACTGAAATTTCAGGTCCCATAGTAATGTGGTTCCTTACAGTCTTTCCCACGCATGCTAAGTCACTACCAATTGAGCAATTGGGTAAACATTACATGGAAACATCATTCAAATAACAGACGGTCTTTTGAATTGGCACTATTTCTGCTAATTTAGTAACATAACAACAATAACAACAAAACATCTACCTGTAGTGATTTGTCTGGTGTCCTAGAAGGTCTCATGAAAAAACTTAGTCGACCCGCCCTTACGTGGACGTCACACCAGAAGAGATTTATAAATATGTACACCTGTTGTTTAGCACTTGGAGCAGGGTACTAGCAGAGACAGGTTCATCTCACCCCTAATTTATCTCTGCGTGAGCCGGCCACAAATGTCAAAATCATGTAAGAATCAATAGTCGTTGGTCTTTGGCCCCTTTTCTGCCAGTCTGTATGAGATCTACTGGGGAAATCAGAATGACGCACCTAGTTGTGGACTCTTCAGAGACCTTGACCATGTGGACTATGCCCCCCAGAGCAAGGATGCAAGCAGGGAACCCTTCCCAAGACTGAACATACTTAAGAAGATAAAGAGAGGAGCACCCAGGTGGCTCAGTTGGTTAAGCATCTGACCCCAGCTCAGGTCATGATCTCATGGTTTGTGGGTTCAAGCCCCGTGCCGGGCTCTGCGCTGACAGCTCAGAGCCTGGAGCCTGCTTCGGATTCTGTGTGTGTGTCTCTCTCCCTCTGCCCTTCCCCTGTTTGCTCTCTGTCTCTCTCTCTCTCAAAGATAAATGAACATTAAAAAAAGAAGAAGAAGATAAGGAGATACCATTTTCTTAAAAAATGTCTGGGGCCTCCTGGGTGGCTCAGTGGGCTAAGCATCTGCCTTTTGGTTTTGGCTCAGGTCATGATCTCACAGTTCATGTGATCGAGCCCCGCCCTAGGCCCTTTGCTGGCAGCCTGCTTGGGATTCATTCTCTCTCCCTCTCTCTCTGCCCCTCTCCCACTCATGCTCTGGTGCACTCTCTCAAAATAAATAAACATGAAAAAAATTACATATATATATTTATATATAAATGTCTGGCAGAGTGATTACAAAGTGCCATATTAATTGGCCATAAAACAACTGGTATCTTAATAAATCATTGTTTTCCAAAGTATATGTAAAATATTATTTTGGGGCACCTGGGTGGCTCAGTCAGTTAAGTGTCTGACTTTGGCTCAGGTCATGATCTCATGGTTCATGAGTTCTGTGCTAGCAGCTCAGAGCCTCGAGCCTGCTTCAAATTTTGTCTCCCTCTCTCTCTGCCCCTGCACTGCTCGTGCTCTGCCTCCTTCTCTCTCCCAAATTAAGTAAAACATTAAAAAACTTTTTAAAATATTATTTCATAATACTCCCCCCCATTTCCAAATTAATCGTTATCTTTCTCAATCTCCCCACCCTGAGTCCCCACGCACTACTTGTATTCCCCATGTTTTTTCAAATAAGAAAACAATTTGAATTCTGATACTTCTTATTCTCTCTACCACTCACCTGGCCTTATACACCCCATCATGCTTCCCCATGAAACCCACAGATGAGAGTGACGTATGGATTAGTACACATGAAATTGTAACAGAGGGCAATAAGAGATAACCAGAGGAAGGATACGATGTTATTACTGAGGAGGTGTCCTCAACCCAGAGATCAGAAGGCATGCTAGGGGCAATGACTAATGAGGTATAGATATGTGATGCTATCATCTTCGCATGTGAGAGGATCTGTCCATCCATTTAAATTCAAAGCCCTTCACAGCTGAGTCTGGATTATACTCCTTTGCAGCTCAAAATGCCTAGCACCATGCCTTGCAGATAACAGAGACTGAATTAATGTTTTCTCCATTTGGATATTTCACATGGGGAACAAATGCCATCTGGGTAACAATATAATGTGATGCCGGAAATGAAATCACGATGCTAATAAATAAGCATTTACTGTATCACTATTTGGGATCCCCCAGTGTGTGGTGCTGTAGCCATCACACGAAGTGTAAGATAGTACAATGGCTTTTTCAGGAACTCAAAAGGCAGAGAAGTTACTTCTTAGGAACTAGCTGGTGATCGTGTAAACTTTTAAAATTAATAATATAATTATCCTAAGGAGCTAACTTCAGGCATTTCTGTTATGATTCATGGGTCCCAAAGATGTGACGGTCAAATAAAATCTCCTTCAAATGGATCAAAAAGGGAATGCAGACAACCCCAGGGTGACCTGAAGGTCTATGTGGAAGCATCAAGAACAAAGCAGCAATAATACATGTTCCTTCTCCACTCTTTGAAATTGGTTATATTACTGGGATCAGAAATCCTCCTAAAAATGGTGATTCTACTTAAAAAATGGGATACAGGCTGCTCCGACTTCTGTTTCTTTTTTAATGAGAGCAAGCACTGAGCCCCCGGCAAGGAGTGGCATTAAGACTCTGTTGAGTTGTTGCATCCGCTCATCCACACTGATCACCGTGCTGTCACTCACCCGTGTGCTTGTATGTCACAGCCCCCAAGATGACATCTCCCTGAGAGAACCGATCCACTGTGACTCCGCCTTTCCTCACCAGCCCGTGCTGGGGTGCTCGGGCAATCACAAACATCAGTCTCAAGTCGTCACTGTCCGCATCAGTAGCAGAAATGTATTCAGATGTAATGACCACCTCGTCGCCCTCTGAGCAATGCATCATGGGAATGAGGTCAGCCTTGAGGATTGGTGGCTCATCATTGACGGGGAATACCTAGGGGGGAACAATGCATGTTTTCAAGAAAAAGAAAGCGATGACAAATTGCCCAGCTGGTTACCCATAGCTCATAGTCGGAATGACAGGCATTTTCGATCTTTCAGACACATGAAACAATAGCCATGGAATTTGGCCAAGCTGGCTGTATCTTCCCCATATGAACCATCTTGGAAGAAATGGCCAACATGGGAAACATTTTAGGTAGGAATGGAAGAGTATGGTTATGGTTTGGGACTCAGAGCTCTCATTTGTTTCCAGACAGACAAAACATAAATGTAATACAAAGCAGTCTTCTCTAAAGTCCCCATCGTCTTTCGTTAAATTCACACATATTCTGGAGGAAATTTAGTCCTTGTGGTCTGATGCATTTATATTTACCACATCAAAGTTATTTATATTTCAAATTATTTGGTGATCACAAAGCTTTCCTCTCTGCCACCCAGGAAGTTTCTCTAAACTTAAAATAAGCAGCTGCATTTCGAACATTTTGAGTTCACTCTGAAACTCCATAACGATGAAATCAATCCCAGATTTTAACTAGACAAAACGTTTTTCTCTCATCATTGTGAACAAAAAGCTCCAAGTAGAAAGGAAAGAAGAGCAATATGGGATCACTCTGGCTCTCTGAATCTAACAGGATGATGCAGACACCTGAAAAGGCAAGTCTTTTAAATCGAAATGAAGGACATTCTGACTCTGAGTTCACAGTCGCAACTTGGTGTGTGCTCTGCAAGTCTGGTTATCAGGTCCAGCCTGTGGATACTGTCAACCCCCACATTTCCAACTCCCCTTGTTTCCACCAGGGTAATCTTTTAAAAAGGTGGCTTTCATCACCCTGGTTTCTCTGCAGATCATGTAAACCTTTCATCTTTTACAATGTGGCTTTCAGGGCTCCTGAGTGGCTCAGTCCGCTAAGTGTCCAATTCTTGGTTTTGGCTCAGATTATAATCTCATGATTTGTGTTGGAGCCCTGCATGGGGCTCTGGACTGACAGTGCGGAGTCTGCTTCGGATTCTTTCTCTCCCCCTCTGTCTCTCTGCCTCTCCCTTGCTCGTGTTCTCTCTTTCTCTCAAAACAAACAAACAAACAAACAAACAAACAAATAAAGTGTGGTATTCATCAGGTTACGCCTTATGGGGACCTTCAATGCCTTCATAGCACTGCTCCCAGGATGTCTGAGGCCTTGTTTAGTGCACTTGGGCGCCTTTGCCTCTCTTTTCACCTGAAGACCCTGAGATGCTTCTATCTCTGGTCTCTGCATCATCTCTGCATGCTCTCTCTGCCCTGTGGCTCAGTAGCCTCTGCCCCAGCTCTTCCCTCGGGGTCTCCTATTTTTCAGGGTACATGTGGATTCTTCAGGGAAAACCTGAACAACTCAGACTCACTGAGAGACATCCACCATTTACTCTCTTTCAGCATCCCATTTATTGGTAGAACACATCCACATTTTAATTATTTCAGTGATAATCTTTTTTTCTCCTTCCTTTTATTTTTTTTCAAGAACTCCCTAATAAGCTTAATTCTTAATAAAACTTATTTATTCATTCATTCATCTTTTACATTTAAAAGATCACAAAATATTTCATTCTGGGAATATAAACTCTATTTCTTAATGTCTTACAAGAAAGAGATTGAATATTGGCATGAACACAGAGCATTTTTAATTTCAGAAGAAGATATTTCAATGATAATCTTTAATGTCTGCCTGTATCCCCTGCCTATAAGCTCTAACAAGACAGAGGCATTCTTTGTCATGTTCATCATCATACCCCAAGCATCTGGCATAGGAACTGGCATGTAGAAGGGACTTAGGGTTTTGGGTATTTTTTTTTAACATTTATTTATTTATTTTATTTTTTATAAATAGTTTATTGTCAAGTTGGTTTCCAACAACACCCAGTGCTCATCCCAACAAGTGCCCTCTTCCATGCCCATCACCCCCCCTCCCCCCGACACCCATCAGTCCTCAGTTTGTTCTCAGCATTCAAGAGTCTCTCATGGTTTGCCTCCCTCCCTCTCCCCCACTATTTCCCCCCTTCTTCCCCTCCACGGTCCTTCGTTAAGTTCCTCCTATTCCTCCTATACGTGCAAACATATGGTAGTTGTCCTTCTTTGCCTGACTTATTTCACTCAGCATAACACCCTCACATTCCATCCATGTTACTATACATGGCCAGATTTCATTCTTTGAATACTACATGGCAATGAGAAACATTTATTTATTTTTGAAAGAGATAGACAGAGTGTGAGTTGGGGAGGGGCAGAAAGAAAGGGAGACACAGAATCCAAAGCAGGCTCCAGGCGCTGAGCTGTCAGCACAGAGCCTAATGTGGGGCTTGAATCCACAAACTGTGAGCCAAAGTTATATGCTAAACTGACTGAGCTACCTAAGTGCCCCTACAAGTCACTTATTAAATATTTATGGAATAAATAAATAAGTGAAGGTAAAAAGTACGCAATACTCTATTCTATTTTCTGTTGGCTTCATTAGGAAACAATCTCTTGGTTCAAGTTCTCTGAGTGGATTCATTAAAGACCTTCTTTATTATGTTCTTGACTCTATTTGATTAATGTCACCAATACATCCATGATGACCACCCAACAAAATGCAAAATGGCCTCAGCTTTCAAATGGATAATAAAGCCCAAAGAGAACAGAATTGAAAACATTGGATAGAATAAAATCCAATTGTATAGATAATTGGATAGAAAACAATCACCCAAAATTGTCCAAAAATTACCTGTACTTCTGATTGCTTTTAAAAGCCATGTGCTTTTGTCTAAAAAGTAGCAATAAACAGACTGTTTACACAGTCAAATAAATGATTTTGGGCAAGTCATGGAAACTTCTTGAACCTAAGTTTCCTTGCCTATAAAATGGAGATAATTTCTTCCCTGTCTGCTTCTTAAAAATACTGGATGGATGTAATCATTCTTAATTATTAACTGTAAAAATAGCTTATAAACACATTATTACCACTAATAATAATTTCCTTTCTCAAAGGTCTGACAAAATTCAAACAGAAATTAGAATTCGGTAGATAAAAGTAATCAAGAGCATAATTCTTTCCTTTGTCACTAAGTACTCATATCCTATGAGTTTTGCTGTGGACTTACGTGGTCACTCAACAGAGAAATTCAGGGGTTCCCATTAACCTTTATGTGCAGATTTTTCATCATTTGTCAAAAGGGGAAAAGTAATTATTTCAAATCGGTCTGAGAAAGGAGTATATGGTACAGGGATTCACGAAGAGGCGCCACACATGTAAAGCCATGGTTTCTTCCATTCGAGAAGGAAAAGCCCAGTGACATTAGTCTAACCTGGACAGGTGCTAAGTAAATATTTCTTGGTGTTACAGCTCAAAAATGTTAGAATCAATTTATATGCAGAACGAATTGATTTTTAAGTTAAGTAGCTGGATTTGAGGTCAGACTGATTCGATCATTAAATGGATTGGAAGGAGAAAGCAGTATGCCCATTTCACCAGTATAACTTTGCTGTGTATTGCCTGTCTGTTACCTTCAGACAGTAGCTGGCATCTTCTTGCTTTGGAGTCCACATGTTTCAAGTTCTATCAGGAACTCTTAAGAGGCTTCCAAACTGGATATTTTATTTCTATATGAACCAGGGAGGAAACTTTCTACCCACCTCAACATGTAGAATGAAGTCTGCTGAATTGGTGCCATCTGTGACCTCCAAGAATATATCATCCTGAAGTATCTCAGATCCATCATGTCGATACCTGTGGGGATGACATTTGCCACTAGCCCCTCAAAGCCACCATGACAGTAGGAGTTGCCTGACACAAGAGAGCTTTTCCATGGCTTTGGCCACACGGTCAATAAATAATAAAAAAATAGCATAATCATGAAGTCACATATTCAACAACTCAAGTGTCCCTGAATGTAAAAATTGCACCACCCAGGAAAAATGTGGGATATACTTTCTTAATTTGCCCCTAAATCAAAAAGTAGCCCTTCAAGTTGCTACCATGGCAATGGGAATCGGTTGGTCTAGTTCTCCTTACTTACATAAAACAAGGCTGGGGCCAAGGGGGTTACTGAGACAGCAGTAGACAGGGAAAAGTGGGAGACAGTGCGGATTTTGAGGATCCCCCTGCTCCCCTACTTGGAAGCCTAATCTTTCTGCCTGTGCTTTTGATCTACTCAGCTCTCCTCTAAAACTGTGATCTATGAATTATGTATTGCCTCCCTCCTACCATTCTCCCTTTTCTACTTAGTAGCTCTCTTCCATTTAACCTATAAAGATTTCCGAATCTCTCCAGACTTAAAAATAGGTTCTTTTGTCTAGTCTTGGCCCTACTTTTCTTTAATTCTCAGTCAAGTTTTGTAACAGAATTGTCTAATTCAGGACTTTCCATGTACTCTCCAGCCACTGTAGTGATACTTACCACAAGAATCTTAATCTATTCTTATCTATTAAGAATCTATAATTACTTACTTATTACTTACCACAAGTTCTTTTTTAAAATTTTTAAAAATATTTTATTTATTTTTGAGAGGGAGAGACAGAGTTTGAGTGAGGGAGGGGCAAAGAGAGAGGGAGACACAGAATCCACAAAGCAGGCTCCAGGCTCTGAGCTGTCAGCATACAGCCCGACGTGGTGTTCAAACCCATGAACCACAAGATCATGACCTGAGCCAAAGTCAGACGCTTAACCGACTGAGACACCCAGGAGACCCTACCACAAGCTCTAAATAGCTGTCTAACTGAGCCAAATTTTCAGTTTATTAATGATTTTTTAAAGATAGGAAACAAATCTTAAAAAATGAAAATAATAGTTGCATAAAAATTATATATTGAGCATATGTAACATTCACATTTTTTCATAAAAAAATAAATTCCAGAGCTAAAAGATATTTGACTCAAGACTAGTCTCACCCATACTCTGGCTAGGGACTCGGGTTGCAGATTCTATTCTGATGGTGAAGAATGTCCACCTCCCACCCTCAGTATCCCTCCCATGTACTGCCTCCTATGTTCCCTGATATTTTCAACAAAAATAGTTATGTGAAAATTTACTAATCCCATCTTATCATGGTAATACCCCCGAAGGGCAAAGCATATCTAGGACTGCACCTCCAAAGGCGTGGCTGTGGAGTCAAACAGAACTTGTTTCAAAATCAGACTCCTCCATATACTACTTGAGCGACCTCAACCTTCTTGTGCCTTAGTTTCTTCAACTATAATATGAGAATACAGCCATCTACCTTATTTGGCTTGATTGCTGTGAAGATTAAATAGCAAAAAAACATAACTGCAGGTCTATAGAAGAGTTCTCAAATTATATGGGCTGGCAAATATTAGTGCTTTTTTTCCTATCCATCATTCACTCCCTAGTAAGAATTACCTAAACAGAGGTCTTGTTCTAACATGTAGCTAAGAACTGAGATGTCTAAAAAAAGGAAAGTTTTGTGAGGATAAGTGTGAGTAGTGAAAAGAGGTCAGGATAGTGGAGACTGTGAATAAACAATTTAACTAGACTAAACTTCAGGTAAAAGTGATCTTCCTTGGCACAAATCCTAGTTCCTAGTCAGCTTCCAAGTGTGGAATTATGCATTTGATCCCTAATACCTTCTTAAAAATTCCTATTTACAACTTGAATTTATAAGTGGTAAGACCATTCGTATGTCTGTCTCCCTGACCCTTGCTTTTGAGTATCTTGAATGATTTTACAGAGAAGGTGTTTTCACTAAACTTTGTAGGAAAGTTTCTTACAAAACTGCATTAGACAGAAAAAATGAAAGCCCTCAAGGTGAGCCAAACTGTTGTAGGAGCATAAGGAATGAGCTGCTCTAATTTCTCCAAAGGACACAAAAATGCTGGTTCGAAGGGGCCCATGTACCCCAATGTTGAGAGCAGCACTATCAGCAATAGTCAAAGTATGGAAAGAGCCCAAATGTCCATCGACTGATGAATGACAAAGAAGACGTGTACAATGGAATATTACTTGGCGATCAAAAGGAATGAAATCTTGCAATTTGCAACAACGTGGATAGAACTAGAGTGTACTATGCTAAGTGAAATAAGTCCATCAGAGAAAGACAAATATCCTATGATTACACTCACGTGGAATTTAAGAAACAAAACAGACAAACATAGGGGAGGGGAAACAAAAAATCAGATAAAAACAGAGAGGAAGACAAACTATTAGAGACAAATATAGAGAACAAACTGAGGGTTGTTGGCAGGATTGTGGGTGGGGGAATGGGCTAAATGGGTGGTGAGCATTAAGGAGAGCACTTGTTGGGATGAGCAATGGGTGTTACATGAAAATGATGAATCACTAAATTCTTCTCTTGAAACCATTATTACACCATAAGTTAACTAACTTGGATTTAAATAAAAAATAAATAAATTCAAAAGAAAGAAAGACAGAAAGAAAGACATGAACTGCTGTATCCCTAACTGTCAGAGACCCAAGTACCACTCCACACCTTATATCCCCGGCGCATCCCAGAGATTTGACTCCAAGTCCCTTCCCACTAGAATGGAATAAAAATTTACACTAAAGACACTGATCAACAGATTCTATCCCAGAGTTTCCAGTGTTATGAAACTGACTCTCCTTAAAGCCAAGTTGAACTATGTAGGTTAGCCATATAGCTTATTTCAGTTTATATTCATCTAGTTTGGCTATTACCTCTTGTGATATGTACAGTTGCAGCAAATTTAATATTCATGGTAATTAATTTCTGTGGCTCAAGTATCCATAAAGTCATTCCCACTGGTACAGCAAGCCAAATGGAAAGAAAATGTCTGGAGGGAAATTAAAAGTTTGTCATTTCTCATTTTCAACTGATCCTTGAAAGTTTTTATTGGCATGCTGGTACCCCACCCCCCACAAAAAAAGTTGGACAAACTTCTTTCTCTTACTCTGCCTCACAGTTGATCCAGATGAAGGCCAATGTATGTAAGGGAAAAAAAATCCAGGAAATGTTCTAACCTAACTTTTAAGGCATGGAGTTCTCCCCAAGAAAATGTGCCCCCTGGGTTTAGAGGAAATCCATCCAACTCCACCATTCCACACTGAGGCAGTCTCTGTAGGGAGAAGTTGATGTTGTCCAGTTTGGTATCCACATCAGAAACCAGAATGTTCTCTGTGCTGATGACACATTGATCTCCCTCAGCCACTCTCAGGGGGTTGGTAAATACCTAAAAAGAAGGAAGAAAACATTCAAAGCCTTGTTCCATGAGATAGTCCTGAAGATAGAGCTCATTAAATAAATAGAAAACTTCTAGTACTACCTTCATATGTTGATTAATTTTTCAAGAATGTGGTAAAGCTGGGGGGATGGGTGGGCAGGGCTCCTGGGTGGCTCAGTCATTTGAGCATCCAACTTTGGCTCAGGTCATGATCTTTCAGTTCCTGGGTTCCAGCCCCATGTTGGGCTCTGTGCTGACAGCTCAGAGCCTGGAGCCTGCTTAGGATTCTGTGTACCCCCACACCTCCCCAACTCACCCTCTGTCCCCCTCTGTCTCTCAAAAATGAATAAACGTTAGGGGCGCCTGGGTGGCTTAGTCGGTTAAGCGTCCGACTTTCGCTTAGGTCATGATCTCGCGGTTCGTGGGTTCGAGCCCCGCGTCGGGCTCTGTGCTGACTGCCGGCTCAGAGCCTGGAGGCTGTTTCAATCTGTGACTCCCTCTCTCTCTGACCCTCCCCTGCTCATGCTGTCTCTCTCTCTCTCTCCTAGAAATAAATAAAACATTAAAAAAAATTTTTTTAAATGAATAAACGTTAAAAAAATTTTTTTAAATAATTCGGTAAAGGGACAAGTTCATAGCTGAACATCTTGGCTGAAAAATATTTTTTACCAATTTTTTCCAATTCTAAGCACTGATATATATACAAAGAAGCAAGGCACATTCATAAACCTGAAACTATCTACATTTCATTTACCTCAGTCTCTAAATAATGAAAGCAGCAATCAAATCGGTTATTATAGGTGGTACTAAATGGAGAACATAATAATATTCATCACCATGAAAATAAACAATTATAGCAAATTCCCCTAGAGAAAAGAATTCATCTCCTTTTTCACCCTAAAAATTCTTAAAGACTTCAGAAATTGGTTAGAGTTTTTAAGTGTCAGTTGTAGTGAGTATTTTAGAGACAGAAGTAGAGCAGGGAAATTGAAGACTGGAAATGGAAGATTCCACAAGAAATATATTTATTCTAACAGACAAACAAGTAAGCCATAAAGATAACGTTTGATGACAGAAAAACCTACTACTCAATTCACAATTCACTTAAAAGTAAAAAGCAAGTTAGAGACACCTGGGTGGCTCAGTCAGTTATGCGTCCAACTTCGGCTCAGGTCATGATCCCACAGTTCGTGAGTTCAAGCCCCACATCAGACTCTGCTGTCGGCTAAGACCCTGGAGCCTGCTTCAGATTCTGTGTCTTCCTCCCTCTCTGCCCATCCCCTGCCTGTGTTCTGTCTCTCTCTCTCTCAAGAATAAATAAACATTAAAAAAAATTTTTTTAAGTAAAAGGAAAATTAGAAGGGCTTCAAATATTTTATCACCACATTGGTAATTGGCAAGAAGTGTGCTCAAATAAGTCTCAAAAACAGTCAAGTTCAACCTCCACCTTGGAGATTTATAAGGCACATAAGCAGATTCAATGTTCTGAGATCCCGCAGTAGGAAAATCAGTGAACCTTGTTTCACCCATCATTTTCCCAAATTTTCATTACTACATGGAGGTAAAAGCAAGCAGATAGAGTTGGGGCACCAAGTTGAGGGCCCTGCCGGTCCTTTGCAGAAGGTCTGAGGTGAGTGCCCTACCCATGTGAGGACACAGCGTTCTCCAAGGAAGCAGCCACTCTCTTCAGAGCAGCTGCTGCTCCCTGAAAGGAGAATGTTCCTGAGGAAAAAGTTGGTAAAGGGAGCGGTGGGGGGTGGGGGATGGGCAGAAGAAAGGGAAGTGAGCAAGAAGCCATGGCCTCCCCTCAGAGCCCTGCTGTATCCTCATGTCCCCCAGCACAGCTGCCCCAAGGGAGCCCCCTGGATCGTGGAAATTATGACACCAACCATCCTGAGACAGTTGCCTTCTACTCTTCAATAAGCTACTTCCACCAGCAGAGGAAAACATCAAACAAGAAACTTTTCTCCCTGCAACCACTCGCCCCCATCCTTCCCACATGCCATATCTCCGTGTGGTCAAACCTACATTTTTACTGTTTGTGGGAGAAAGAAATAAAGGGAGCTCTTATTAAAAGAGTATTGGGGCACCTGCGTGGCTCAGTCAGTTAAGTGTCTGACTCTTCATCTCGGATCAGGTCTTGATCTCAGGGTCATGAGTTCAAGCACCTTGTTGGGCTCCATGCTGGGTGTGGAGCCTTCTTAAAAGATAGATAGATAGATAGATAGATAGATAGATAGATAGATAGATAGATAGATGATAGGTAGATTAGATAGAAAGAAAAGGAGTATTATTTTTGAAACAAGGTCTGTGTCTGCCAGCCTCATTGATTCCTGAGTTGTATCAGTTAATACCCCACGATGCTAATGCTTTCAGGGATATACTTTGCTACACTACATGGTTTTAAAACATATATGTATTTGGGTGCCTGGGTGGCTCAGTCCGTTGGGCATCTGGCTTCAGCTCAGGTCATAATCTCACAGCTCCTGAGCTCACGCCCTGCATCGGGCTCTTTGCTGACAACTTTGAGCCCCCTGGAGCTGCTTTGGATTGTGTCTCCCTCTCTTTCTGCTCCACACCCCTTACTTGTGCTCTGTCTCTCTCAAAAATAAACATGAAACATTTTTTTTTTTAATTTCTAGAAGAGAGAGAGAGACAGCGTGAGCAGGGGAGGGTCAGAGAGAGAGGGAGTCACAGACTGAAACAGGCTCCAGGCTCTGAGCCGGCAGTCAGCACAGAGCCTGACGCGGGGCTCGAACCCACGAACCGCGAGATCATGACCCAAGCGAAAGTCGGACGCTTAACTGACTAAGCCACCCAGGCGCCCCTCATGAAACATTTTTTAATAAAAAAAATAAAATAAAAAGCAAATAAAATAAAGTCTATATGTATTTTAGGGCAACTTTCAAAAAAGTAAAAGCATAAGGCTAATTTGCCCAAACTCATTCATCACTAAAGTTTCAGTCTCTGCTAGAACCCAGTGCTTAGTTTTTGGGGCCTTGCTGTTAGCATCATATTAAGACCCCCTTGCGGTTATCACTCAACCCAGCTCTCTGTGGGTACTTCACCCCGGGCAACCACTCGTGGGACTGGTCTCACTGGAGCTATTCATTTAGATTTACTTTGAAAGTTCTCAGCTCTCTAAGGTCCTATTTCATTTGTCCCATACACTATAGAAAAAAGAGAGAAGCCACTAGGCCACTTCCGTTATGAGGATAACTATTCAATGTTCAAAGTTATGAGGATAACCTTCAAATGAGGAAGTAACTGTTCACTTCACTGTTTCCAGTTTTCTCCACAGATCATTTTTCTCCAGCAAGAGGTTTGGACTGCTTTGCATAAAACACTATATTTCTCCATGATTGTTTTAGAAAAAGCTTTGGCTTCCTTAGATGCTGGGCTATTTCAGGCATGTATCTCATACACAGGAAGGAATAAGCTGAAGAAAATCTAATCAGATTACCAGACATTCTAAACTATTTTATTCACAGGGAATGTGATGTGGTCCCTGACAGGGAAGGGATCAAAAAATAAACTTTAGATTCTTTTGACGTTCGTGTGAGCTCTTTGGCACGTCGTCTACCAAAAACTGCAGGTTCAGAGGCCTGAGGGGTCAGGCCAGTGATGTGAAAGAGTGTACTCAGCTGGGGGCAGCCTCTGGAGACTGGGGGTGGGTGGGCATGCCTTGTCCACTGCTGTGGGGGTAAATGAGCTCACTGTTCCTAGAGTTTCCAAATCTTTAAGAGAAGTCAGAAATCCAGACTCGATATGAAACTTCTGGATGTTTAAATTTTGTCAACTCCTTAATTAAAAGTGTTATTGGATCTATCAGAACTGTTCTAGGGGTTGGGTAAGTCCCCTTGGCTCCTCACAGTGAGACCTCTGGCCCACAACTTAGGGCAGATGTAGAGACGGTGAGGAGGCTCATGGCTATTTTCCAGGTAGGTACCTGGAAGAGGTCACCTTGTATAGGTTCTCACCCATTTTCATTACAAATGATTAAGTAATTCTACTTTGTCTTTCACTTTTGTAGGAAAAATGAGCCCAGGAATAGCCACACTAATTAAATCTAGCCTTCTGATGGGGTTTGGAACAAACTTTCAATGTTAGGTCCAGCCTCACAGATAAGATGTACCAGGTGGCATCACCTTCATAGTTCAGGTTTAATGAGAGACCCAAGTACTTGAATGCTTACATCAACACTGGGGTTGGGACAGGAGAGAATGGAAGAGCCCACCTTAATTCATTTGAAAAATTAAAAGGCTTATTTAGATTAGCATGCATATAGTTGGTCTACAATAAGAGCAAATAAGCCCTTCTGGTTGCTAAGAGACCCAAAATTTAATCCCCTTCCCCTGATCAACTCGTGGAACAGCAGAAAGGAAAGGAAAGGAAAAGGATTTTGATAAAGCTTTGAAAATAATGCCAAATTCAGCAACTGGAAAATCTCACCCTTTAGAAAGTCTCATGGAGGTGAAAGACTCCCTCCCCATGCTTTTTTTTTTCCTCCTACACTGCAGCTGAAAAGTTTTAAAGTTCTATAAAATAGGGGCACCTGGGTGGCTCAGTCCGACTTCGGCTCAGGACATGATCTCACGGTTCATGAGTTCAGGCTTCATGTTGGGCTCTGTGCTGATAGCTCATAGCCTAGCGCCTGCTTCAGATTCTGTGTCTCCCTCTCCCTCTGCCCCTTCCTCACTCATGCTCTGTCTCTCTGTCTCTCTTTCTCAAAAAATAAATAAACACTTAAAAAGATTTTAAGGTTCTATAAAATAGCCTAAAGAAAAGTTATCATTTCCAGTAAGTCTTCAAGTCTTTCCTCTCTTTCATTAGGTCTTCCTTCTTTTTTGTCTTTCATATCAAATATCATACAAACCTTGGGAACTTGATTATCCACTGGAAGAATCGTGATGTTAAAGCAAAGCCCATGCAAAGTGGCCCCATGCTGGTTACTGATAGAAAATGCAAACTGGACATGTCCCGGATAGAGTCCTATATCTTGCATGGGTGGCATGTAGGCCACTTTCCTGTAGTTCACAGCATGCTGCAAAGCAAATTGAGATGGACATGTGGGTACCCATCTGTAAGAATCGGAGACCTTCAGAGAGCTGGGTCTTCAAAAACCATCGTGTTGACCTCAAACACTGCAAATGCCAACAGCATCCATTTGAAGATACCAAAAAGCTCTATTTTATAAATCACATTTTCTAAAACCAGGAGGGAAAAGAACAAAGAAATTAAGTAAATATGCCAAGTGTTTGAAACCAGTCAACTCTGTAAGAGACAGAAAGCTCAAATTTCAATGCAGCTCCACCAGCAATAAGCTGTGTGATATTGGTCAAGTTACTTACACTTGCAAGGCTTCTGTTTCCTTACCACCAAAATAAAATAATAAATAACAGTACTTAGCACATGGAGTTTACGTACTCATTGGCAGCATCCAACTGCTGTGAGATAAGGCAGAAATAGCCCCAAGGATAGGGGTAAGTTGCTGCCTAAATATTCATCACCATTACTGTGATTCTCAGGGGTAGAGTTCAGAAGAATAGGGGGAAGGTTGGTGAAAGATTTTGGAAGGTAGTAGATATTATGAGTTGCATGTGTCCCCCCTAAAAAGATATGTTGAAGTCCTAATCTCTAGGATCTCAAAATATTACCTTATTTGGGAATGGGGTTGTTGTAGCTGTACTACGTTAAGATGAGGTGTGGTCATATAGAACGGTGGGCCCTTAATCAAATATAACTTCTGTCCTCATAAGAAGAGAGAGACACACGGGGAGAGGACAACCATCAGATGATAGAGGCAGAGACTGTAGTGATGATCTATAAGCCAAGGAATGCCAAAGAGTGTCTGAAAACCTCTAGAAGCAAGGAAGGGCAAGGAAGGCTTCCTACAGAGTTTCAGGGAAGCGCAGTCCTACAGACAGCTTAATTTCAGACTTCCAGCTCCAGAACTTTGAGACAGTACATCTCTGTTGTTTGAAGCCACCCAGTTAGTAGTACCCATGGCAGCCCTAGGAAACTAATACAGTAGGATATTGAGTGACCTGAATTTGTTGGAATAGAACCATAGGCATCCAGGTCTATAAATCAGAGCCCAGAGCAAAAGTCTGTGTTGAATTATAACAAGATTTTGAAATTATATCCAGTTCAATGAAGCATTTTCAAATAGATGTCACATGCTTCATAAAAGTGTGCAAGCAGAAAGAATGCAGACATCAAACATTTGATGCTTTGGACAGATGTCAAAGGCTAACATTCTCAAGTGCAACACTAGGAGTGCCATTCCTTCTCAGAAGACACATCACATTTATCAACATTTAGCATAGCCTCATACCTGAGTGAATGATCTCAGCCCTGGGATGGCAGGGTTTTTGGTTAGCTTTGGAATACCATCCACCATAAATAATTTCCCAGCATCCAGATGCCTACTGAGAAATACAGGAGAACACATCAGCTAATTTTCCAGGCAAGAAACATTAAGTCAAATAGCCCACAACCAAGTTTTCTAAAGCAAAAGAAGCTCACTGTTAGAAGAAATCAAATGTTCCATCTTTATATTCTTTCTTTCTCTTGGGAGGCTCTAGCCTTCAGTCCAGAACCATCAGGGCCATTCACATGACTGCAGAAAGTATGTGCAGAATTTTCTACTTTGACCTCATGAAAGGGAATCGTTCTCCTCATCCTAAAAGCGTTTCCTTGCTATCATGTATATGACACAAGCCTCAGGTATGTTCATGTCACTTTTCTGATTGGGATAACAGAATATCACCATTTCGTGGCCTGCAATATCTAAAACTTATTTCGAAGATTCAAAAAATTTTATTGAAAAGACAAAAATAACATTCCCTTTAGAAAAAAGAAATGTTGCATGAAAAGAGGATTAAAGGACATTTTAAGCTTACCTAAGGTGAAGACACTACAAATGGCAGGTAACTGACCAATTAATACAGCTTTTGAAGGGATAAGTCTGAGATTAAAGTAAATGTGGAATGGAATACAAGTTCACGTCTGACCAACAAAGCAACTGAACCACAGTAAATGTATATGGACACTAGCAACTCAATCCTTGAACACAACCCTCTGTAAATAGCCCAGGTGATGACTTCTAAGTGATACCTGTGGCTGAAAGAGAAAAATGGGGGCGTCGTTATTGTGTAGAGAAGCTCTCGGTCATATTCTGTATCTATAAAATGGAGATGTTTCTTAGTTATGTAGGCCACCTCAGTTTCCTTGACAACCAAATGCCGAGACACTCCAGGAGCCTCCTTTGGAAGCTGGTCGTCCACGGGAGTAATATGGATGGTCACCACCTGGAAAGAAATTATCTATGCCATTAATTTGAAATACCAAAGGATGCCAAAGAAAACACCCCGCAATCAGCTAGTCATGGTTAAGATGCTTTTCAAAACCTGCCATTTTTATGTACTTCCATTGAAATGATTCAAGAGCTATCAAGAACGTGAGCCAAAAATGGAACATTCTTACCCATTTTATGTTACATTTTAAGGTTATAATTATCACAATTATAGTTAATGCAGTCATGAATGCTGCAGAGAAGGCACATAATACACAAAATATGTTCCTGATTTTATTCCTGCTTCTCCCTTCCACCAACAGCCTGTGTTTTCTTTCACCACCTCCCTCCACCGAGTCATAGATCCTAGAAAACATTATCATGACTTCAGTTCCTTCTTCTCCAACACATAACACATCTTCAAGTCCCGGGGTTTCTACTTACAAACTTACTTGCACTGTGACCACACCCGACCCCCACCCCACTCTTACTGGTCTAGTTCCAGCTCTTTTAACTTCTTCCCTACATAACTACAACAGCTTTCTGTTAGCCCCAACTCCAATACACAATCTAGACGTTACATATGTCTGGTGTTCTCTTAAAAAAAATGCAAAAGTCAAATCAGTTATCCATCGCCTCAAAAATCTAAACAACTGCTTGGGAAGAATTAAATTATTCCAGCACCTCAGCATGGCACCCACGACGTCCACGGTTAAGACACACTCGATTTTTCAACTCTGTCTTTTACCTCCTTTTGACATGAACCCAGGACTCCAGGTGTACACAGTACCAGGCTGTAGTTCTCAAGCAGGCACCTGCGGTCCGGATCCTGTTGTGCCTTCAGTCTGCAATGCTTCTCTCCTGTCTTCTCCAACAACCTGAGGCTTTCTTACCCTTGAGGGCTCCTCTGAAAACTTTGCCCAATTTCTCAGTTGGAATGAACTGTTGCTGAATTTCGCTTATCCCTCAACGAACATTATTATTTCATCACCTTGTGTTACTAGCTAGTGGTTTACAGGTCAATCTCTCCTTGACTGGGAGACCCACAAGAGGAGAACCGTAGTATAGCACAAACCACGTGGAATTTGTCAGTGGACAAACAGTTGTAGTGCAGAGTATACTGCTTAGCAGCTCTTATTAACCGTGAACAAGTCACTCAACTTTTTTGAGTGTCAATTTTACTGATCAGTTAAGTGTAGCACCGAAAACCGCACAGAGTCGTTACTAGGATCAAATATCACTATGCAGATAAAATGTCTGGCACTCAGTAGGTGCTTAGTAAATACTGTTCATTTCTGTAGCTCTACAGCTCTAGCATGGTATTTGGAGGTAGGAGATACCTCGTCAGTATTTGCTAACTCAGTCAACATGCCCTATTTGTGATTGTTAAAAATTCTTTAAAAAATTTTTTTTAACATTTATTCATTATTGAGAGACAGAGCATGAGCAGGACAAGGGCAGAGAGAGAAAGAGAGGGAGACACAGAATCTGAAGCAGGCTCCAGGCTCTGAGCTGTCAGCACAGACCCAACATGGGGCTTGAACCCATGAACTGTGAGATCATGTCTTGAGCTGAAGTCAGATGCTTAACTGACTGAGCCACCCAGGCTCCCCTGTGATTTAAGAACCTCTTAAAGTCATACTCACTGGTTTGGAATCATGCGAGAGGGTGGGGAGGCTTTGCCAAACAGCTTTTATCATGACGTCTATTTTTTTTTTTTTTTTTTACAAAAATCCATGATTGGTTGTGAGAAAGCAATTACTAACTTTCTCTTAAAAGGGGATATTTGTTTGGCATCATGGGTCTTTCCACAGCTTGATGCAGGAGAGTGAGTATTCTTACCCCGGTTTTATTCATTTTAATATTGTGACCGAAGCACAGATCAGCAATGCCAGTTTTGACTACAATAATGGTGTTCATAATACTTAGTTTGAAAATGAAAAAAGTTCCTTTTTAAATTGGCATACAAGGGCACCTGAGTGGCTCAGTCAGTTAAGCGTCCAACTTCAGCTCAGGTCATGGTCTCATAGTTCGCGAGTTCGAGCCCCGTTTCGGGCTCTATACTGACAGCTCAGGGCCTGGAGCCTGCTTTGGACTCTGTCTCCCTCTCTCTCATCCCTCCCCAACCCACCCTCTGTCTCTCTCTCTCAAAAATAAATAAACATTAAATTGGCATACAAAGGAAAAACTAAAACAAGGTTACGCTTTTGCTATGACAAAGATTGGGAATATAGCTCAGTCACCTACAAGCTATGTTCCCTGGGGCAAATAACTAACCCCTTTGGGTCTCAGTTTTTCTCTCTAGCAGCACAGTGAGTACCTGGTAGTAGATGCTCAATTAATTAATTCCCTGTCTCCATCCTTCGTTACTGTTACAAAAGCCCCCAACATATGTACTAGTCCATTATGAAGCATTTCAATAATTAAAAACTAAAGCCAGTCATCAAAATAAAAGAACACAATAAAAGCCATTTCTCCAGTCTCCTGGAGTCTGTGTCACATTTTTTTTTTCCAATTATAGTTTTTTGCTAATCTACAAAGTTCAGAAATTCTCTACGGGACCTCCCGGCCATAGTGTGGATCAGTGAGGCTCCACTTAATTGAAAAACTGGATTTAATATGGAAACAATAGTTATTGTGCCTTCAAAGAGACCATTTTCCATGCTAATTTATTCTCCAATGTGTTCTTTATGTAAAAAGAATGTACAAGCATGCTTTTTTATGCGCCTGTAGGAATTCTTGGTGGGCACATTTTTCACCATGCTTTATGATCATTTAAGTTGATGTATCTTTACATATTTATGCATGTTTAAACCATTATTGTATGTGTGTCTGTGGATAAGAAAAATTCTATTTTAACAAGCTCCATAGAGAAATAAAGAATTTTCATTGTACTAAAATTTGGTTGTAAAAAAGACATTATTGAACAGCCATTCCCAGATAGTGAAAAACTAGTGCCCAATCACTAAGCTGTTGCTGCCGGCTTTCCCTATATCCCTCCAGTCTACTTATGGCCACTAGCACCTGCAAACAGACTTGGAGAAAATCTGAATATAAAGCGATAAATCTGTACACAAAATGGCAAAGGGCAAAGCCTCAGAATCAGGCTCGCGATTTGATACTCCGACAGCCAGGATCTGATTTTTTTACAAGCCTGGGTTCTTGATCCTTTCTCTGCCTAACCTCGTATTCCTGCCTAATTCGTTATCTCGCATCTTCTTTTGACGTTATCCAGCGCTACTTCTCAGATCCAGGAACTACTGCAGGGATTTCTTTCCACTTGACCCACAGGACTTCTTGGTACCTGTTTCCTTTCTTCTTCTTCTTCTTCTTCTTGGTCCTCTTTCTGATTCCTTCCTCTATCCTTATTTTGCATTCTCCATTTGATTTCTTTTTGTTTTTTTTTCAGTTTTTATTTTAATCACCCAGAGCTCATCATGACAAGAGTATTCCTTAATCTCCATCACCCGTTTCACCTTTTCCCCATCCACTTCATTTTACTTCTAATAACACTTTCTCCTGGCTTAAGATCTCCTACAGCTTAAGCCCCTAGAGCTTTCTCTTGAGAAGGATAAAGGACATATTTTTCAAAAGCAAGTTGAGTGGGTGATGTTTTATTTGATGACAATAATGACAACCAAGAGAGAAAGAGGGAGGGGGTTTCTTGCTGATGTGTGAGACACTGTTGGTGTGTCAGTTGACCTCTCAGAGGAGCATTCAATGGAGAAGGAGGAGAGGAGGAAACGGGAATCGCTGCTTAACTTCTTTCCTGCTTTAAGCACATTATGTCTCATCTCAGGAGATCCTTGCTTTCCTCTATGAAAGGAAGTTTTCCAACAATGTGGCCTAAGCAATCTTGTGCCTGCGTTTAATTTTTAGTCACCATGGAAACTTCTGATCACAAAAGTTCCCGTCAAGCAACCTTCTTATCTAGACTTTCTTTTTTTATTTTTTAAAATATTTTTATTATTGAGACAGAGAGAGAGAGAGCACAGCGGGGAGGGGCAGAGAGAGAGGGAGACACAGAATCTGAAGCAGGTTCCAGGCTCTGAGCTGTCAGCACAGAGCCCAACGCAAGGCCCCTGAACCACAAGTCACGACCTGAGCCAAAGTCAGATGCTTAACCAACTGAGCCACCCAGGTGTCCTTAGACTTTCAGTTACTGGTGGAAGGTTGCAGATTTTGTTGACTATTTTACAAATTTTGTTGAATTTTATCTATAAAACATGACTAGATACTTCAAATTGAAGATGCAATCATCAAGTAGACTAAATGGTCGTGCAAGTTCCTTAAAAATTCGAGTTTCAATGATGCTTTCAGGGGCTTACAACACAAAAACGCTTACCAGAGCACAGGCACAAAATACTTGTTCTGCTGTTATGCACACACCAGTTCCTGGAAACTCTGAAGAATAGAACTTTACATTCATTCCTCCCCCCGTGTCACTCCTTCCCCAGTTCCTACCAAATGTTTCAGTCTTGTTTCCTCTTACTCTCAATAAAGGTTGAAAGAACCAGAGTTCACTTTAGGACAAAAACAAAACAAAACAAAACAAAACAAAAAGAAACAGTTCTTGAGGTTCTCCTTTGAGTCCGGTACCAAAATCTGAAGACACAGAGATAAATAATTTGGGATTCCTTCCATCAGTGAACTCACAGTGGATCCAGTAAAACAAACAATGGCCTCATATTATAGTTATTTGATATAGGATGATATAGGATCATATAAAGGACAAGCTGACCCAGTCTAGGGGAGTCGTGGAATGAGGGAATGAGAGAAGGTCTGCTGGAGCAGGTGATGTTAGAGCTGACAGTAGGTCCATCGGAAACGGAAAAAGCTAAATCTGTCACTCCTCAGAAGTGGGGGAAAATTGGGAGCTAGATGAATGCTACCAAACACTTGACACTGTGTTAATGGATTTTAATTGTCCTCAATTATAGGGATATGGCTGATGTCCTCTATTCTTTTTTGCTAATCTTAATTTAAGTAGGCTCCATGCCAAACATGGGGCTTGAACTCACAACTCTGAGGTCAAGAGTCACATGTTTTACCTACTGAGACAGCCAGGTGACCTGATATCCTCTATTCGTAAGGAAGCTTGTGAGGAATTCTGATCATAATCCATTCTCCAAAAGATGAAAATTGGAACTAAAGCACTGGCAGTGGGTGAAGAGGTAGAGATAGATGAGAAAATTTATCAAGTAGATTTAGTAAGATCTGCTGATTGATCGGTTCTGCAGACATTAGAGGGGGAAAAAAGGGCTGGGGATGACTTCAGAGATTCTAATTAAAGTGATTTTGTGAAAGTCCAGGAGGAAATATTCCAAATGTCTTATGGATTGTGGACATGGTGAATTGAAAACACTGGTGAGGGACATCTGGGTGTCTCAGTCGGTTGAGCATCTGACTCTTGATTTTGTATCAGGTCAAAGGATCGAGCTCCGTGTTGGGCTCTACACTGAGTGTGGAGCCTACTTAAGATTCTCTCTCTCTGCCTCTCCCCTGCTCATTAGTACATGCTCTCTCTCTCTCAAATTATAAACAAATACATACATACATACATACATAAAATGCTGGTGAGACACATAAGTAGTGATGTCAGATACAGAGGTGGGCATTTAAGGTTGAGTTGGAGAATATTTAGGAGCCAAAGAATAAGTGGTACATGAAAACACAGCAAATTTATAGAGTTTTCTCTCTCTTTCTCAACACAGACTAGAAAGATGAAAGCAAAGAAAAACATAATTATGACCTCTTCTTTAGAAATCTATCCATCCTAGGGAATAAACTTATAACTTATAGTCTGACTTATTTGCCAAGATTTATAATAATAAATAATAATTATTACAGAGCAATCTCACATCTCCATTTGATCTAAAATATGAGATAAATATAATCTATATCTATGATGTATAAAATATGTAATAGCAGAAGACCTGAGCTTTCAATTTAAAAAAAAAACACCATAATCTGCTAAAAGTGATAGGGTGTTCTGCTCAGAAACAGGTCAGTTTGAATAGATACAACAGAAGATTTAAAAACAAACCCTATTAGTAGTTGCCATTATGGATTATCAAGTCCACTAAGGTCTCAAGCAACAATGCCAATTAGAAATGGCATGTAATACACTGATGAAAAAAGGGAGTTGTTATTTGTAAGGGAATGGATTTGTTATTCAATAACCAAATGAATTAGGAAATTTCTAAAATAAAAAAAAAGAAAGAAAAAAAATTTCTCATTCATTCTCCATTCCCTCAAAAGAGGGGTTAACTACTTCCTTCACTTTCTGGGCTCTCTGACATCATTCTTCTTGATCATCCCTTTTTGTTACAAAAAGATAAATAGCTCAATCACCTTTGCAGTGGCCAATGTAAGTGACTGTGGCATTATGAGAAGACATTATTTAACCGATAGGGACACATGCTTTAAGAAATCATTCTAGGGGCGCCTGGGTGGCTTAGTCGGTTAAGCGTCCGACTTTCGCTTAGGTCATGATCTCACGTTCGTGGGTTCGAGCCCCGCGTCAGGCTCTGTGCTGACTGCCAGCTCAGAGCCTGGAGCCTGTTTCAGTCTGTGACTCCCTCTCTCTCTGACCCTCCCCTGCTCACGCTGTCTCTCTCTCTCTCTCCTAGAAATAATAAATAAATAAATAAATAAAAGAAATCATTCTAGAGCTGATTCCAGATTTGCTTAGATCTCTACACACTCTACCTTCCAATAGATACCTACCTACCAAGATAATAGGTAGGAAATTCTCAGAAAAAAAGAATCATGAACAGTAAGTGATCTCTTATACTCAGCTGTCTTTTTCTACCCCTCCCACCAGCCATCCTCTCTTTGCATGGAGTCTACCCTATAAACTATAGTTTATAGTTATCCAGATCCTACACTAATTCCATTTTCTGTAATTTCTATGTAAGAATGCCTCCTTAAATCTATTTCTCCATCCTATATCCTTAAATGATACACTTGAGTGACAGTAAAACTCTTAGCTCTTCAAAGCAATAATAAATAATAGCTAATTTATCTACTGAGTACTTACCATGTGCGAGGAAGTTCTCAGTAGATTATGTAATTATCTCACTTACTGTCACAATTTCTCTATAAAGAAGTTATATTATTATCTATTTTACAGATAAGGAAACTGAAGCACAGGTCAATCAGTCAGTTAGGGTCAAGGACAGGAGAAAAACATAAGCAATGTAGCCTCAGAGACCATAACTCAATGACCATACATAAAAGTCAGTGTTTTCTTTACTGTTAGGAAGTCAGCAGATTTTGGGGGGTGTTTTGTATAAAAGGGCCCACGGTTAAAGACCTTGGAAACACTGCATACACGGAAATTTATAAAACTTATTAGAAAAGTAAATAGTAGAGACACCATGTTGTAAACAAGTTGACTTAATTTTGCTAAATCCTTTACTTCTCAAACTTTGAATCTTAAAATTGTTTTCATGTGTTTTCTAATAACAATTTTAAAATGTTTTCATGTGTTTTCTAATAACACCTCCCAAAACTGTTATCTGTGGACTAGACTTGAGGATAGTATTCAGAGATGGTCTCTTACCTGTGGCACTGAGAGATTTGGAGGTTCATGGCTATCCCACAGGACAAATTCAAAAGAGTCTTCAAAGATCTCTCCACCGAAGTGACGATAGTAAATGATGCCATTAAATAGATCCCTCTGAAGGAAGCCAGGGACAGGATAGCCTGTTGGGTCCACAAAACACCACATACCTTTGTAACAATCTTCCAAGTGTTAGGGTATAAAGACATTGAACTTATATCCAAAGTATTCTCTACCTAGTATATTGTACATACTCAAGGAATCTTCATTAAATACTTTCATCAAAGCTTATAAATAATTAGCAGAAAAATTTAAGTTGCTACACCTGTCTTAAGATATATAGAAAAATGAGCATTACAAAAATATTTTTAAGAAACACAGCCTTAATTAACACGAAACTACGTGCTCCCTATTTTGTTACTCCTGACTACTTTAAGAAATGGTTATGAAATTATTCTCTTAAAGCACAAACAAATTTTATTCATAAAATTACTTTATAAATAATTCAGGATAGGCCAAATACTCCTCTTTAAACTTATTTGTTCTTTCATCCTGCTTGGTGGACATAATTTTTCATAATATAATGGTTACCTTGACATCTGACTCTGGAATTTTTTAGATGCACAACCATGAATAGATCAGTTTAACTTTTCTAAGTGTCAGGCTTCCCACAAAATGAGAGTGATAGTAGTATCTTCCCTCATAAACTTGATGTCCACCCTTGCACAAATTCTGAAATCAATGGTCCTAACTATTCAGAACTTACCTATCAGCCCTGGCCCTGGCTTCTTCATGATCTCTCCAGCCTGAGGGGGTTTTGTGATATTAAAGAAGATGTAGTCATCACTGGAGTCTATATCTGATGCTCTCAGCATGGAGCCCTGGATCAGTATGGTCTGTCCCTCTTCCAGTTCAATTACTACATTGTTTATGAGGAATGGGGGACTGTCGTCTTTGGGCAAAATGTTGATGGGAAACTTATGGCGGATGCTGTGACGGCCATCGAATATCCTGAAGACCACAAAGTCTTTGGTGGAATCACTGTCATCATGATGATAGCGAACAACTCCAGTCTGAAGGTCAGCCACAGTGAAGAGAAATCCTTTCCCCCCTGATGGAGAGAGCAGAGATGGGGCTGACTGAATGAGGGATGCAGAGGGAGCAGCTGCAGCGAAAGCAGCAGTAGAGGAAAGGGCGTGAAGGAAAGTGGGCCAGTCGATACCTGCCTCACCTAGACAAACAATCTTGTTTAGTGGGCTCCGCGCCTCCACAGATCTGGTATTGAATACTGGCTGTAACACTTACTGGCTGTGTGGACCTGGGCAAGGTAAGTAATTCATCTGAGACTCATCTATAAAACAGGGATAATAATACCTACCTCATATTCCCTAGGAAGAATGAGAGAACTTACAGGAAGAGTAAGCCTATAAAAAGTGTTCATTATCCTTCAACACGGCAGCATTTCCCTGAGGAACAGTCTTGAAACAGGAGTGTCAGTGCCACTTAGGAAGTCATTGGAAATGCAAGTTCTCTGGCCCTCCTCCAGGCTTACTGAGTCGAAAGTCCTGGAGGCGAGACCCCAACTAAGTGACAAAACTTGTTTTCATCGTCCCTTCTCTTTCTTTCTTACCGGAATGCAGACCCAAAGTCTGAAGATGTGGGTGCTATCTTGTGACCACTGTCAGAGCAGAAAGAACTGTCGGCATCATGGATCTGGAGTGCCTCCCTCTGGGCAACTTGTCACATGAGGAAAATTACTCTTGACTTTTTAAGTCACTGTAGTTGGGTTTCCCTTACACGCAGCTGAACATCCCCTTAAGCTGATCTACTCTCCTAAGGTGATTTCATTTTTTATTTCAGAATTCCTAATCACAAATGATAATAAAAAAGAGCTCTCTTTCTGCTTTATAGTTAGGAATACCAAGAGGATATTTGAATTAAATCCTCTGAGCTCATTATACGGAATGGACTATATTATATGATATGAATATTATTTTTATTAGGGCTATTATCTTGTTAACTACTACCCTTATAATTATAATATGATTAACAAAATAACATAATTATACTAATAACATAATAACAATGATTATCAAGTATTTAAAAAACTACATTTTTCTGTTTTTTAATACATTCCTCTAAATCAGAGAAATGAGAGTGACATATTTTGTCTTCCAACTGGGATAAGATCATCAGTTAAAGAGTGTATTTAGAAGGAGTCCTACACTGCATCTGAGATTTAAATAATGAGCCAACCACAAGATGCTGCTTGTAAATGGTCATCCATGGATGGGAGCACGCTAACATAGTAGCACATGGTTTCAAGATCTCCACACTTTCTAGATATGACAATACAGATGAGGCCCAAGAGAGGCTCAGTCGGTTAAGCGTCCGACCTCAGCTCAATTCATGATCTCACAGTCCATGGGTTCACCCCACCACATCAAGCTCTATGCTGACAGCTCAGAGCCTAGAGCCTGCTTGAGATTCTGTGTCTCCCTGTCTCTCTGCCCCTCCCTCCCTCATGCCCTGTCTCTCTCTCTCTGTCTCAAAAATAAATAAATATTTTAAAAATTAAAATAAAAAAAAGAAATGAGGCGCAAGAGATGCTATGTATATATTGTTAAATATGGTCTGTCTGCTTTTGGACAAAAGACTTTTGGGTTCTTTTCTAGGTCAGATGCTGATCTTTCACCTCTTACTGTAAGGCGTCCATGCTGCAGGCCGCTCACGGTGACCAGCTGGACAGCATGGAGGTCATCATTGTCGACAATCTGAAACTGTTCCCAAGTGATGGCCCGAGACTGCCCCTCCAGAAGACTCAGACCTACAAGTGAAAACAGAAAAGTGTCCTAGAAAGTTCTATGACATGCCAACGTGCCTACTCGAAGACAAGATGAATGCATTTTCACTCACAAAACTAGTTGAAAATTGTATCTCTGAAAGCATTTTAAAAAACTGGAATTCAGGGGCACCTTGGGTGGCTCAGTCCGTTAAGAGTCCGACTTTGGCTCAGGTCACGATCTCTCAGTCTGTGAGTTTGAGCCCCATGTCAAGCTCTGTGCCGACAGCTCGAAGCTGGAGCCTACTTATGATTCTGTGTCTCCCTCCCTCTCTGCTCCTCCCCTGTTCGTGCTCTGTCTCTCTCTCTCTCTTTATCAAAAATAAACATTAAAAAAAAATTTTTAAAGAAACTGGAATTTAGCTTTTGTTTTTAGTAATATTTCTGCATCTAATACTATTAACGCCAGTCTGATTACTGGTTCCTTCTGGCATAGCCATTGGAGGCATTGTGGTGTCAGAAAGGATATACTGAGGGAAAGAATAGATATTCTTTCACAGGGGTCTCTAGTTCAAAAATGTCCACAAGGCAGCTTTCAAAGGTGACATCCAGATATTTTAAACGGACAAGAAAATCAGAAGAGCTTTTATATATAAGTTATGAGTGCAACAGTAGCTCACAGGACAGAGAATATAAAGTGGTTACTTGTGCAAATACAGAGCTACCATGTTAGGGGAGTGTTTGATGGTATTAGACAAGAAGTGTCTGCCACTTTGAAATGAGGGCTGAATTTTATTCCAAGCTCTCATAAAGAAGGAACTTTAATAACTAAAGGAATTGAAATAAAACCTTCTTCTTGGAGCCAGTGTGCTGGAGGAAATCTCGGGAGAGAGGGTTAAGTGCTGCCCCGAGCAGCAAGATACAGATTCTGGATGGAACACTCCAGAAACAGGGAGCTGAGCAACATCAACCATTCCCATTATTCAATGGGTCTAGGAGCTGACAGATTGCAAAGAATCTTGAAAGGGAACAAAGATTTTTCAGTTTTTAAGTTGCTAAAACTTAAAGGCAGTGTACCGGCGGACCCACTCACATTTCCCCTCAAACCTGCCCAGCTTCCCCTGCCTCCCTGGCTGTGACTGTGTGCTTGCTTTCTGGCTGCTGCGGCTCCGTGAGGGTCCCCGCAGTCCCCACAATTGTAAATTGTGGCTGGCTGCCACCATTGCCTCATCTTCTGCTAAGGCTGATTTACATGAATCATCCTCTCAGGCAAGGGCCAGGTTTTGGCATGACGTCCCTTGTGACCATGGCCATAGCAGCCACAAAGAAGGACCAGGTGGCACATCATGGACATGTGGGGAGTTGACATCCAGTGAAGCAAACTGACCACAGCGAGACAGGAGATGGGAAGGAGCTGAGAGAGAGACTACTCACCCTTTCCTGAGACCACCTCTGACTCTTCCCATGCATAGTGGTTCTGTTTCCTCCTGGAAACACCAGCATGACCGGGCAATCAACTTCACTTTCTCATAAACTCAGTCACCCTACCTTACCTTTTTATTTGTTCCCCCACAACTTCCTTTCCTTCTTATTCTTGTTTTCAGTATAGGGTTAGTACATATGACCCACGTCAGGGCCTGTTTGCTAGGGAACATGGAATACAACATACAATAGGAAGGAAGGAAGGAAGGGAGGGAGGGAGGGTGGGAGGGAGGAAGGAAGGAAGGAAGGAAGGAAGGAAGGAAGGAAGGAAGGAAGGAAGAAGGGAGGAAGGGAGGGAGGAAGATGAAAGAAAGAACAAAACAATGAATGAAAGAATGAAAAAACAAAAGAAAGAAAGAACAAAAGAGAACGAACGAACAAACGAACGAACGAACGAACGAAAGAACGAAAGAAAGAAAGAAAGAAAGAAAGAAAGAAAGAAAGAAAGAAAGAAAGAAGAGAGGGGCAGAGAAAGGAAGGAACGGGGGAGGAGTGAGAGAGGGAAGAAAGACGGGAGGGAAGGAGAGAGGGTGGACAGGCACATATAAAGAATCTCTGTGACTCATAATATGGGTTTTGAAGACAAGAGTGTGCTACACATACGATGAGGCATCATGAGACACAGCACAAGAGGAAGCCAGAAGGGTAGAAGTATATTATAGCAAGACATTAACAGTGGTTCTGTCTTCGTAATCATTCATTACTATTTCATTCATTCATCCATTACTATTTCATTCATTTCTACCCATGCACTGTTATTATTATCATTATCCATTCATTCCATTTATTCTGTTTAATGTACCTTCCAAGTTTTCAATGATGAACATGTATTAAGTTCCTAATAAGTAAAAATTCATTTTAAAAAGTTCTGATGTCCAAAGTAGCCTAAACCAGATTTGGAATTCTCTTAACAAGCTTGGATTTCACAGATCCTGCAGACTATGAAATCTCTGTGCTCAAGCAATAATCCACCTAGTATATGATTATTACTAGAGTTCAGGTTGCTAAACCCTTCTTTCCTTGTATTATCCCTCTAGCAGAGGTAAGGTGAGCCATTCACCAATATAAGACTGCTCAACCAATGATCTCCATCTTGACCAAAACTCATACACATACAAACACGTGTGTGTGTGTGTGTGTGTGTGTGTGTGTACGTACCCGCATGTAAGGGCACACACACACACACACATCCACAGAGCCAAGTTTAAGCCACCACCTAAGGATTTAAATGAGACAAATATTTTTCCCTTCACAGAGCCTGCCATCACTATTTATAAGTAGGTCTTTTTTTTTTTTAATTTTTTAATGTTTATTTATTTTTGAGAGAGAGAGAGCATGAGTGGGGGAAGGGCAGAAAGAGAAGGAGACACAGAATCTGAAGCAGGCTCCAGGCCCTGAGCTGTCAGGACAGAGCCTGACACGGGTCTCAAACTCATGAAAGATCATGACCTGAGCTGAAGTCAGAGGCTTACCCACCTAAGCCACCCAGTTGTCCCCTAAGTAGGTCTTGATTGCTATCAATGGGATCAACGGGAAAGGGAAAAAATCTTCATTTACATTTCACATTTACATCTGATCTATATATACACACTGCATCATAAGACTACACAGAAGTGACCTTCTTTTAAAACAAATGAAGTGGTTTAAGCTCTTATTCACGTATTATGGCTTCCCGGCATGTCTCCCAAACAGGACAATGAATTGGTCTCCACCTTCCTTCCCTTTCTCTGAACAGTTTGAACTAGAGACATTTTCCCCCCTCAGTCCAACTGTAGCTGAATACCACAAATCGTCACTTTTTTGCCTCATTCAGTTGAAAGGTGTCCTTTGGGCTTATTTCCTACAGAGGAAAAAGTGTTGCTTTACAACACAGGAATGCTGGTTTTAAATTTCTCACCCTGCCGGCAGGAAAAACAAAACAAAACAAAACAAAACAACTATCTGATACCATTAACTTATCTGGGTTTCAGTTGCCTGGTGTGTGAAATGGGAAGAAAACGACCTTTCCTTCCCGACCCATGTACTTTCCTGTCTTCCCTCCAGGGCTATGTTTCTTGACGCCCGACACCAAGCTTCACCTGTGTTCCAGGACACTCGCGGGGCATTCGTATCTGCCGTTCTGATGGAGATGTGGACTGTAATAGGTGCACTCCTTCCAAAGAAGAAGTCATAAGCCTCCACCTCCACCTGTGAACAAACAGTTACCTATGAATCACATGCTGACAATTTATAGTTATAAAAATACCATTATTCCTGGGGTGCACACCACACTTGGAGGCAAAACAGATATAGGTTCCTGCTGTTGTCTGATCTCATTTTTGACAACCTGATCTCACTTTTTCAGGCTCTAGACCTTGTTCCTTAGTTAACAGTATTTAAAAAATTTCCTCTCCAGGGGCGCCTGGGTGGCTCAGTCGGTTACGCGTCGACTTTGGCTCAGGTCATGATCTCACAGTTTGTGGGTTCAAGCCCCGCATCGGGCTCTGTGCTGACAGCTAGCTCAGAGCCTAGAGCCTGTTTCAGATTCTGTGTCTCCCTCTCTCTCTGAACCTCCCCTGCTCATGCTCTCTCTCTCTCTCAGAAATAAATAAAAAACATTAAAAAACATAAATAAAATAAATCCGGAGGCAGACTCAGATATCTAGAGGAGCCGGGCAGGTGATCCAAAGATAGAAAGAAACCTGCTTGGGGGGTACACTGTGGGAACTAAAGAGAGCTGGCAATTTAGGAGGCATAGGTGCACCTGGGCTCCAGCTATTGCTGCCTGGTGAGAATACAGACAAACAGACACAAACAGGCACACCATGTAACTATAGCTCTTGTTCCCGCAGAGTCCTTGGAAATCTGTAATATCTTTGTAAAAATGTTTCAATTTTTAAAGTTTATTTATTTTGAGAGAGAGTGAGCTGGGAAGGGGCAGAGAGAGAGGGAGAGAGAGAAACCCAAGCAGTTTCCTGCACCACCAGCATAGAGCCGGACGACGGGGCTCCAACTCACAAACCGTGAGATCATGACCTGAGCTGAAACCACGAGATGCCCAACCTGGCGCCCCTAAAATGTTTCAATTTTTAAATATAGAATTCGTATTAAAAGTTCTAAAACATTGATTGTGCCAGAAACAAAATATTTCCAAGAACCACGTTTGATCCAGAACTCACCAGATTGAGAATGCTGGCATCCTTGACAGCCTTCCGGCATTACACAGACCACTGGAGTTAGAGACGACTTTGTCTACAATCCTTTCATTGACAAATTCTGTTACTCCTTCTTGTTTTGGGGGAGCGTTTTACCGGGATCCTTAATTTTAATGAATAGCACTGACTCACGAAAGACAAGTTTATAATCTCACTGGATGACTAATTCCCCTCTCAAATGCTTTCTGTTAGGAAAGTCCTCTGTCTAAGTACCTACTGCTGCTATTCCAGCCTCTTTCCTCCTGTTTTGTTTTGGAGCAGCTGGTTACAATCCTGCACATAATAACCCTTCATGAACCTATAGACCTACGAGTGAGTTGATTCAAACAGGATGGTATGTTTAAATAAGCAGGTTAATACAGACTTGACTTGAGGCTTATTAAGGAAAATGAGTGGCCCTGGGGTTCCAAATTGTCTTCCATGTAATTTAGGCATTTTCTGCATTTAGCCTCTAGGGCAGGCAAAAGACTTGAGACTATAGATGCCATCCTTTTCTTTTCTTCATTTCATAACAGTGTGTGGCGGCTGTTGTTTTCACTCCTGCCCTCACCTCTCGTTCCTTCCATATGACGAAGTCATTTCTCTCATCTGAGGTCCACTTGTACCTTGAGCTCATAAATAAAGCACAGCTACTCTGGTCACTTCATGTATGTATTTTCTGGCATCATACGATGTAATCTTATAGCGGAACCAGTCCAAATGTGTGTTTTTGAAGTTGTTGTTAGAAGGTGACTCTCAGTTTTCTCAGTGGAGATGAGGCGCTTTATAGATCCGGTGGGCCAGAAGCCCTGGGCTTATTCAGCCACCTGGGATGGGGCCCCCCAGAGCACAGCCATGGCCAGTGCTCCTGAAGCTAACCGCCCCTTCCCTGGACTGTAATGCCAAGGCGGTCCATTCTTTCAGCCGTGAAAATTCAAGCTCATTTCATTAGGTTTCCGTTGGTTTGAAAAGAGTGTTTTTTAGTGAGCACATAACATACAGTTTCATATGGCCCAATCCAATAGTTTCATTTTTATTCTGTTACTTTGGCAGCCTTGAATCTGTTTCTTTTGTTACTGTGCTATTTGCTGATATGTTGCTGATTGATCATTTATCCTCTCAAATGGACCTAATGGACCTGCTTGGGAGGGAGGGACACTGGTCAAATGGGCTTTCTTCAAAAATAGGCGTGTGCCTTCTATTTCTGTATTATACCTCATCCTTTTCTGTCAAGACCTGGTCCAATACATGCACAACACGTAATAAGGCTCAACACATATTATATGGCTCCAGTTATTAGCTATGGATTTCATGGAAGCAAATAAAATCTGGATATTTAACAATATGTCTGGAGAGATAGATACCTGTAGACCAGGGTCTTTTAAAAGCAGCATCACTGACATTTTGCACTGGATAATTCTTTGTCGTGGGGGGCTGTCCTGTGCCTTGTAAGACATGGTAGCACTCCTGGCTTCTGTCCACCAAATGCCAGTAGGCACCCCTACTCATCACGCGTACCCCTTTGTGAGACCAGAAATGTCTCCAGACATTCCCAAATCTCCCCTGGGGGAGCAAAGTCTCCCTCAGTTAAGATCTACAACTCTCGACCCTGTGCCTTTGAGAGAGGCTCTCATACTCTCATGCTGGTCTGCAATCGTCCCCTGAGCAAATGCAGGGATGCTTCTCCAGTGTATTTGCTTATTTCTGTTTACGAACTTCTTTTATGGAGAGGAAAAAGAATTTTTTTTTAATTTTTATATAGTTTATTTATTTTTGAGACAGAGGGAGACAGAGCATGAGTGGGGGAGGGGCAGAGAGAGAGGGAGACACAGAATCTGAAACAGGCTCCAGGCTCTGAGCTGTCAGCACAGATCCCAATGCGGGGCTCGAACCCACGAACCGTGAGATCTGAGCCAAAGTCGGACGCTTAACCGACTGAGCCACCCAGGTGCCCCTGCCTCTGGATTTACAGTGATGGATTCTCCTCTGAGGCAATAACTGTACAAACTCACCTGAAGGTTAAGGGAAGTGGCCTCTTCAAGAACTCTGCAAATACCAAACAGGCTAGAAGCTTTGTCTCCCTTTCTTCTTACCTCATAATGTCTCCTCACAGAATGGCTGCTGTTTGGTGGCTGATAGGCTATCTGCATGTCACTTAGATCTTTCCAGGTGAATGAGGAGACCGGTCTGGTGTGATCCCACAGGTGAGTCATGTAGCCCTGGGGCGGGGCCTTCGTAATGTTGAACACCAGCAAGGGCTTTGGCGTCTCATCCTCTTCACAGTCCAGAACGGATGTGGTCAATGAGGTCAGGATGAACTGATCCACTTCCAGAATAAACATGGCCATGAATGCAGCCCTTGGAATCTGATTAGGAATGCCAGCTCTGATATAGACGGGCAACCACGCACCCTCTGACTTTTGAAGGGGAAAGAAAATACAGAGAGGTAAACAATATGAGTGAAGATATCACATACACGGTTAATGGGATGATAGACGGTGCGTCCTGCAGTGACCTGAAACCTGGTTGCACATTAGAATCCTTAGAGAGTTTTAAACATATACTGATGCCCAAGGTCCATCTCTACAGGTTCTAATTTAATTATTCCAAAAAAGGGACAAGAAAACTGGTATTTAAAAAAACATTTTTTAAATGTTTATTTATTTTTGAGAGAGAGAGAGAAACAGCACAAGTGGGGTAGGGACAGAGAGAGAGGGAGACACAGGATCTGAAACAGGCTCCAGGCTCTGAGTTGTCAGCACAGAGCCCGATGCAGGGCTTGAACCCATAAACTACGAGATCATGACCTGAGCCAAAGTCAGAAGCTCAACTGACTGAACCACCTAGACACCCCAGAAAACTGGTATTTTTAAAGCTCTCTGGTGACTCTAACATGTAGCCAGTGTTGACAAGGGACAATGGTTTTGGCATCAGAAGGAAATGTCCTTTTGATTCTATGTCCAGCACTTATGATTTTAAACAAGCTATTTAATTCCTAAATCCTCCCCCCTCCATTTGTGAAATGGAAATACTGGACCCCCAAATAAGTCACATTTGGTATGCTGAACACTGGATATTGGACTAGAAGTTGTAATCTATATGTAACAAAATATTAAAAATGGAATTATTTTTGGCTCAGTCTCAACTGAAGTAAAATGAAAGCAACAACATATTTCAAAGTGAATGAGACACCTATGGGCAGAATTTACAAAGCCCATAGTAACTGGAACTAGAACCAGTTCCAGACTCTAGAACTCTCTCACTAACTACGAGAATAGAGAAGGGTTGAGAGGGATAAGAGCAAATTTTCTTTGTGGAGAAGAGTGTGTTGCTGTGCCGAGTCACTCCCTTTGTCCCCAACCCCACACACCTCCAGGAAGAGGAAAGGTGGGCAATGCTACATTTGTCTTCGGTGTCTCTGTCTGGAGAGTAGTTTCCACAAGACCAGCCTTAAAATGTATCTTGTACAAAGGACTGATGCTCATACAGGAGGAAACTAAGTGGTCAAACGCAGAAGAATAATGGTGTCTGTTCTGGGATCTGTCTGTAGTGTTTGTTGGTGGCAGAGAAAAATATCTGAGTGCTCCAGAAATGGGGCCAAGCAGGACAGAGGATTGGTCTGGGTTCATCCTGGACCCTGACCTTTTGGGTGCTTCTGTGAGATGGCAAAGAATCCCTCCCACGGGCAGCTGGATGTGGAAATCCTCCTAGGAGCTATGGGAGTAATTGTAAGTGAATACACAGGTCAAAATGCCCCCGCTGCAGACCTCCAGGGAGGGGGATCCCCAGGGAAAGGAGGAAATTGCCCTGGAGACAAAGAAGCAACTTGAAACATTTGCAGACTTAGGGAGCATGAAGTCATATTCTATCAGTGTCTGATCCGACGCTTTTCCCAACGTTGCCACAAACCAGCCCCCCCAAGACCAGAAGTTCTGAAGCTAGCCAGTAAAGCTCAGAAGAGAAAAATACAACAGAGAAACAGAAGATAACCAGCCCATCTCCCCTCCTACTGCATGCTTTATGAAGACAAATTAATGATATGCTGAGACATCTCCAGGGTTAGAGTATCTATTTTTCACATGGCATTGACAAAATTATTTTAAGAGTCATCATTTGAAAATTCAAGAATGGAAAAATCACACTATAAAAGGACTGGTGCTGAACAATAAGACCATTTAAGCCTGGGGTTAAGCCTAAATAAATATGCTATTTTATGTTAGTTTTTAAAATTTTTTTAATGTTTTATTTATTTCTGAGAGAGAGAGAGATACACAGCATGAGCAGGAGGGTCAGAGAGCGAGGGAGACGCAGAATCTGAAGCAGGCTCCAGTCTCTGAACTAGCTGTCAGCACAGAGCCCAACAAGGGGCTCGAACCTACGAACCATGAGATCATGACCTGAGCTGAAGTCAGACGTTTAACTGACTGAGCCACCCAGGCACCCCACTTTTCATAAATATGCTATTTTATTTTTTAAAAATGTTTCATTTATTTCTGAGAGAGAGAGAGAGAGATAGTGTGAGCAGGGGAGGGTCAGAGAGAGAGGGAGACACAGAATCCGAAACAGGCTCCAGGCTCTGAGCTGGCTATCGCACAGAGCCCGACGTGGAGCTTGAACTCACAAACCATGAGATCACGACCTGAGCCGAAGTCAGACGGTTAACTGACTGAGCAACACAGGAGCCCCATAAATACACTATTTTAGACATGTTAACAAAATGGATATAAACATCAAAAAAGAGCTTCCTTGCAATAAAAAATAGATGATATAAGAAATAACAAATATAATAACAATGCTAGAACTAAAGTTTTATTTTTTTTAATGCTTATTTTTCAAGAGAAAGAGTGAGTACAAAGGAGTGTATGAGAGCAGGGGAGGGGCAGAGGGAGAGGAGAGAAAATCCCAAGAAGGCTCTGTGCTGTGATTGCTGTGCCCCACACAGGGCTTGAACCCATGAACATGAGATCATGACCTGAGCTGAAACCAAGAGTGGGAGGCTCAACTGACTGAGCCACCGAGGAGTCCCTAGAACTAAAATTTCAGATCGTATAAACAAAGGCTAGGAGGTGGGCAATCACCATGAGAAAGGATAGATATGATCGATCCTCATCATATATAGGAAGGAGCCAAGGGATTCATTTCCGTTTTTGTCTTAAATATTAAAAATTTAAGATAAACAACATTTTCCATTTTAGAATGAAATCCCAGTAAAATATAAGGTCAGATAAACCACTTTCAAATAAGTGAAGAAAAAGGCATAGGAAATATAATCTATAATACAAGACAAAAAATTTTTTTTTTAGTTAGCAAGAGAACATAAAACAAGATGGTAGAAAAAATATATATCCATTATTATAAAACTACCACTCATAGTCCCATGTTCAAGGCAAATATTCTGACATTAAATAGCTAATTACTTATGCCTTACAGCAGAGGCATTTACAATAAAATTACATGCAAAGATTAAAAGTCAAAGGATGATCCAAAGTTACCAGGTAAAGAAAAAGGCAGAAGTGATCATATTACTTTCAAAGAAAGATGAATCAAGGCAAAAGGCATTTAAAAATGACAGTGTGGGGGTGCCTGGGTGGCTCAGTTGGTTAAGTGTCCAACTTCAGCTCAGGTCATGATCTCACAATTCGTGGGTTCGAGCCCCACATCGGGCTCTATGCTGACGGCTTAGAGCCTGGAGCCTGCTTCAGATTCTGTGTCTCCCTCTCTCTGCTCCTCCCCTGCTCTTGCTCTGTTTCTCTGTCTCTCAAAAATAAATAAAAAATGTAAAAAAGGACAGTGTGGGCAGCTGATATTGATAAAATAAATATATGAGACAAGGATTCTTATAGGAATCATTATGTTTAATATTATTCTGACCAAACCAGTGGGGAACAGGGCAAAAATAAGAGGAATAATTACTGAAAAAGAAAGGACAAAATTATCATCATTAGTGAAAGGTATAATTATGGTCTTCAAACGCCCAAAGAATTGAAAAATTCTTGGAATAATTGAATTCAAGAAAGAAGCCAGATAAAAGAAAATTATACCAAAAAATAGCTTTCCTATTTACTGTCAGTAACCAATGAGAAGATATAATGGAGGGGAAAGTGTCTATTCATAGTAATTTCCCAAAAGCAAACTGCCTAGGACTGGCCTTAATAAGTATGCTCGATTTACATGAAGAAAACTGCAAATTTTATAGAAACATATCAAAAAGCATTGGCTTCGATGAAGTGAAATCCCTCATTTCTGGATAAGAAGGCTGACTATAGCAAATGTTCTCATATTCCAATTACTTCCAAAATATTGTACAGTTTTAATCCAATCCTGATAAAATACTTAAGGGCTCGAGAATTAAGAACAGGTAGAATGGACTAGAAAACTCTGGAGACAAGTGATAAGGAAGAACTTGCCTGTAAAATATTAAAGTGTATTATTGACCTATTGTATTTAGAATGAATGATACCGGTACAGGGATAAGTAGGCAAATCTAAGGAATAAAAGAGTTAGCCTTGAAGTCATATATGTATAATATCTTTCTATGCGATAGAAGCAACATCAAAAATCAATGAGAAACAGGTTCATTATTCAACATATAGTGCTGAAAATTTGGCTACTTGGGAAAAAACTGCTCCTGTGTTTCACAATATTATAGAATTCACTTTGGGTAGATTATAAAAGCAAATGTAAACAAGAAATCCTTAAAAATCTAGAAGAAATTATGGGTAAATGGTCATTTAGTTGCTTGATGAAGATGGACTGTCCAAGCATAAAAATGATAAAATAACAAGATTTTGAAACTTCAAATATAGTATAAATTCGGTTGCATAAAACAAAATCAACACTGTTGTACATGACTCCTTACCACGAGTGTGTGTGTGAAATGGTAGAAACATAACTCGTTTGTTCTCTTTTTGTGCTTTCTGTGTGTTTTTTTAAAAAATAGTCTCTGCAATGGGCATATTACTTGGATATTCATAAAAGAATATGTGTTATGACATGCCAAATTGCCTATGGAGTAAGTTAATTGATAAAACAAGGTCATTTAAAGGGGGTAAAATCCCAAACTGACTTAAAAATATAAACAAATAGAGTCCTAATTCAATACAGAGAGGTAAAAAAAATAAAAATCAGTCAGGGGGCACCTAGGTAGTTCAATTGGTTAAGTGTCCAACTTCAGCTCAGGTCATGATCTCACGGTCCATGAGTTCAAGCCCTGCATCAGGCTCTGCGCTCCCAACTCGGAGTCTGAGGCCTACTTTGGATTCTGTGTCTCCCTCTCTGCCCCTTCACTGCTGTTTCTCTGTCTTTCTGTCTCTCTGTTTCTCTCTCTCTCAAAAATAAATAAACATTAAAAAAAATTTTTAAAGAAAGTAAATTCATGGGGAAGCTGGGTGGCTCAGTCAGTTAGGTGTCCAACTTCAGCTCAGGTCATGATCTCACAGTTTGTGGATTCAAGCCCCACGTCGGGCTCTGTGCTGACAGCTCAGAGCCTGGAGCCTGCTTTGGATTCTGTGTTGCCTTCTCCCTCTGCCCCTCCCATGCTCACATTCTGTCTCTATCTCAAAATACATAAACATGAAAAGAAAAGAAAAGAAAAGAAAAGAAAAGAAAAGAAAAGAAAAGAAAAGAAAAGAAAAGAAAAGAAAAGAAAAGAAAAGAAAATTCAGTCAGGAACAAAAACTGGTCTAATTTTTTAATGGGGATAAGAAATCAATAAAAGTGAAAGTTTTGTGTCAAAAAGACAAGAAGACATCTACTAATAGGAGGCTCAGTCTTGGCTCAGTCATACAGCACATGTGTATGGACGAGGTATGCAATTCTCTAGCCACCACCACACAACAAGGGGTTTGGGCTCTACCAGTGGTTTCCAAACCTAGCTGATGATCCATTTTTTTCCCAGGTAGCTTTTCTAATTGGCAAAATATGCACGGTGCTTACTATGTGCCAGGTGCTTTAGAAGTATTATCTTATTTATTTCTCTCAATCATAGAAGGTTCTATTATCCCCATTTTAAGGTTTTAAACAGTGAGGCGTAAAATCCGAAGTCAGAGAGCTAGTTACATAGACACTGGAACCCAGGCAAACTGGGCCCAGTGTTCATGCTCTTAGCTACTAATGTTAGGCTCAGAAATCTATCCTTTAAGATCCTCCAAGTAATTTGTCTAATCAATTTGACCAGACCATCGATCTCAATTAGAAAATTCTATGGTCTAGTTTTATTATTTTCTTATCATTTCTTGTCTTATCAATTTCTTGGGGGGGGTGATAATGTTCAATATCTGCGTTTCTTAGGAGAAATCCTAATAAGTCAAATTTTGAAAGACGGAGGTCTTTCATGAATGCACCCTTGAATCATCTTACGTCGGCATGAAATCTGAGCTGTGTTAACTGGTACACAGTTGTCCAGCTACCCAAATAAACAAATTCTAGAGTATATGAATCAGTGGAGTAGCATGTTAAATATTTCCTATAAATCGATTTCATCTTCTACCTTCATTTCAGTGCGAGATCAATAGAAGGAAAGGGCAGGAAGAGTTAAAAGATGAAAGATGGAGGAGGCTTTGAGGGAGAGGGTCATTTCTCTTTGATGACCTAGTCTTCCATCTCAAAGTCTGGAAGAATGAATAGGATATAATCCACTTGACTCATAAAAATGGGACTGGGTTTCCCCTTCTTCCCAGTTTTCCATGGACTTACCTAGCAGATGTGTGGACCCCCGATTTCCTCTAATAGGGGAAAAGATGTTATATTAAAGTAGGGGAGAATGAAGGCTCAAAGAGAGGGTGCTACAAAAGATCAATGACAAGCTGAAGAATACTGATGGGAGAGGAGGAAGAAGGGTGGCATGTAACTGACCTCAGTCCTTCCTCCATTGCCTTAGTGGTACTAGAGATGGAAGAGAGCCAAGGAGGGGAAATTATAGACTAATATTCTGCACAAAGGCTCCGGTTTGAAGTGCTCACTGGCCAAACAAACAAGCCTGCAGTTCTGATGTGTCACTGGACAGTCCCACCCACAATGACATAGGAGCTGTCCCTGGCGTGGCAGCCAGCATGAGCAGCCCCAGGGAAGTGGCTCTTACCACCATGAGGGACAGACACATAACACCAAACTCTACCTTGTACACGATTTTACTCCTGCCATCCGTGAGGTCCAGTTGGATGGAGATGTAATCAATGTTGGGAGAAGGGGGATCCGTGTGTTGATATCGAAGCCCCATCAGCAGGAACTCCTCACAGCTCACGTTGACATGTTCTATTTTCTTCAGGCCTAGGCTGCAGCTTCCACCTGGACACTTCAGCTCTGCTCCCAGTTCTAGAATGTACAGCACAGAATTAAGACGGTCACCTGAGCATGATTGTGAAACTTAAAAAACCAATCCTCCCTCTATTGGATACCTATTCCCTCTCACTGCCTTAGGAATGCCCTCATATACCCTCTAATCATTCATGGAGGGTGCTGGCATTATTCTAGAATGCTGTCATTGCTTTTACTGACCAGGTGTCTCCTGAGATCCTTGCACACCAAAAGTCACACTGAGAGAAAAAATCATAAAATGCATATTCTGCTGCTTGAATATCCTTGACAATAGGCCCCTGGGTCATGACTGACCTTCCATCATCCAGCACAGGCCTTCCTTCACTGCATCCACTTCCATGGCTCCATCACACGGTCTCTCTGAGCTGTTCTACTCTGTGAAATTCTCTCCCTTCTGTGCCTGTCACACCCTCAAGTCCGAAGACCTTATGTCTGCTTAGTCTTTTACTAAACCCCCCCTTTAAATTCCCTTTGACCGCCTGAACCAACCTGCTCTCTCCCACTGAAAGCCATAATCATCTCTGCCACGGTCTCTCTGTCTCTGCCCAACTTCATATTTCTCTCTCGTGGGGTAAATGATAGACATAGGCCACTTACTTTTCCAGTGGCCTTCTGTACATTCCCGATGTACAAAATGAGTATTCTACTTTTTTAAAAAATGTTTTAAGTTTATTTATTTTTGAAAGAGAGAGACAGAGTGTGAGCTGGGAGGGACAGAGAGAGAGGGAGACACAGAATCTGAAGCAGGCTCCAGGCTCTGAACTGTCAGCACAGAGCCCAACGCAGGGCTCAAACCCACAAACTGCAAGATTGTGACCTGAGCTGAAGTTGGATGCTTAACTGACTGAGCCACCCAGGTGCCCTGAATATTTTACTCCTTAACCAGATGGTTTTGAACCCTAAACAAGAGCACTTATGTGCAAGCAGGACTTTAGCTGTGAATTGTGGCCCAAAGTCAAGGTATTACTGTGATCATGATTATCCCTTCTATTTCTTGGTCTTCCCATAGCGCCTAGAACATCATTGTGCATATAGGAGGTGCCCAAAATATTCTGATTAAATGAATAACAGAAGGAACTTTATCCATCAACTCTTCCTGATTTAAACCATGGCTACTGCCCACCTCTCTACCTGAAACTTATTTATAATCAAACAGTACTTAATAAACACACTAACTACTCTCACTACCACTGCCATTGCTACCATGAATAATAACAACTGACAATTACTGAGCACTGACTTTGAGCCAGACACTGTGTGAACCACACTCTGTGCACGTGATCTCATTTACTCCATCTTTCCATCACCCTGTAGGGCAGCTACTATCCTTATTCCTTTTACAGAGGCTTGACTCAGTTAAGTGACTTACCTAAAATCATCCAGGAAATAAAAAGCAGAAGCAGTTTCAAAACCCAGGACTTCTTTTTTTTAATTTTTTTAATGTTTATTTATTTTTGAGAGAAAGAGAGCAGGGGAGGGGCAGAGAGAGAGGGAAACACAGAATCCGAATGAATGAGGCTCCAGAATCCATGCAGTCAGCACAGAGCCTGATGCGGGGTCCATACTCACAAACCTTGAGATCATGACCTGACCCGAAGTCGGACACCTAACCAAACCACTCAGGCGCCCCTCCAAACCCAGGTCTTATGGATTCCCAAGTCCATACTCTTACCCACTAACTGGCATTTCTCAACCAGCAACAAATTCTTATATCGGATCAAACTTTTTGTCCCAGTGGGAAATGATTATTTACAGATATGTCAGTTCTCATGACATTCAGAAAAGTATTAAAACATACATACGAGATTCAGGGAAGAAACTGTGTGGCTGATCTCCACGAGGTTTTTCTGACCGAGGCTCCAGCAGGACCACCTGACCATGGCCTGGCAGCCGGCTTCCCACAGAATCCAGCCTGACTGTGCACTCCAGGCCGGCCGCCCCCTCGTAATCAAATCTGAGCACGTTCTTATCAATGGCTCGGGACAGGCCATAGAATTCGGACACCTCCAGTACATTGTTACTCATACGGATGATGTTACAGTCTGGTTCCAGGAGATAGACCCGCAGGATAAAGGTTTCTGTGAAGGTATCCGTCTCAGTAAATCTGTGGAGAGAGCAGAGCAAAGGCAATACGTGCAGGTGCTCAGATACTTCTGGTATCTGTGTACTGACTTGTTTTGATGCTTAAAGATCGCCTTTATAAGATGTGCATGTGGGATGGAGTTTGGATTTCATTGACTTCTCTACTCCCAATCTCTGTTCTTTTTCATTCTTCTCCTTATCTGGGTGTCCACTCCCTTTCCTGCCATCTCCTTTACCATGATCTTTCTTTCAATACCTTCTCTCAAACCCGTCCTCCATACTGATAGGTAACGACCCCTGGGAGCTCAGAGTCTCACTTCTAGCACATGAATAATTTAAGAGTATCAAGTTCATGTAATTTATGGACTGAGTTTTGATGCAGACGTGAAAGGGTGAGCAGTTTCTGAAGCATCAACCCCTTTTTGCTCTTCAGAAAGCTATGAGAGGCACTGTTAGTGCTATTACAGATAAGGACACTGAGGCACAGAGGGGTCGCGTAGCTTGTCCCAGAGGCTGAAGAGGAGGTGAGGGGGGAATAAGCATGCTCTCTGATTTTTTGTCTCCACCTTCCCTGTATATTCTATTTCGAATGTTCTCAAGACCAAGAACAGCAGCTCCTCTGACTCAGCCCTTCTTCCGCCCTGCTCCTCCTCCTCTCCACCCCTGGGAAACCCCAGGAGGGGGAGCAGCCAGAACGCATCAGCTGCTCCAGCCCTTCCAGGCAAGCTGTCCGAAGTTTTAACTCTGAAGTCTTAGAAAGATCAGACAGCCCTGTATGCTGGTTACAAGGAATCCTTGGGTACCGTTTCTTCTTTTGAGCACAGCATTTTGTTCACGCTTCTCTTTCAGCACTTGCTCTGCATTGCCATTATCTACCCACATTTTGCATCAACCTCTGAGCACCAAAAGTCCATGTATCCTCATCCTTGGGTTTCCTATGCCCAGTACAGGGTCGGGAGCTATAGCAGGTGATCATAAGTGTCTACAGGATGATTCACTGCTCCAGTGTCCTCTGCAAAACTCTTTGTGTTAGTGTTGTCCCTAACAGAAATACACGCTAAGATATTTTAGCCAAATATTCATAACAGCAACAAACCCAAGTAAAAAACTATCTAAAAGCTGATTCTACCTACTGAATTGTCACCCCCATGAAGTGAGTAATACCATAACCTTGAGCCTAATTTTTAAATTAATTTTTTTATCGAGCTATAATTCATATACCATAAAACTCACCTTTTTAAGTATGCAACTCAGTGGTTTTTAGTATATTCACAGGCAGGCTTGTAGTTGTTCAACCTTGATAACTACCTAATTCCAGACCATTTTTATCCGCCCAAAAATAAATTCATACCCCCCATGTACTCTTCCCCAGTCCTGGGAAACCACTAATCTTCTTTCTGTGTTCATAGATTTATGTTTTCTGGATACTGGATGTAAATGAAAAGGTACATGACCTTCTGTGTCTGGCTTCTTTCACTGAGCATGATGGTTTCAAGGTCCATCCATGTGGTAGCCTACATCAGGGCTTCACTCTGTTGTATGGCTGATGAATATCCCAGTGCGTGGACACACCACATTTTGTTTATACATTCATCAGTTAGCTTGTTCCAACGGTAACACTTTTATCATCTACTATGTTTAAAACTAGAAGATACTGTACTTCTTATTAACGAAGCAGCTGATAATCGAATGAAGAATATCATTCAACTTTGGAATATATTTTCCTACTTCCCATTAGGAATTCATATTTTGTAATTTTCATTTCCTATCAGAAGTAAGAAGGTGGCTTGCCAGAGATACCTGTACAACTAAAGGGAAACCGGACAGAAATTTGTTCCATAAAAGCCCCCAGGAAAATGATACCAATAAAGGCGATTGAAAGTCAATTCTAATTCTTGCCTCGTCTCCGTAGGTCCTCAATTTCTACTCATTACTTTCTTGTTTGGAATCTAATAACTGGTGTCATGATAATTAATCTGTAAAATAAAACGCTAAGAAATACACAGAACGGTTATGTGTGCTGCTTACCTGTAAAGTCTAAGCTTCACTGAGTCTTCATCAAGAATCGGGCAACCATTGTGAATATACTTTACTTCGTTAGGAAGGAAATGGCAGTCAAAGACCTAGTTCATGTGAAGAAATGGATAAATATTTGTGAAAAAAAAATTGGTACGAGATTTGATTTTTCTGGCAGTAGGATACTGCCTGGGGAAATTATGGTCTGTTAGTGGGGTATGTACATGTGTGTATGTGTGTGTCTGGGTGTGTGCATGTTGTAACCACCACCACCTCTACCTGCCCCTGTGCACACTCACCATCCTGCTTTTCTATAGATGTGTCTTATTTTGAGAATATCCAAACTATGAAAATCTAAGCACATGAAGCAGATGTATTGAGTAATTATCTCTTGAAATTATTATTTTTTATGGTCTATAATACACTTAAAATATGGTTCCATTTGGGGCGCCTGGGTGGCTCAGTTGAACATCTGACTCTTGGTTTTGGCTCAGGTCATGATCTCCCTGTTCATGAGTTCTGGCCCCAAGTAGGGCTCCGTGCTAACAGTGCAGAGTCTGCTTTGGATTCTCTCTCTCTTTTCTCTTTGTCTCTCCCCTGATCATCCTCTCTCTCTCTCTCTCTCTCTCACAATAAAGAAATAAACTTTAACAAATTTTAAATATGGTTCTATTTATCAAAATAATATACACGCACACCATTCAGGGGTTCGTAGCAATTGAGTTAGAGAGGTCTACCTGTGTGTATGCATGAAAAGGCACGCATTACCCCTCACACAAACACACTGTCTTATTTATATTATATACTTTTTCTTTTCCTTTTATTTCTTTCTTTTCCAGATAGCACTTTTATATTCAAAATTGGAACCACTGACTATGGACACTATTGTGGTTGATCAGGGTCAAACACAACCCACGCTTGTTTCTCATATACTTGCAAAAGTCCTCTTCATTGGTTACATAAGAGCAGAAATGGTTGAGGAGACAAGTAGCAAGCTAAAGATAATTTCCTGTATTAAATAAAATTATAATTAACTGCATCACCTCACTCAGAACTCGGAAATTGCTCACTATTGTATTGGGGGAAACCTAATTATGTAAAGAAGAATTTTCTCTCCCAATCACACCTTGACTCTTACTCTGCCCAATCCCATTTGGAGAGTGTTAAAGAAATGCCCTTGAGGCATTCACATATACCGTCACTGTTGAGTTCATGGTGTTTAGCTTATACTTTGTCACAGGCTCAATCATTTACAGACAGTATCATTCTGCCTGAGAAGACTTTACTACTAATACAAATGATCTTCTTTTCCCACAGACATCATTGGTTCCTCCTTTTAATTGACAACAAGGAAGGAGATAAAGGAAAGACCTTCCCCATATCATTGACAAATAGTCACGGTGATAAAGAGACAATCTGCTTTGTTAAAAGAAACATCTGTTTTATGTTTCGTAATATGTTTTCCTTTTATAAAAGGCGACAACCATAATTGTCCATAAATTTACTAACTAAAACAAAGGAGAGCTAAATCCTTTTCTAATTACTGTCTAGCCTTGGTTTTTTCCACTTCAACTGCTTTTCAATTACAATTTATAATTAAATTGTCACACATTCCTAACTCATTACTCACTTTAATGACAGCAAACTGGTTCAAACTAGAGATGTTCTCTTACTGCTGTATTTCCTAGTCAAGAAAGCAAGCTCAGCTCTAAACTGAGGTGCTTTCCACCCAGGAAATTTCTTGCTTCGAAACAGGTGTGAGAAGTGCTGTGCGAGAGGGAGTCTTGTCCTAAAACATGAGGAAAACATATTGCCACCGACCTCATCTAATTGACTCTATCAAGAGGGTTATCTAAACAGAAGGTACTGGTGTGCGCCAACTGAAATCCCTTTCCAAATATCCAATAGGAAAATGAACCTGTTGGTCCTAAGACAAACTTCAGTAATGAAATGAAAACACTAATTGAACAGATGTTAAACAAAACATTTTCTCTGCAAATCAAATAAAACCGTTCATTACACAGCGGGGTATTGTTAATACAGTCATCTTGCTAGAAATGGGTTCACATAAGCCTTGCATTCAACTTACTGGTAAGTGCTATTAAAGAATAATGTTTAGGCTTTGTGTGTGAGCACATGCATTTGGCTATCCTTAATTTCAAAACCGCTGTAAGAAATAAATCCCTGGGGAGGGCCGCATGGAAAATAAGCACATATTCAAAAAAAAAAAAAACAGACTTTACTTAGGAATCTTGTTTCTGTTGAAAGTATCATAATTAACTAGGAAGAGCACCTGGCAGTTTGAGAAACAAAGTTTTCCGGATATAGAGGTTTCCTTATGGTACAAAATTCTAATATTTGGCAGAAAGACAATAAAACTCCACAGTTCAACAGCCTCCTTTTCCACACAATAAATTTTAGGAGCTAGAAGTCACACAGTTACTGTAGACCATTTAAATCCATTTGAAACACCAGATTTACTTCTGGAAATGCGCTCACGGAAGCACACTAAGCCACAGCCCTCAAGGGCATGACCTGGGACTTTCTGGAGCCCCATCCCTGGCCTACCCATCCAGACTTCCCTAAACCGGGCAGGCAGGTTGTTTCTGCTCCAGATTCTTCCTAGTAACTGGATTTTTTACTTAAAAAACTTAAAAACATATATATATACTTAAAGCTATATATATGTTTATAAGTCAGAGGCTATTTGGGATGGGGAGAAGATACTCCTCAGAGGCTGGCTTAAGTCACAGTATATTCTCCCCAAATTGCATTCTAGGAAGGGAGAATCTGGTGAATAATAGGGTTTCTGTTTGGCATGCTTGGAGCTGCAGCTAAAGACAGCTGGACCATAGGTTGCCCCAGAGGGCACCAGGAAGAATTTTTTTGTCTTCTCCCACAAAATATTCAGGCTCACTTCTAAATAAGTGTTGAACAGTTTTTAAAAATACATTGATGGGAAGGGTACCAAATTATGAGTTCATCAGTCTTTATAAGGCACCCACAAATATCGGTACAGATCTAGGATTAGGGTTCTATATCCCTCTTTCAAATTTCAAGGATTTGCTTTCAACTCCGGGAATTGGGACTCCATTTTCTGCAGCTGAGCTAATTCATGTCATCCACACATTGCATTTATCGCATCTGGGTGCTAGATATGAACTGTGCCAGGTCTCTCTTCCTTCCCTGACTGGTAAGTTCCAATCAAACATGTTTTCACAGTGCAGGTCATGTTGCAATTACCAAACATTTGGGAATACAATCCCCTTGCAGTGAGAGCCATTATTGTATACTGACAGGTTTAAGGTGCCCACTGGATGCTCCGACTTACAAAAGAAAATCTCATGGGAAATTGGAGAGAGATATTTGGTTGCTATCACATCAGGAAAACTCCCTAAGTGAGAGCCCTCCATAGAATTCTGGTATGTTTCTGAACCAGACTGTACTCTGAGTGGAGTAAATGGGACGTCTTGAGATGTCCATTTGAGTTAGCATCTATCTAAGTCTCGTTAGTCCATCTCTACAACATCTAGTACCACTGTTGAGTAACTTCCTGCAATACGATTCTTTAGTCAAATGGAGAAGAAAATTCATGTTCACAGTTCACAAATAATGGTGTATTTCTCCAGAAGGAGCAGCATTTGAACATTCTCAAACTTGTCTACACTGGGAGAAAGTTAAGCCACAATAGCAACAAGTAAGAAAACCAGAAGCAATTTCTTATTTTGTACAGAGAGAAACTCCTACTTTAAGCAAACATAATATAACACAGACTTTTTAAAATCTAATGAATTAGAAGGTAACTCTTCATCCTACAAAAGGACTACGCATAGAATCCTCTTAAATGACAAGGTCTCCTTTAGTGACTAAAGGACACTATTTTTTGACAGACATTTTTGGAGAGCAATGAATATTTATTTTATTTTTTTAAATGTGTCTTCAGTTTTTGAGCAAGAGAGAGAAAGAGAGAGAGAACATGAGTGAAGGAAGGGCAGAGAGAAGGAGACACAGAATCCAAAGCAGGCCCCAGAAACTGAGCTTCCAGCACAGAGCCCGATGCAGGACTCAAACCCAGGAATTGCGAGACCATGACCTGAGCTGAAGTCGGAAGCTTAACCAACTGAGCCACCCAGGTGCTCTGAAGAACAATGAATATTTAGAGTGAAGTATTTTCACTTCTTTTTTCCATGTCTTTCCTCCTACTCAAGGGAACGTTCAAGTGATAGGAAGAGATGAAAATGTCTTCACATTTTACTTTTGCTATTCTGCAGTCACAAGATGGCCTAAGGCACATCTTGAAATCCTGATGTCTTATCCAAAGTCACCCTACCTAGCAATGGATGAGGCAGAAATAATCCCCTAAAGACTGACCATAACACACCACACAGGAGACTGCCCACTCTTGCCCTTGGAAGCCTGTCACTGTTTCCTTTTCTCTGTCTCTGTCTCAGTCTTCTGTCTGTCTGTCTGTCTGTCTCTCTCAAAAACACACACACTCAACAGAAAATCTCAGGTACCACCTACCTGTGGAGTGAGTTTCCCAACCCTCTGGGTCATTGGCTCGTTCATCACAACTTCTACTTTGCAAGCGTCTTTCTCTTTGGGGATGGCAAACTTCAGGTCATCCCCCAGCAGGAAGGCAGAGCGGCCCTTCATCACCCTGACTCCGCGGTTGACACTGATGAAGGTGGGGGCGACCCAGCCTGGCAACAGCAACAGCAACAGCAGCGGCGGTGGCGGCAGCAGCAGGGCACGGGGCCCTCCCCAACTCGGAGAGCTCATGCCGTCAGGGGCCAGCTCGATTTGTCCACCGGCGAAATCCCTTCAACAAAGGAGGGCTTCTGTGCTTCCTCCGGGGATGTTAGCTCATAGTCCAAGGGGCAGGGCAAGGGGTCCCCACAATGTGCCCCAAGATCTTAACATGCCCCTTTCATTTCAAACTCAGACAAGGAGGCTTTTCAGGCAGTTCCAGGGCTTTTAATAAAACTCGCTGATCACTCCTGACAACGCCGGCAAGATGAATGTGCCTCCCAAGTGCTTTTCTAATCCTGCAAACGAGAGGAGAGGTTGGAGGGAAGCGACAGAGAGACCAAAAGGTTTGTGCAGCTATTTAAAAGATCCCTGCCGGCAAAGGCATCTTTCAACCCGCCTCTAATTTCAGCTAAATTAAAAACAAATAAACGAACTTGACCTCCAGCCCATCTGAAAGGCAATGAGGCCATTTCATTACGCTGCCTGTAACTCCTGCTTCCGGGCTCAACATGCCCCAGTTGGGATGTTGCTTGTGTGGTCCAACAGGACCCAGCCAGCCTCACTGCCCAAGGGCAGCGTTTGGTCACTGCGTTCAGAGGGAGCTGAACTCTTCTCTGTTTCCTCATCGGTTAAATGAGGACTACAGCCTAATTTGTACAAGGGAGCTGTCGATTATTTGCACACGGTTTTAAAAGCTGATTCGTTCTAAATCATTTCTACCAGATAAGAAACAAGCTTCCGAATCTGTCACCTGACACAGTTATGACTTTGCTGGGCAAGGAAGACACCTGAGAAACACTTGGGTGGAAATTGGAGAACAGATCCAGTCTTCTAAGTGAACATTTGGATTTCTGTTTACACGTAAAGGAGACTCAGAATCAAATAACATAGCTTCAGTAGGCACAGCTAATGACTCAGTGTATACATGCATATTCGCATTATCTATAATGCTAATTACATTATAATGTACTGAATTTGCACAAATGGGGTTTTTCTTTCTACTTTAACCACATTAGAATTTCAAGATTATTTCTCTGTGTTTCATACAACAGTAATGACTCTGCGAAGTAAAACGTATTGCAATACATCCTTAAGTTCAGAGAACGATCCCAATGGTGGCTTATTATGCCCTTAGGTGGTCTTTACATTTTAATGATTTCCATCATTTCTGTACATAACCAATGGATACTGAAATAAATGTTTGGCCAAAGGGTGTACACAAAAATTCACATCCAATACATCAAGGGAAGACTCATTCCCTTGTCGTTATTTAAAACCTTTCACTTTTGAGGTAGTATGTGACATGTGTCACCTGATATCTGAGAGAGTGTACACTTCACAGAACAGTTTTTTTTTTTTTATGATGTCAGACTCAAACTAAAACAGTTTCCACGCTCCCACTGACAGTGCTGGCCACACTCCTGCTGAATTCGGTGGGCTTCTTTGGGCACGAACACAAACCCGGTTGTTGAACCTTCCAGACAAAGTCAACCCTGGTTTCGATGCACTTTTGGCATCCAAGGCCACACACAAAAAAGCAGCACATTCAGAGAGAAGAGGGAGGTTGAGTGCTCCCAAAGCTGAGAGCTAAGGGGAAAACCCTTTCCCTTTTAAAAGAAAACTTTTAAAAAAACTCAGTCAACCTGGAAAGGCCACAAAGATGTCATGCTCTTGTACACCTCCTCTCATCTCCCTATTGCCTCCCTTTTCCTTTACTGCTTCTTCCCTTATCCCCTGACTTTTTAATGTGGAGAGCTTAGGGTCTAGGCCTTGGACTGGTTTTTTATCTACCTTCACACCCTAGTGATCTCATTCCTTGGCTTTAAATACCACTTATATGCTAATGAGTCCCAAATTTATATCTCTAACCTCCTCCCTTAATTCTGGATTCCATATGCCACCGTCTAGGCGACATCTCTCTAGGGATGCTTAATGGGTTTCTCATTCTTCATGTCGCCAAATGTGTGCTCTTGGCCTTCCCTCCCTCCCTCTCCCGGATCTCAGCTAATGGCATCCAACTTTTTCAGTTGTTCTCTCCTTTGTCTCTGTGATAGGTCTACATCCAAACAATAGTAACAAAATCCTATTTGTTCGTTGTGGTGGACACACCTTAGGGTGACCTCCAATGATCCCAGCCTCCTAGCATCCAGAGGTTCTCTCTCCTTAGGTGACAGCAGAACCTGTGAGGCTCCCAACCAACAGAATAAGGCACCGGTGATGGGATGTCATTCCCATGGTTACACTATGTAATGTAAGAATCCCAGATGACTGGTGCTAGAGGCTCTCCTGCTGAACTTGAAGAAGCAAGCCTCCAGGAGCTCCTGTGTCAGAAGGACATGAATTCTGAGAACAGCTTGAATTAGCTTGGAGGAAGATTCATCCTAAATCAAGGCTCTAAATAAGACTGGTAACCAGGGGCACCTGGGTGGCTCAGTGGGTTAGGCATCTGATTCTTGATTTCAGCTCCAGCCATGTTTTTATGGTTTGTGAGACTGAGCCCCAAATGGGGCTCTGAGCTGACAGTGTGATGCCTGCTTGGGATTCTCTCTCCCTTTCTCACTCATGCTCACACTGTCACTGTCTCTCTCTGTTTCTCTCTCTCTCTCAAAATAAATAAACATTAAAAATAAAACTGGTATCCAGTTGACCCCTTGAATGTAGCCTGAAGCAGGGAACCCAGGTAAGCTGTAACCAGACTCTTGACCAGTGTAAACTGTGACATAAGAAATCTGTATTGTCTTAAGCCATTATGTTTGTAGGGATTTGTTTACACAGCAGTATAAATTGAATGCACTCAACTTCAAAACATATCATGGCAGCCATGGGTTCTATTAAATATTACTGGGGTCATTTCCACACCCTAAACCCCCAATGGCTTCTCATCTTCCAGTAAAAGCCATGAGGCAACAATGTATATAATCTGTTCCTCCCTTTACTCCTCTCCTCTCATCTTGTGTGTCTTCCATTGGCTTCTTCAGCTCTGGCCACGCTAGTGTCTTTGCTTTTCCTCAAACAAATTAAGATTAGCCTCCTCCTCTTGCTCCCATCCAGACCCTTCCCATTTACTGTTCCCTCTGGAACATTCTTCCCTCAGATATCCTTCTTCCCACCTCACCGCCTCCCAGATTTCCATCAAATGTCATATTGGCAGTGTACCACACCTAACCATTCCTTAGAATTATACATTCCCATCCCTAGCATCCTTTTCTGCTATGTTTTTAACCTTAGCCCTCATAACCATCTAACAATTCATTTGCTTGTTGATACTTTTTCTTACCGTCTCCCTCACAAAGGTGAGAATGTTTATCTTTTTTTATTTATGGATATATCTTTATGATTCCCTCCATCCTCTGCCTAGATTTGAGGATGCTCCCTTGCACACAAGAGATAGGGCCACACCATAGGCTGACAGTGCTGTGGGCTAGAAAGGGCCTGGGTCTCTGAGACACTTGCAAAGTAGAGTCACCATACCAGGCAGAGAATGTAAACTTCTTTCTTGTTTAACCCATTGTTATTTGGGGTTTATTTTGGTACTCATGACTGAACGGTCAATCCCCTGATGCTTCAAGTGTTTCTATTAACTTAATTCAGTCACCAATCAGCTAAATTTTGTGCCTTCTTACCTAATAGCATATGGGGCAATAGCTCATTCTCTAATTATATCATAATAAGTACTTAATTAGGAGATAAGCATACAGATCAAGATCTTAATGTTTATCAACAAGGAAGAGATAAGAGAAAGGAGGAAATTTATTTCTGGGGGTCCCTGAGCCACCATGATATGGAAATAGTAGACCTGAATTCCAAAAATACAGATTTGAATCTTAATCCTTTTATATCTTTATTACTATATTTTTTATTTTTTAGGGAAAGAGAGAGTGTGAGTGGGGGAAAGGGATAGAGAGAGAGGGAGAGAGAGAATCTTAAGCAGACTCCATGCTCAGCACGGAGCCAGATGTGAGGCTTGATCTCACAACCCTGGGATCATGACCTGAGTAGAAATCAAGAGTCAGACCCTCCACCAACTGAGACACACCAAAGCTTGATTCTGATGAACATTAGTTTCCTCTTTTAAAAATGGAGCTATCCATCCTCTCATTTCCAGTTTCCTTGTTAGACCAACAAAATAATCCATGTGGAAATATTCTAATTATTAAGCCCCATACACATATAGCATTATTTTTACAAAATGTATCAAAAGAATAAGAGTAAAGCTTGTGTTGAGAAAAATAGAATGGCCAGACTTGGACCTTGGTGAAGGCACCAGAATCAGGTTCAGCACAAACCAGAGTACGTTCTATTCACATCCTCATTGACTCTTTCTCTTCCTCATAATCTTAAGACAGGCTCCAGTAGTAAAAAATGAATTCCAGTATTTTGGAAACAACCTGAAGCAACACAGCTCAGAGGAAATAAAGGGTGCAAGAGTAATAATTTCCAAGCTCAAAACCAAACATCCTTCAATCAGTTGGGCCTGGATGACGTCTGCAAAATCAGGCTCAGTGAAGATCAAATAGAGTATGTTGTATTTATGTTTTCTTCACATTTGAATTTTGCTCTTGTATTTTTCTCTTCGGGTACACCAATTTTTTCTCTTTGGGGAACACCAAATATGTGGACATTCCATGGAAAATACTGTTCTGATTTTTCACTTGAAAAAGGCAGTAGGTGAGGGGAGACAGAAGGATTCTGAGAAACAGATGGAGAAGAAAAGAGCAAACAACCAAACAAAAACCATAGAACAATAGCAAAGGAAATCAGGGCTCTGAATCACACAAGGTTTCATTGATGATGATGATGATGAGTCTTTAATCTTCCCCCAAATTAACTAGTAGAATTCTCTTGTCTCTGATACAAAATTACAACATCCAGAGGTAACCAACATTTACTTGAGGAGACCCTGATATAGCCCTTCTTGAGAACTCCACTTTCTGGTCCCCACATAGGGCCAAGTCAGACACTCAGAACCCATGGGCCCGCAGCTTGTTCAGCCTGCTTGATCTGAGCACCCACAGGGCAGCAGAATCTGTCAGAACACTCAGAAGTGGAAGCAGAAAGGTGGCTTAATTCTTCCAGGGACCTTGTAAACTGCCTTTTAGCCACTTTAAATTTAATTTGACCCTGCTGCTGATGCATAGGAGCACATGTACCCCAATGTTCATAGCAGCACTCTCCACAATAGCCAAGACATGGAAAGAGCCTGAGTGTCCATCAACGGACGAATGGATCAAGAAGATGTGGTTTATCTATACCATGGAATGCTACATGGCAATGAGAAACAATGAAATCTGGCCAT